GCGTGGAGGGATGAAACTGGCGCGGCTAGGTCAAGGATCATCTTTCCTCCCTCCCTCCCTCCCCCGGGTGGACACGTCACAATACTTTAAGCCAATTACAGCTAGCAGCAGAGGGGGGTAGGGATGCATGGCCAATCACAGTCCGATACGTCATATGACGTCAGTGATAACGTAACAAGGACACACACTGCGCAACCTTACCGCGCGGCTTGCCCAAGCGGAGGGAGGAGGAGGGAGAGGCGAGGAGCACAGGCAGGCAGGCGGGTGGGGCGAATCTAAAATAGCGTCGCGCCGGACACTCTCTGCGTAATGGGGTTCACGCACCGCGTAATGTGAGCACGTTAGGTTCTGGCAAGGCACCGCGTTAACGTGGAAACGCAGAATGTGGGACCGCGTAAAGTGAGGGTTGACTGTACAGTAGTTTATATATATTGTCAACACTGCCACCACACAGAATCTATGTCCACACATTGAACACCTTAGCATTTTGGTGGGCCGATGGCGAATACACTATTTCATTATCCAAAAAACTGTTAGCGTTCCGATGACAAAAATATCATCATCGACTTCAAAAGCTCACTAAAAATCTATTTACTGCTTGATTTTCATGGTTCAAGTCTCAAAATGTGCGCTGTCTTCCCATTCTTGCCACACAACTGTGGTGGACGTGAGGTATCGGGATAACTGCCCTGTGGGTCTGCAAGCATCAGTGTGCCTTAAGGATTTACAGCTAACATATGTGATAATCACTTTTATTTTCATATGTTGGTGTTAGATTCAACTTCGTTTGTATAATAGTATTGTAGAGCAATCATTTGTGAAGAAATACACATTTAAAAATTAAATACGATGGAAAATAATGTCGGAAACAAAAAAGAAATACATTTATGCTGTGATTTTTGTCAGCAGAGCACGCCCTGCCCATCTTGGGTGGTGGCAGCATGCACCCCGTGGGGCCCCAAAAATGTAAAGCAACTGCGTCAAGCAGGTGCATCGAGGCATAAAACTGTGCTGGTATTCATTAACAAAGTTGTTTTGTTGGAGATGTCATATCATGGCATCACATACAGTAAATACTCTCAAGCACTTTACACACTACGCTGATCAAACTCGCCAGCCTGTAATTGTTCATGCTTTGGTGATCGCCTATTTTGAATATACCTCACATAAGCCCTTTTCTAGTACAGGTAATTGGGAATTTTTTCCAACTAAGCATCTGCAGAACAGGATTCTCAGGGCTCTGTAAGCTCATTACACAACTCTCATAAAAATTTTTATGTAAAAATCATGATGGTAAATGGCAAATTTGTGTCGGGGAATAGAATAAACTGATTACTTGAAAATAAAAGCAGTCCTGTATATTGTTGAAATGCATGAGTAAAATTAAAGTTAATGATTGACTAAAATATTTGCAAAATTAGATTTAATCAACCACATCTCTGGTTGCCTTTCAGTAAGAGTGGAGCCTATAGGCCTAAAGGTCTGTAAGTGATAGTGCAGGAGGAGCACACTGTAAACTAATTTTTTTCTTCGGTTCATAAAGAGACACCTAATCACCTTCACTTCCCCAACCATAGTTAGATACCCAGGTCACAAACCTGTGGGTAGGAGGCAGGTGCTCTTTCTACTCAGCTGCTACACTTATCATCATAGTAAGAAGTCTAAAATATTGTATGATAAATACGTACCGGGTAATAGAATGGCTGACAATCGAAATGAATTTGAAAAAAAATAAAACTACAGAAAATAAGAGAAAAACAACTTTATTAAATGGGCAACATTTATCTGTTAGCATTCATTTGTACTTAGTTATGAAATTAACTGACACATCAGCACTATACAAAAAATTGTTATTTCTCTGTAAATTTTTATATCATGGGATAAAAATAAAATGTACAGTATACAGTATTTACAAAAGCAGAGTTTTCAAGTAGGGAATGAATGTACAATTACAGTACACTGTATTTAACCCTTTGAAGAGCGAGCTTCAAATCTCCTGCTGAATTCAGGAAAAAACTTTATGGCATTATTAACATGCAAATGAACACCTGTAAGAAATAAAAAGAATAATAATTGACGTACAGCACTGTATAAGATAAAATGCAATGCATACTAAAAGCATCAGGTACAAGGCGGGACTTTCAAATACATGTACAGTACAGTTGAGTCTGGATTTACGCGGTTTTGGTTTACGCGTTTTGTCATTTACGCGGTGCCTTGCCAGAATTGAAATGCTTGATTTACGCGGCAAATTTGGTCAATTATGCAGGAAGTGGCGCGGGCAGGGTCCGCACAAGGTCGCCCAGTCATCAAAACATTACCAAGTTCTTCACCCGCCACCCACCACAGCCGGCCCAAGTCAGTGATAGTGAGGATATGGACACTTATATGGACTTTGAGGGGTTTGACAAAGAGGCCCTGCATGCCTTTGTGGTGGATAGTGATACAATTAATACAAGTGATACAGGTGAGGGCCAATAATCTGCCCTCTGCCTCGGAACCAACCCCCCATCCCCGTGTACCCAGCCATCTTTTCTACTAATGTAAGTGTTAAAAAACCTATAATTATTATTGATATTTCTCTTAATTATTAATTGTGTGTGCATACCATCATAAAATTAAGATGTTATTTTGACTACAAGGTACGTATTGTGTCGGAAAAAGTGGAGTTTGGGGGTTGGCCCAGTCTCTATTTCAATTAATCCCATATGTTCTGTCATTTCATTTACGCGTTTCTCGTTTTACGAGGTACTCCGCGGGTTCAATTGACCGCGTAAATGAAGACCCAACTGTACTGTAATAGTAACCTCCCATGTATAATGTTTTGTGAATACTGTATTAAAAATAAAATATCCATTTTAAAGTTATAGAACACCACTTAATATTTTTAAACAAATAAAATATACAGTTCTAAGATTAAAAAATGCCGAGGCCTGGGATGACAAGGGATGATTTTTTCAAGGCTGACATATTGTAAATGGGTCATATCCAAAATAGTCATAAATCTATTAATTCCTTTCAAGTGAGGCAGGAACAAGTGAAACCTAATACATTACCTGTATTATATAGTACTAACCATTTTTTGCCTATGAGAAAAAAAAGATACATTTTCTTATGAAGCTACTGTTCAAAGGGTTGAATATTGTACAGTACGTACAGGGCTTGCATGATAAATAGTAACAACTTCAAAAAAATCAATAAATCTAATGTAATTGAGAAACACAAACAGGCCCAAGTTTTGTCATGGCTAACCCAATACGTTCACAACCTCCTAGCTCAAAATTGTCTGAGCCAACTTTTTAAGTACTGTACTAAACACTGCTAGAAGTAGAATTTCATGAACTTTCCAACGCAGTGATCAGATTTCTGATCTGAACAACAGTTTTTGAGGAAACAGCAGAAAACTGATTCTCAAATGGTAAGTTTTTATTTATATACAGGTATATATATATTTTTTATTATTTTTGTGCCTATGTTTTATAGCGATATAAATTATATTGCATCTTGTAGCCAACATTATAACGAAGAGAATGGTACTGATAAAATTCATGTAAGTCTTGAGGGTTTTTTAATGGCGATTATTTTTTTTTTATACACGCTGGTGGGCATTCGACCGCATCGCATGACTTATGGTACGGGTACAGTATATAGTAAAATATATGAGAATAACACAAATTATAAGAACATATGCCATAATAACATACTGTATTATAGTATAATATAAAATAAGATCATATATATATATATATATATAGGTGGATGGGCATTCAACCGCATCACATGATTGTCATATAGTAAATGAAATTAACACAATATCTAATAATAAAATGCAATATAAAATGACAGAAAATATATTATAAAACAAATTCATTCTGTCCTGATATAAAATAAGATCATTCTGTACCCATATCCTTCAGCGAGGTGGAAGACTTCCAGAACTTGTAGATGCACTTTGGGGGAGGAAGTGAGTGAATGAGCCCGAGTAAAATGTAAGAGTGAGAGCGAATGATTTTGTGTGTGTGTGTTGTGATTTATGACAGGAGAGTGCACTTAGTGTGGTACTGACTGAAGCAATCTCCAAGACACAGAGGCAATTCACACACAGGGCACATGTGACTTGTGTCCCTCCTACGGCCGTGCCTCAGGTAACACAGGTGGCACTGCACCCACCTCCTCTCCGGGATTCTCTCTCGGCTGTGGCCACGTGTTGCATCAAGGCGTTGGTCTGTACCCAAAACTTTATGTTGCTTGGCCTGTGGACCCTGTCCACATCCTTGCCTCTGTACTCTTGCCTGAGATGCAGGTGTGGCAGAGGGGTCAGGAGCCACCAATGGAGCAGCAGTGGTGGCAGGTGTTGAACCAGTTGTGGCAGGAGCAGCGGTGGTGGCAGGTGTTGCAACAGTGGTGGCAGGTGCTGCAGCGGTGGTGTCAGGAACTTCTCTAAGATGTGCCCCCTAAAATCCAGCATCACCATCATCTGGGTGTCAGGGCAATATATTTTGTATAATGCAAACACATTGAAGAGGGCCATCTGAATAAGGTGAACTTCCTGGTCCACTTGAAAGTTCACCTTTGGATGGGATAGTATTGAGCCATCTGGTCATAATTATTTTTTTTTTTAGTTTATTGGGCACTACCCTACATCCTGTGCAAGGTGAAGCGCAGAAGTGCTTACAGCGCCCATCTGGGAAGCATGCTAAGTTCATGCTTGCTTTTATGTCTCATGTGTTAAGGGTGTAGAAGCCTGAAGGGCCATAAGTTTTTTGTCAGCAAGTTATTGGAAGCTCCAAAAATTTTCCCTGAATACGAATTCGCAACTTTTCGATTTACAACAGGTACCTACTTTACTGCTAGGTGAACAGGAACCAAGGAGGGCTAGGAAGTGTGTCCAAACAACTTTCCACCGGCCCAGGAATCGAATTTGCATCACCGTGAAGTTGGTCTTATCATGAATATGACGCGAATTGCGTCACGATGCGTGAGAGGGTTAATGATGTCTGTTACTTGGGAAATTTTTTTTTTTCACATACCGCAGGAAAAAATATCCAGTGGTGCTGATATGAACCAGACAAGAAACCCACAGAATATGGTCAACTCCCCAACTAATCCTTCACCCCCAAAAAAAATTTCCAAATATTTTAAGATCAGTGGAAAAACCCGAGACATTTTGATTTAATATGATAAACATTTCGTGTTTTTTAAGTACCGTACTGTACTGCCCATCGTAATTTATTAAGGTATGAAGTTGTTACCATTCATCATGGGTCTCTCATACTTCAGTGAACATGACTTACAAATACTGAGTGAGCATTATATTCTGTTTGTTTGGGTATCTACAATACTTACAAAAATACAACCAATATATTTAAATCTATGGTGGGTAACTACTGGCATGGTTTCCATTTTTATTTTATTTTTATTTTTTTACCATTTTGTTTGAAAGTGAAGCCAATAAGCAATATACAGTACGAGCAACAGTCTTTTAAAAGCATTCCCTTGTGTCTTTGGATGATACCTAGTACACTGACCCTTGCTAGTTCCATATTTATTATAAAAAATTTGGGGAAAACTTGATATTTTTGTTGTGATGGATTTTGTGACATTTCATGGTTTGGAAAAAATTTGAATTTGTCTGACTTTCTTTATATAATGAGAATGTGTTCCTATGAAATAAAAACTTTTAAAAATGCCATTAGTTTAAGGTCTCACAATTGAAATACACTACCTGTACTTTATACAGCCCCCTCCCCCCCCAAAAAAAAATCACTGGCGTAGTAAAAATGAAAAAACAAAAAATAATATTAAAACCAGAAACATATGCCCCCCAAACCTTAAATTTGGTTGAAGTTATTCCAATATCTATAATGTTATAAATAATATTAATTATAAAATAAACTGCACAGTGTGTACAATATTACTGTTTTATAATACAGTACATGCATTACACAAACATTTAACCCTTAAGCCCCGGGTTAGGGGTGCTGCTGGCAGAACACCCCCAGATAAATCGAGAAAAAATCAACTTTTCCAAAAATAATAAAACAGTGGCGGGAATAGGCGAACGTTCTGGAACGTTACCCAGGGCCTAAGGGTTAATATATACTGTTCTGTACATTTATTCAAGTTAATTTAAAAATGTCTACTGATTACAGAATACAGTACAGTACTGTAAAGTATATTATTATTAAGACAGTGTTAGGGTTTTTCTCATGCTAGGTTTCCCAGTATCAAACGTCAGAACACATATCCTGTGCAAATCACTAATTTCTTTTGAATTGTCGGCAAGTTTGTAAAAAATCCAGAATTGTGTTGTAATTTGGGTAATTTGATATTTTGTGATAATTCAATCAACCCGGAGCCTCGACTACTTTGAATTAACAAGGTTTGAGTGTACAACCATCTTTAACATTAAATATAAAACCACAGTTATCAAGTTTTAGAAGCAGATCACCTGAAGATAATATAAAGGAACCATAAATACAGATATGTAGTGTTTAAGCCAACACCAAAAGTCTTCACCGGTATAATTTTTTTCACTTTCCAGCACTTGATCATTTAACTGATCAGTGATGATGGAGATTGCTAGGTGAAGCAGGAGAGCCCTGAAAAAGTCCAAAAAGTTTTCACTATTATTAAAGCAGCACATATACTGTACTGTGTTACTGATTACTTTATCATTTAAAGATATCATTCAGGCCAGTAGTTTCTTTACTGCTCTCAAGTCCTTCCATTCTTTAAATTTTATAAAGAACTAATATAAAACCAATAAAAACTGTCAGTATTCCACTTCTACAGCAACAGAAGTCTTATTTAACATTCTCAAGCTTAGATTTTCATATTAACCATGGCCTGGTCTTCCTGGCTGAGAAACACCTCTTACAATCGCCTTCTTCATGGTCACTTGGCCTGTGTCCCACTTCTCTTCTTCACTGTCTCACTCTTTTATTGAATTTTAATATTTTTTTTTACTCGTAAAGTCTTTTGCATAAAATACACTCTAATACAACTGTAGCCACAAGATTCTTTTTTTATTATTGAAAAAAGGTCACCTTGGATTGACCTGGATAACTTGTTAACTAAATCTTTTGTTGGTTTTTTACCCTATAAGCCTGAAATGATCTGACCAGACTATTCTAGAGATAGCTGGATAGAGATAGCATCAACCAACAATATGTAGTTTTAATTGCTTACATGTTCACTTTTCTTCACTGAATAATTCCTTCATAATTGTTTGTAAATCTTCAACTACATAAAACTGATTTATAGAAATACCTTTAGGAAATCATAAAATTGTAATTGTTCTTCCTGACATCATCACGGATCTTGAAGAATTCTTCCTCGGTGATATCCCAGGATGAGATTCCAAGATTTTCAAGAGATGGACAGGAAGCCATCAGTCTGTATACACTCTCCAATGTAAGTGGTACCTGAAAATTAATTCCAATTTTTTGATGCATTATTCAATTTCTCCTGTAAAAAAAAAAAAAAAATAAATGCAGTACAGTACAGTAAGTATTCACTGCTGAAGCTTTTCATTTAATAACCATAATTCCCATGCAGTAAATCATTAAATCTATATATTGTACTGTACAGTAGAGAAACTCCTCTTGTTAACAGACCCTCTATTTGCCTTCACTAACAGTTGGGCTTTTATTCAATTATTGTTGTCTGGTACTAGGAACTATCAAGGATAAAATCCACTTCAGTGAGAAGTCTTTCCCATGATCAAAAAAATTAATTTTCCATAGATCTAGCACATGAGTAAATTGATGGGTGAGTAACTTGTGTTAATTGAGAATGTTTAGTTATGTAGCACTTCCAGTGACTGGCTTCCATGGAACAAGGCCTTTTGATTGATTGAGTTGGGAAGCCCCAGGCCCTGGTAACGGGACAATTAGCATCCAAACCACGAGTTCGTTGTACAGCCCCATGCTAACAAGTGTTTTGTAAGGAAGAGATTTTACTGCAGTTAAAACAGTTTCGCTCGGATATACACTAACTTGCAAATTCATTATGATATCCACAATCATACTTGACTCAGTACGTACTTCTAAAAGATAACTTTGAGTCAGCCAAGCCCTGCATTTGATGCCTGGCACACCCAAGGCAGTGAATGTGCTGGGCCCAATGATAGCTACCCATACCACCTGATAACTATGACCTACAAATATGATAATGTACAAATTGTGTAGTCTGTGCATGTGTCCTTTGTGGAAACAATTACCCCAATACTGTACTGTATCATATTTGTTCATGAAGTTTAGGCAAATTGTGACTACAGAAATAAGTATCTGTGAGGCTTTAATGTATTAATACCTGCATTCTAAATTACATATTCTTTCATTTTTTAATGCCTCCATTGCACCAAAGATATAATCTCTACTTGACAGAACCTCCCATTAGTGACAACTTGGTGTACCAGTCAGTCCACTGTTGACAGGTTCTTGTCTTCTTCCTAGTATGGCTGCTGAAAAAATTCCCTTGCCCCAATACTAATAATTTTTTCTCATTAACTACGGTAAATATTTTAATTTTAACATGAGAGGTTTTCTGTATCCCAAATTCTTTGACTTGGCTGCCTTCAAATTTTCACATTAGAATTGAAAATATTATCCATCAATTATGGTGTGTCACCAAGTGCTCACCAGTGCATGGTCATTAATTTTTAAGTACAGGTAATATATTTAATTTCAACTTAAAATAATACAAGACACCAGCACAAGCGATTTGCCCATTATCCATTTATGCTTCATGATGTGAATGAGAAACTGATATAAATTCAAGCAAGTACTGTATCTTGGCTATATAGAGCATTCAAGCCAAAATACTGTATCTATGGTGGTTACAATCTACTGATAAGACAGCCAGAGACATAAAGATACGACAAGACAGTCTTGTCCTGTGGTCTTGTTTCATGTTATGACAAAAAGGTGTTGGGTTATTCTATACAGTATTCAATGTGATTTTAACAATATTTTCATTTGATAAGAAATTACCATTATTAATCAATTTCATGTAAAAGGATCAAAGTTACTGCCATTGACATGACTTACGTGTTTCTCAGATGCAATGATGATGCGTTTGGCTTCTGTGAGAGGGTTAGCTGCAAGGATCCGTTTCAAGTACTGGTCAGTGAGGAATTCCAGCTCAGCTTTAAGGACCACAGACTCCAGCTTATGACACCACATGAGGAAAAATTCAACACATTCATCTGTAAATGACCACAACAAATCAATAACACATAGGTATTTATAATTCCTGCAATAATACAACACTTGGCTCTGCTACACTTATACTTTATACTGTACAGTATATATATATATATATATATATATATATATATATATATATATATATATATATATATATATATATATATATATATATATATATATATATATATATATATATATATATTTATTTATTTATTTATATTGCTGATATTTAACATGCCAAGGTACCCAAATGCAAAGCATGATGATGCACATAAAATCTTGAAGGACCAGAAGTACAGTAGTGTACAGTATAGGTAAACCTCGAGATACTATATCTCTATATGTGATATTCTGCTTTAACGATGGTTATAAATTAAGACCATCTTGCCATATACAATAAAAACAATTTGCTTTAATGATATCCATCGAATAGCCATTGATATCCATTGGTTGATTATTTTTTTTTTATCTCTAGTGCAAACTATGTTATGTATATACAGTACTCATATTAATTACTGTCTTGCAAGGATACCAACAATGCAAATTATATTTTTCTACATCAAGTCTTTGACACTAGCAAGCCTACCCACACGCCGCCATACAGCCATGTTTGGTTCTTTATCTAACGTACAGAACACCCGCTACTGCATGGCTCCATGATTATTGGCCAGCATCGTACAGTTTACTTATCATCAGATAGCACAAATATTTAGACTGAACTGTGTTATGGTGATTGTGAAGAAATGATATTTTCTGTTTTTGTGACTGAAGTGAGCAGTGTAACTTTGAAGAGGTCTGGGAAGGCCAAGACAACAGTGTCTCTGAGGTGAAGTTTGACATTGTTAAACAGCATGAAACTTCCCAGAGGCTGTGTGGGAGTCAGAGTGACGTCTCCATTCCACCTACAAGAGTCCTCTTAGCCTCAAAGGGGACATGTGCTGATGACCAGGCTTATTCTTCAGGATGTGGTGAGTGTTGTTTAATTGTTTTGTACTGATAGTAGTATTGTAGGAATTGTTTTGTACTGATAGTAGTATTGTAGGAATTGTTTTGTACTGATAGTAGTATTGTAGGAATTGTTTTGTACTGATAGTAGTATTGTAGGAATTGTTTTGTACTGATAGTAGTATTGTAGGAATTGTTTTGTACTGATAGTAGTATTGTAGGAATTGTTTTGTACTGATAGTAGTATTGTAGGAATTGTTTTGGCAGTGATACTGTGTGTTTGGGGAATGTATCCCATTGAACCCCATGTTATAATACTCCCCATTTACAATAATTTACCTAGCGATGGGTTTTTCAGAAACCTAACCCCATTATATAGCGAGGTTTACCTGTATGTATATTGCCAACCTTTGATATCATTCTGCAATAAATCCATTATTATTTTTACTGTGAATATAAGAATTATTAATTCAGTTCATCGTGATGTAACTACTAGAGTAATGAGAAAAACATATTTTATTTAATCTTTTGCCTTAATTTGTTATATTGCAGAGTAGCCAGAATCAAAGGCAATACCTGCACAGTATTTACTTGAGCCATGTTTCTACTTCCTGTAACTATTGTGCTAAGGGAAGAGTGTGTCTGTAGCTGCCCCACCTCAAGTGTTGGGGCATACAATAAAACAAAGAGAACCTGCCCATGCATCATCCACCTAAGACATGGTTGTTGATACATGGCAATACAGTACAGAGTGGTTACACTAACTACTTATGACAGTTTCTTTCCAAACTTGTAGGTGCAATGCAGTGAGAGACGAGAACAGCTGGCCTGGATTAATGAGCAGCTCATCTCCCTCTACTGTTGCTGTGGTGAGGTGCAGGGTTGTCAGGCAGGGACAGCATTTACCAAGCAGAACAATTTTTTCTTGGTTAACTTCATCACCTATAATGATAAATAATCATAAAACTTGCTCAAAATAAACTAAACATAATTTACTTGATCCAAAAAAATCCTGTCATACAGGTTGACTGTCTTTTATCAGTGTTTCCATCAGTCCGGCAACTCCCAGTTAACGACAATTGGCCCCAGACCCAATTCTACCAATACTGTATTTGATGACTTCAAAAAATAATTACCCCATAAAAGAAAATAATAATAAAATAAAACAATTTCAAACAAGACTTCAGTTCAGTAGCAGCTTGTCTATTTTGGCAGAACCAGAAGAACTTATACTGTAGTACTGTACTGGCAGACAGAATATTCTGATCCCAAAGCTGTGACAAATTTGTATACAGGTACAAAGAAATAACATTACAGAGCATTAGGCTATGTGTAGCTTAGGCTAAAATACCATTAATTATCAACCTATTTAAAAGGAATTTCTATCATTCAGCCCACCCCTGGTCTCAAGGTTGCTGGGTAAGAGAGGATCAACCAGTATAATACAGTAAACACCTCGCAGCACTTATTGCTTGTCTTGTACTCGCCTGAAATGCTTCATATACAGTAATGATATGTACGATTTCTTTATATGGTACATGCATGAAGGCAAGGAACCTTGTGTTGTCAGTACTTAGAGTTAAGGTCTTTTGGCAAGTGTTTAATTCTAATATTTAGTGTTTACAGTATAAGGGAGGGGAGGAGCTAGCATTGTTTTGCATTTTTTATTGTTTTCCTAATTTGACTACCACATTATGGCAAAGTTCCAAAGTCTTAGTTTACTCTATTGTACTATATACATTGAAACCTGCATATATCAGAATTATATCTCCATATACAGTAGTACCGTAACCTATTAGATGAGAGGTTCCCATATAACGGACCCTAGATATAACAGACTTTCATATCTACTAAATAGTTCGTTACATGGAAGTCTCACATATAACGGACCCTCGATATACTGCAATGGATTTTCCATTCAAAATACGTACAGTAACACTTTTAATAAGAGGTTTCAATGTACAGTATATGCTACATTGCAAATGATCCAAAAAAGGACAAGTCATTACGAAAAGTTTGACAAAACAGGAGTTGTTAAAAGCCTCTAGTTTACCATTGTTGGGCAGTGGTGTTTTCTCCTTCCTCACCACCTCCATCTGATGGTAAACTAGTGGTGGGGGCTCTACTCACAAATGACTGATAGTTTGATTTTAATTACAGGTACTGTATGTTTACAACTGTCAATAAATGGAAAAAAAACACATGAGAATCATTAGCAAGCTGTAAAGAGTCACATAAGGAAAATACATAATGTATTTTACAAAAAAAAAAATTCTTGATTGGATAACTTTTTTAGTTTAGTTGACAATTGATGGTTGATTTATTTATTTACCAATAAAATTTGAAAACCTATCCTGGTTCATTACGAGATAAAAAAATGTGTACCAGATGTACGCACAGTAGTACTAAAAGCTTATATGATAGCAAGTCTGTGTAAGCCGAGTGCAGCTAATTACTGTTCAAAATGAATAAAACACTCCAATTACCATTATATAGTGTAAAGATTTACTGTGCAGTACAGGACACCCAAAAACCCATCACATGCAACTGGAGTGCAATGGTGGACCTGATCTCTTACAATAATTTTCTCAGACTTAATAGCACAATATAAACCAGGTTTTCATAATGGGTTTTGTGATCATTTATGATAACTGTCATTACATATTTCACATTAGGTACAGCGGGTATTGCAATATATCACATAACTTGTAAACCAAATACAATTTAATCAAACTACCCGGTATACTTGTTCACAGTCTTCTGCAGTAGTAGTAATCCCATAAAGCAATTCATTCATCACATCACAAATCTAGAATTAACATTCCAAACCACTGTACTGTACTGTACATGGATCATTCAGAAGACATGCCAAGAAAATCAGCACTATTTTAGGAATCTTTATTCGAATTTACCCCAGAACTGTACATCAACTTCTAACCTTATCGTACTGTTCTCTGACCTTCATGTCAGGTTCACTAGGGCCTCCTATCACCACAGGCAAGGTCGTGAGGTTCAGAAGGGATGTGTCACACAGAGGCACTTCTAAATCTAACATAACTGCATCTGTGGCACTCCAAGGCCTTTCTGAACCCTAAGTTCAAATAAGTGAAGGACAAATTAGTGGGGTTTTAGTGCACAGGTATTCGGTCACAAAACCAAATTCTTTGGGACCACAATATTTTTGGTTTTCAAGATTTTTGGGTTTTCAGAATGATAGACCAAATACCCTACAGTTTCTCTTTGATTAACATTGCGACTTTGTTTTTACAAGATTCACCAATTACATCACACCGTTCACTTAAACTTGATTGATAGACGAACACATACTGTGGCTAACTTGACATGCCTAGGATGAAGTCTGTGAATGCAATACTGGATGTGTGAATGCAATACTGGATGTAGTCAGATTTATCAACTGTTACTTTTCATTACTATACCAAATTTAGATACATTTTCAATAAAACATTTGTTTGGTAATGAAAAAAATAATTTGGTACTGTACTGAAGGTTTTTGTTAATATTTTTAAATTTGTGATTGAAAAAGTCTGGTGGCAAAATATTCTATTTTCACTCCATTAAACAGGTCAATGAATATATTCCCTTTAACTTATAAAATTAATGTACAACTGTATCGTACTGTACTTACAGTTTAGCTGTAGAGTTAGAAGTGATACCCCAAGATTTGTTATGGCCTTAACAAACCCATTTCCCAAAATAGCTGATGTCTCTATTTCAAGAACTCTGAAAGAAATTGAAATGTAATAACAATACTGTATATAAATTCAACATACAGTATCATAAATTACAATTTGCATATTTACATACAGGAAGTCCCTGGGTCACAAACAGGTTGTGTTCCAAAATTTCTTTTGTTGGTTGTTCACTGCCAATTTGGTACAGTTTTCCCTACAGCATGACCCAGCAGAAATGTATTCAAAAGAAAGTAGAGTGCAAAAAAACTATATAATTATTACATCAAAAAGTGATGGTAACAAAAAGTAAAGGTGAATGATAACGTTTTTACTCTAAGACGAGACTAACAAGAGATCTCGTCCAAACACAAAGGTTGGCTTCCCATGCTACTATAAATGCAGTTTAGGAAATTGCGAACAGGAAAAAATTATTTATGATCAATAAATATCAGAGGTAAACTTCCAGCATGTGAATGTTCTTCATACCGTAGTATAATAGGTTGTCTGAATTATACTGTAACTATTTGGATAGCAGAGGAAGTACACGAGTGCAAATTAAATTACAGAATACCTACACAGTGGAGTCTCAATAATTTGAGTTACAAAAATTATCAAATTGCAAAATAGAGTTTAATTGATTTCAATGGAATAAGTAGAAAGATTTCATTTGCAGTGGAAGTGGGGGATTAGTGGTCTCATATTATTGACCTTCTGATGCACTTCATTTTCAGTGCACTATAAGGTAAAGAAACAACACCAATAATGACCGATAAATATTGAGCTCCATTTTTTACGCACATATAACCAAGAAAAAATGCCTGGACTATACCGTAGTTCACCAGATGGCCATGAGGCAGTGTTAGGGTAGATGATGCCTCAGCTGACAAATGAAGTGAGTGATGTGTTCCATATGCCGACTTGGCGGGATGACGAATATCGTTAATGCGAGTTTGTGTACATCGCAAATAGGGAAGTGGTCTTAATATATCAGCATCGTTAATGCAAATTATCATAGATTGGGATACAGTATTGTAAATAGAGATTTATCTGTACTGTACCCTCTAATAATAATAATAATAATAATAATAATAAACGGGTTTGTTATAAATAGTTTTGAATTTAAACGAATGATTTACTAACACAAACTTCAATATAAATGATGTGGTTCAGATCTAAATGATTTAGTGACCACTCGGTGAGCCTAATTCGAACAAATTTCAAGTTGCATAATCGAATATGAAAAAAAATTTGCTATGATAAAACACTAAAATTGATACCTAATATATCATAAAACACAATAGCACATTTTATGTAAAAAAAGAAAAAAGAAGCTCCTTCCAAACTAAAACCATTCTTTGGGCAACACAACACAGTTCAACTGGGCAGTCACCCCATTTGACTCCAAGACATGTGTGACTGCTGCCACGCTGTGTGTATGACAGTTACAGCCTCCACACACATTCACTTCCCAAATATATACACCCATGCTCTTCATTTTTCTTATTTTACAGTTATATATTATATTTTCTTTATTTTTAAGCACATTAGAGTTTTGTAATCATTTTTCCATAACTTCATAGTTTCATTACATGCAGCATATTACAGGCCACCTCACCCCCATATTTTCCCCTTCCCAGTGAGTCAAACTATCACTGAACCAAATTTTGACCTACCCGGTAATGTTAAGTGAGAAAGGATGTCAAAAAAATTTTATCGCTAAATCTAATTAATGTTAAGTGAATTACAGCTAAACGGGGGATACATATACAACTTTTCAAAATTAATACAGTACTGTACAGTAACTTCTCTGTTAGCCTGAATTTTTATCCCCTGATTCACCATTACCTGAAATGAAAATCTGAGCATTCCGAGAAATTCCGGGAAAAATCTGTTCCAGGTACTCGAATATATTTCTGTGAGATTACATCATGCACACTTCCAGAAAACCTTTCAGTTCAGGGCATTCAAATTTATTTCCGAGATTGCGTCATGCTTCTACGTATAAAATCGTTCCGTGAATGTGGCTGGGCTAGCTTCTTGGGTAACTTAGGCCATAGGCTTATGTGCTGCGATTGGCTAATACTGTCATGCGATTGTGTGGGATGACTATGATTGGTTGATGCATCTCTCAGCCTATCTCCTCAAACCCTAGCATCACGAAGTTCCCTCCCTTGTTGCTAGTTTTGTATATGATCTGTATTGTGCAGTACAATACCAGGACACAATCAGCCAAGAATACAGCATTAAAGCAGTGTTAAGACATCAAGAGTGATTACAGTTATGTATACGTACTGGAAATTTACATTGAGTGAGTGTGAGCACCATACATACATTACTGTACATAGCAGAGTAGGCTGAAAGATGCAGAAAAGACCCAGGCACCAAGGGGTTGAGGAAAGGTACAGCAAAAAAAACTGTCCATGAAAGAAAAATTAGACATACTGAGCAAAATTGAAAAGAATGCGCCGGTGAAAGTTTTAACGGAAGAGTAAGGAGTGGACATGTCGACCATCTACAATATGCCAAGGGAAAGCTGAAGAGACAAGAACAGAAAGCAGGTGAGGAAGGTAGCCTCGCCCATATGGCTGACACCAGGGTCATTCTTTTTTGTATTCCTATACATACTGATAACACTGTTGTTGCTTCAAGAAACACTGATGTGCTCATGCTCTTGGTCACACAATTCAGCAAGATCCCTAGTACAAACTTATGGATGAAAGCTGGCACATGGACAGTGACATAATCAATTGTTTCAAGCTCTCACTGGATGTGATAGTTTACTGGTCACCCCAAGAAGTCTGCATGGAAAGTATTATCTTCTCATCATGCCCTGATGAAAAACTTCAGCAATGTTGAATTATCTGCATCTTCTACAGAGTTCCATGATTTAAGGTATAAATGGAATTACAGTATACAGTACTATATACTGTAGATACACTAATTTTGTATTTGTATACTTATCTTTCTTTCATATGCTTCTATTGATACATTTTAATTAATAAAGTATTTTATGATGAAGGTACAGTATAGTAAATGTACACAGTACAATGATTAACTATGGAAGGGTCACTTCTGTTTTATAGACAGCCTCCAGGAATGGAACCCATCCTTAACCCAGGGAGTGTGTGTAATATAGAACCTCTCCCTTACATACAGTATTATTCTGTAATCATGCATGATCACATTACAGTAGACCCTTGCCATTCGCGGGTTTGCAATTCGCGATTTCGACGATTTGCTGTAAGCAGATGGTGGCTAGCTTGCAAGCCATTTCCTGAAGCACAACGAGTCACCCCACACAGTATCTCATGTTGTACTCTCAAAACTTTAGTGTTTCTGTGTGAAATGGCCCCTAAAAGATGGCCTAGTGTCAGTGCTAGTGATGCTAGTGGAGTGAAATGTAAAAGGCAGAAGTCAGCGATGACCCTGACAAAGAAAGTTTTAATATTAGATAAGTTAAAAGAGGGGACGAGTGTTGCTGCGGCTGGTCAGTTGTTTGGTATAGGTATACAGTAGTGCACTAAGGTAGCATAAGTTGCTATTCGCGGTTTTGCCAATTAGTGTGATTTCTTGGAACCTACCTCTCGTGAATGGCAAGGGTCTACTGTACTAAGTGAGTAACAATCTGAACATCGATAAATAGTACAGGAATGCACGCCACCTGTTGGTAAACAGACTTATTTTAATGGTTCACACTCAAACCTTCAAGCTTCATTGGCATTGACGGGGGAGCTTTACCAAAATTCATCATTGTTTGTTTCAGAACATAAAGCACAGTGAGTGTAACATAACTTTATTCTTGGACTGTACTATGCAGTACTGTATGAACTGAAATGAATAATAAGGCAATAATGAAGATGTGGCAAATATATAAGAGATAGAGAAATGCAGGGAAAGCATACTGTACTGTCTACTGGATATAAAAGCTTAGTAAGATGATACAGTATGGCCTGGCAAATTACTGCACCTGTACTTTATAAATAAGTCTATTAGTGCTTGTACTTTGCATACAATTTTTGAATCAATAAAAATTAACAGCTTACCTAATATCACCCAACTGTGGGACCAGCGCTAAACTTTCATCATCCACGAACAAGCTGGCAGACTCTAGACATGGACAGGCACCCCCAACCCAGGCAATTTCTTCCTCTTGTGGTTCAAATAAAGTCTGTAAAATAAATGTATACATCATATGTAAACAAAATGTCAATTTAGTATTGTAATATTTGAGAAAAGACTGGAAAGCACTGGGCAGATCAACACGTCAGGTCTGATAAGAGAACTCTTAAAATACAGCATCTATTGTAAATTTACTGTACAGTATATACAGGTAAACCTTGATAAACGATGGGGTTTGGTTCCTGAAAACCCATTGCAGTGAAATATTGTAGATAGAGAGCATTTTAACATAGGGTTCAATCTTCAATGGGATACGTTCCCAGGCAGTCCCCAAACACACATGTATCACCGACAAAAAATTCCTACATGTATAAAACCTACAGAAAACAATTAAACAACACTCACCATACCATGAAGAATAAGCCTAGTCATCATCACATGTCCCCTTCGAGGCTAAGAGGTCTCTTGTAGGTGGAATGGAGACGTCACTGACTCCCACATAGCCTCTGGGGAGTCTCATGCTGCTTAACAATGTCACGCTTCATCTCAGAAACATGATTGTCTTGGATGCTTTGGCCTTTCCAGACGATTTCAAAGTTACACTGCTCACTAAACAGTCACAATAACAGAGCAAAAGCACTTGTCACAAAAACAATGATAGCAGCCAACACTGCTCACATCATTTTCACAACAACAGTCATAAAATGACAGAAAATATCACTTCAGTCACCATAACACAGTTCAATCTAAAAACAACACCAATGATAAGTACAATGTACAGTCCCCTTCACTAGTTCATTTACAGGGGCTTATCATTTAAACATTCCACAAATCATTATCTTTGGGATATTTGTTTTAATATTGATTGAATTTGATTCCATATTATGTTTACTATTGCTAGTTTCCTGTAAACACACAAGTGAAGGGGACTGCACATACAGCCAAAGATGCCGAGTGATAACTGTGGAGCTACACGATGGCAGGGAGTTACGATCGACAAAGCACTAAGCGCAGGACTGTAGTGCGCAGGTTGGTCGTGTGGTGGTGCGCTGGACGATAAGACGGCAGCTAACAAGTGCAACCAGAGATACATTACCTTTGGTGGTGCAGAGGGTTACATATTTGCATTGCTGGAATCCTTGCAAGACAACGATTAATTTGAGTACAATATATACAACCCATACTTTGCAGTAGAGATAAAAATAAAAAATAAAAATAAAAAAAATAAAAAAAATAAAAAAATAAATGGATATCAATGGATATTGTCAAAGCTATTTTTTTTTTACCGTATGTAGCAAGATGGTCTTAATTCATGATCATCGTTAAAGTGGAATATCGATGAATGAGACATTGTTTATCGAGGTTTACCTGTACAGTAAAGTAAAACCTCCCCACAACTCGGCATAGCACTGCATGACTGTTACATTTTTGAGTAGTTGGCAAATTGGTGCTAAGTTGGTATTAGTCGAATCATTTACGGGAACTTGGCAAGCTGACACATGGTTGGCAGCTTGTGTCGGCCCTGTGAGCATCAGTTTACATGTGCTTCTCGTTACAGGTAGACCTTCTGACAGTGATTAAGTGGCTTTAGTGTTATTTTAGAGATAGTGTTATGTATTAAGTGTACAATAGTCAAAGTTTGTCAGAAGAATTATTTACAGTGCCTATGAAGTGTTACTGTTATGTATAAGATGTCAGAACAATTTACTGTACTGTACAGTGCCTGTGAAGTGTTGCACATAATACAGTATACAGTACAGTTTGTCTACCTTTTGCAAGCTCATCACGAAATTGCCCCTTGCTGTTGGTAAGCACTTAATACAACTGTCTGTATTTAATTATATATACAGTACAGTACAGTATTGGCTTATTACCAATTAGCCGGCAAATTTAATTACTCGGTGGCAAGACCTCAGTTCCATATGTGCCGAGTTATATGGGTTTTACTGTGTAAGTTGAGAATCTTCACATACTGTACTATGTTTCTAGTGTGTGTGATAGTTGAATAATGAGAAGTACTGAACTATTGTACTCACCTGAGTTTGCTCAAAATGTGTCAACTTAAATGTGGTATTGGATTTTTTAAACCTGTTGATCATGACAGCACCCAGCTGATCACACTGTAACTTTTGTAAGTTCTTGCCATACTGCAGAGCATAGGCAATACCATCTGTTGTTACCTCCCAGCATTTAGAGATACCCAGTTTTTCAAGTTTGGGACACCCTAGAGCTAGAGCTTTAAGTCCTTCATCAGTAACAAGATCAGAGATAGATACAATCACCTCAGTAATATTTGGACATTTTTGGCTGACAATGCACAGAATTTCATCACTGCATTTGCTGACCATATTGAGAATCATAAGATTTTTCATGCTTCCCACTTGTTCACGTACAACGTTTCTTATGGTCATATTAATAGCCACGGGAAGTCGCATTTTGAAGAAGAGCCCACTCAAGTCTAGTCTCTGTACATGTGGTTGAAGCAACACCTCAAGACACGTTCGCATTCCAATAGTCCTTCGAGTCCTACTCACAGTTTGATGAATTGTTTCAATGACTTTGGTTATCATATTTTCATTTATGACAGCAGGAAGTGATGCTACTGTGGAGGATAATTCTTCTGCAGAAACTTGGCAACTTTCTGGTTCTTCTTCTAATTCAACCTGTGAAAAGTAAATTTGAAACAGTTACAGGGGTATGTAATATTCAACTCAAATGAATAAATAAATGGAGAATCTCTGTTATTACAAACCAACAGAGAGAGAAAATAGTCAGGAGAGAGATTAAAAGAGTAGAAAGTGGCAGGAATGGGACAAAGCAACAACCATTGTCTGCTAGCATCCAAAAAATTCACAAAAATAAAGACTGAAAATTGAAATCCCATTTTACTGTTAAAGGGCAAAACAAGTTACTGTACCTGCAAGATCACTAATCAGGACACCTTGGGACAGAATTTACCTTGTTCGGGAGTCTACCTGTATTCTTGAGCCAAGTATACACTGTCCATCTTGATAAATGCAAATGCAGCATAAACAACTACTCAGATGATTAAGTTTATGAAGCATGCTTCAAGCTTGATCCAGTGGTGCCTTATAAAGCTATCAATCAACTGGTGTACTGTACATCAGGATGAACCTGAGTTTACCTAACTGAATCTCCTAGTTATAATTTTTAGACTCATACATTAAACTTCAAATATTTTTTTGCCAGATAAGGAAACCCACCAAGGGAGGAGAGAAGAATTCCATCTCATTTGCCTTTTTGCTTGACCATTAAATGGGATTTCATACTTTGATCCTTTGGTTTATAGGTTTCGAGTCATTCGACATGTGACCTTTAAAATTTCTCACTGGCGAGGAAAGGGATGGGGACAGGGCAGCTCTCCATGTTTTGTAATCTCCTGCAGCCTCTCCCATCAGGTTCCTATCTTTGAGATAATTTCTTACAACCTCTCTTGATGTCACTCTTGGTCTACTCTCACACTCAAACACCAGCTTCTCTTGGACCAACTGATCTCCTCCATTCTTCCATATGCTTGAATCATCTCAACCTACACACAAAACCTTGCTAATACTCTGAACACCCAGCTGCCCTCTTAAAGGGTTTCCATCTCTAAATATCACATCACACATCCATCACATCATTTTCATCTCAGCTCACTCAAGACTACATACTGCATGTCATTCTCTTTAACTGGCCATGTTTTACTGCCCTACCACTCAATGGGTTAAAACCAATCTTGAATAACCCTTTAAGGAGTAGTGTCACATTTAGGTATTTCATTTTGGTTAACCTTCAAGATGATTTCCTTCAGTTGAGAGAAACCCCTTTATCAATTTCTCGGTCACCAATAATCTGACAGATTCAGGTCCCGAGAAGTTTCCATGCTCAAGTGCATCACCTTTTCCCTTGTAAATTATCAATATCATGCACTTCATCCTAATTATATTCTTCAATTTTCATGCCCAGCACTGTCCGTGTCCGATGCCTTCAACATTTATGCAATTATTCCAGAGACACCAGCATTGTTTTCATTCTTTATTTTGTTAATTGCTCTCTTCACTCATTCTCTTTCAATCCTTTGTGTATGGTCCCTGTACACTACTGGCTCTGCTGCTTTTAGGCTGCCCCACAATTGATGCATGCAGATAATTGTAGTGTTTGAAGGTGTACAATTCTTTGTGTATACTTACAGCAAGTCGATGAAGAGTTCCAGCCATCACCATGAAGCACATATGCTCCAGGCTCTCAACCTGTTTCCTGGGAGGCATACTTCACCTCAAAACTAGTTCCACAAATTCCAATTTCCTGAAAAAGAATGAAACAATTAATGGGGTGTCCTTTGTCTTGCCTTATACAGTCTCTCCTCGACTTATGACGGGGTTCCAACCAGACGACCAAGTCATAAGTCGAAAAGGCGAAAAATATTACATAGAAATTCTAAAATGGGTGTCTCTTTTTCTTTTCAGCACCACGAGAACTCTCACTTTTACGCTTGCCAGCCATTTTAAAGGGAATTACAAAAACAATTTTTGTCAGTACACAGCACGATCACTAACATCGGGACTCGAAAATAGGTAATGTGAAAAATATTTTATACGACCACTGTGGTCATATATCCGGGTTGTCCTAAATTGAGTATGTTGTAAGTCGAGGAGAGACTGTATCTACTGTTTGTCAGAAACACCCAATGCAGTAAAAATCTTATGTCTCTGGAGGTACAGTCACAGGCAGTAATTAAAGACCCCTCCCCCCAATAGCTGGAGCCATGACAAGTGAAGGGGCTGGTGATTGGACAAACCCATCTCCCTCCCCATTCCCTGTCTAAAAGTTACTGGGTAGTTTTGAAACTATTGTGGCTGGCGATGTTGCACTATGTCAATATCAGCCTTCACTGGCTGTGGCTCCAACTACCAGGGGGTGGGATGATAGCAATTACTGCTTCTGATTGTACATGGTAGTACTGTAATCAGAAGGTATACATGTACTACTTTTCAAAAATGACTTGGGGATCTGGAAGCCACCATGTCCCCAAAATAAATGTAAGCATGATGGAATGGCAACATTCAACTTGATCAGCAAGGAGTGAGCAAGTGTTAATTTGGTGCTTCCAGGGTCAGCTTCCTTCCTAACCACCCATCCTTCTCTCTCCACCAAGATATACCAGCAAACCCTCTTCAAGAGTACAGTACAAAATTTGTTAGGTAGGTTTAGTTACCATAGGTAAGATATGGAAAGGACACTTGGAAGCATGTGGTTGTTTAGCATTCAGTTGGTCACTGGGAGGCATTTGTCAACAAGTGAAGTGCCACACCGGGCATTGAGTGGACAGAACATGCTTACAACAGGAAGTAAACATTTTAAAAAACAGCAAATCTTCTACATGTTTTGGAATACTCGTGAGGTAAGAAAAGTCCTCTTATATAGAAACATTTCCTGAATTTCTGGCTAACTTGTAAATGTGCATAGAAAGAAGATACAGAATGTTAAAAAGATAAATTTCAAAATTAATTAACATCATTTTAATTGCTAGACTCAAAATTCTTAATTTATGTAAAAAAATAGTTCTCACCAATTTCTACTGTACTTTATTTTTAATAAATTAATAAGGTTTCAAACTCAGCTCTGAGCATTGACAATTTTGGCATACAGTATTTATTGTATATAATGGACAAGTGTCTCCTAAAGTCTCCTAAAGAGGACATAATTATAAAACTATCTGAGCTTTTTTATTTGGATGAATTGATATAATTTATAAGTTTCTAATATGCAAATAGTTCACTGTTTTCACCTACGCAGCTCCCTGGAGCAAAGGAAAACAGACTAGTACAGTATTACAGTACAGTACAGTACAGTACAGTACAGTACAGTACTCAACTACTGTACAGTATTTCTCATTCAGCAGAAGCAAACCATATTCAATGTTTCCAAATTTTGGTCTAGTCCAACTAAATCCAGACATTGATGAGTGGCAGTTTGTTTTCATTAGCTGGAGCTGCATGGTGGTTTGACAGATACTTGCTGCTTTGTAAGGCATTTAAGAAATTCATCAATAAAAAAAATCTTAATGCAATCCATTCTCATTAATGCTGCACATAATCACAAGTGCCTTTAGTGATATTTGGGGAGTTTAGGAACTTCTTGAAGTCCTGTATCAGACATTGTTACATTAAGTAATTTATCATTCATAAAATGAAGCAAATTACAGTATTTTCTTGATTTAATGAACTAATTCGAGCCCCCTTTTCAGTTAAATCAAAATTTCCGCTATATCGAACTCTCCGCTATTTTTGCTCGATTTAGCGAACTAGTTCACTAAATCGAGTGTGACTCCATTAAATTCCACGCCAAATGCGCCGCATGGCGTGTAGGGTGTTTACATCTGCTAAGTCTGTGTCCTGCCACCACCGAGTGTGTTGTTCACTGCTACCTCTCAGTCAACTAACTACTGTGCTAAGACATCATGCTGAAAGTCTCTCAGAAGTCTCCAAAAAGGAAGTGGTGTGGGGGACAAAGTAAAAAGAGTGCGGATATCAATTGGAAAAAAGTTTGGAGGCGTCTCTGTAGGTGTGAGCATATAAACGGAATTAATCTCGATTTAGCGAGCTAGTTCACTAAATAGAGCAAAAAATAATGGAAAAAATTCCATCCGCTAAATAGAGAGTATACTGTACTGCACCTGTTGTAATTATATATCTTCTATTATGTACAGAAAGACAGGATAAAAGTTGCATCATCCAGATGATCTTTGAATTCTGGGAAGGAAGATTATATGGAAATCATATACAGTTATAATGTTTAGGTAAAGCTCAAATTCCAGTAGATTGGGTTAAGCTATAGGTAATAAAACATGTTTTATGTAAGGTTTGGTAAGGATGTTTCTTTTTTTTTATGATAAATCATATGTTGTAAAAGTATCTGGTACCAAAATTTGTATTTAACTGATAGTTTGCCAAACTTCAGGAAACTTATCAGGTTCTGACTGTTCTAGGAATCTGTTCCATGTGTTTGAAATTGTGTCCAATGAGAAAAACTAGAATTTTTCTTTTTTGTCCATGGTATCCTACAGTGAGATAAAAACAACAGGGCATCTGATGGTGGCTGGAGGAACTCTGTTACTTAAACCAAGAAGAAATAGCAAAATTTATGTTACACAAAGTGTATCCTTTCTTTGTTGTTGTTGTGTAGTAAGAAAGGAAATATGTACTTTGGTGAAACCTTATAGAATAGGAAAAGATGCACAACTCATCTGGACATTTACCAAATAAAAGATAGTGGATATAAATTTTGTCAGGTTGTTAGTCAGGTAGTTTTTTTTTTTTGACTACAGTACCACCAGAAGGAGTTGATAGAATTGGACAAAAAATTGTGGAAACGTTATTTACAATCTATTATATAGATAAATGGAAACGAGAATGCAGAGAACCTATTAGAACTTGACCTAACTAACCTAATCTAAAGCAACCTACTTAATTTACTAGAAAAACCTTTTAAAACATACCTAATAACACTAAATGAATTTTTTTTTCCATTTTGATATTTAAGTTGTACAGGTAATTAACATTTCCACAAAGATTTGTCCAATCCTATCTACTCCTTCTGGTTTTAGTCTAAAAAATAAAACTACCTAACCAACAACCTGACAAATGTCCACAGAATATCAAGAAACACACATACAATAAACGGTTAATATTCGTCCATTAACTGTTCGCAGGTTTCCAATTTTCAATATTACAGACACAAAGACTATAAAAACAAACATACGACTAAATATAATTTCTGAGGCAAATCAATATTAACGGAGTATCTCGCAAATTTCTAGGCATAAATTTCTGTACCCGCCATGTTGCCAGAGTCACTTTTCTCGTCCTCTCCTCTTCCTCTTTGCGACATGACAACCAATGATCTTCATGTATCATGTCCTGTGACTTGGCTGGCCAATCATTTTGAAGGCTCGTGATTGCGTGCAAAAAATGCTCTTTCCCTTATCTAGCTGTTATTCAGCGAGTTTATCAGAACAGTGAAGCAATCCAAATATTACAAGAGCACAGTGTTCTACCAACATCAAGACTGTGTCCTACATGTGGAATTTTTTTACTTTTAAGAAAAGACAGAAATTCTTTTGTCTGTAGTAACCATAAGCGTACCAGATTGCCCAGCTGTATCCTCCACCACAGTAGCAGGTAAGGTCCAAAAAATGGGTAGGTTAGTTTAGTTTTTTTAGTGCACCGGTCCTTCTCTTGCTGTTATTAATATGTACTTCGTAATGTTTAGACAACTCTAAGACCCTTTTCTTCTATGATATTTCAGCCGGAAATTAAGGATAACCGAGATATAAAATTTTCAATATTATTAAATTCGCTCAGTCACAAGTGTTGCCATGTCTTATTTTCCTTGAGATGTTATCTGCGCATCACGCATGTGTAATATTGACTGACGTCATCCAGTCGTGACCAATGATGTATTGATATAATCACGCAAATTTTTTTGACTAATCACTTTTGATTTTTTTTTTCAAAGGAAGCAGCCTGGGTAATTTCATTGACCAGTCTCAATGGCCGTGGTGGAGGTTGGTTGTCATTTGTGCTCCTACGATTATTTTAAGTTTATTGCCAAGTTTTACGAGAAAGACGATTATTCTATCCAATTCTTACATATCCCTGGTCCTTCCACTTCGAACTAAAGTACTGTACTTTCGGACATGGCGCACCCCAAAGTTTTTAACTACTGAAACATTTAGGTGAGTTTAAGCTAGGCCTACCGGGGGTCCAGGGGCTCGGCTAGGTTAGGTTTTGTTAGGTTAGATGACTCGTTTTCGTATTCTCCCCCACCCAAAAACCCCGATTTCCCAGGCTCTCCCCCAATTATTGTTGGGGGAGGGGGGGCAAAAACTAGTGATTTCCGGCTGAAATGACTATCAAATTCGTTCAAAACTCGTCAAATATCACCGGAAAAACATATTTTTAATATCCAAACAAAGACCGGTGCACAAGTAAAAAATGACCTCAGTTTCTGTTACAAATGAAAATTTAATTTTTTTCAAAATCCACTAATTTGTACCAGAAATGAGGCCAGATTTGAGTAACACCATAATACACCAAAAATACCTATTTTTGTATCTCAGTGTGAGGACAGTCAATGGACGAATAGTGTCCCAATAAACTTAAACTAATTCTAAACATACTGTATTTACTGTCACAACTTTAACTTCATTCAATGACACCTTTAAATCTGTCATTCACTCTGAGTGATGTAAGGGTATACTATTTGTTGTTATAAATGACCAATATATTTAATTTTAGATATCAAGTTATACTAAAAAACTCGATGACTGATGACTGATCCAAATCCTGTTAAAGCCTATTGTTGACGAGCCATTTAAACAAACTGTAGTATTATCCTCCAATCAGACCATTTAATTACAGCTCAAAGACTACCACACTCAATAATAGAGATGAAAAGCCTTACAAGATTATTTAGTTCCTGGTATATGGGAGAGTAATCACCTGGGTAGTTCAACTGAGGAGCGTTTGTTTACACTCACTAACACTGGAGGTCGCTGGCACAAACAAAACCGCCGGGCTAAAACAATTATCCTTAACTAAACTTTATTTTAATTAATTATAAGGTTTTATTCCATACTCTCGTTTTTTTTAAAGTCAGAAAATTTAATCAAATATAACTAAACAGGATCTATTCTTAAGTTAATTTCTTAAATAATTAGTTTTCATAGAAGACTACTGCAGGGGGGAATGAATGGTAGAAACTTACACTGTATTATTGTTCACAGTAAATCGTATATTTAGATTTTATCTTTGCAACACACGAAATCTCTGGGAAAACATCAAACAAATTTTGATACAACTAATGAGGAAGATAGGGCCACAGTACCTGTGTAAGATTAATAGTTCGTTGCTTCCCCTGTAACTACGATTTCTGGGACTTGAAGGTAACAGATTAGAAGTTGTTACAGGTTTTAGCTGGTCAAGTGTGAAGCCATTTATGTTATCCTCTTCGCCACTGATCGGCCAGTTAGCCACTTGGGCAGTCGAATAACTGTCAAATACATCTCTATTGCACACTGTCAGCATGATGTACTGGCTCTATGTTACATACTGTCGGCAGGTACTGGGCATGTACTAACTATAACACATAGGTACTGGGCATTTACTGATTCTGTTACTCACTGTTGGTAATTACAGGGCATGTACTGGCTCTGTTATGCACTGTGGCTGAGGGGGGCCTAGTGTGTGTGTGTGTGTGTAGGGTGAGTGTGTGTGTGTGTGGGGTGAGTGTGTGTGTGTGGGGTGGGGTGTGTGTGTGTGTATGTGGGGTGTGTGTGTGTGTGTGTGTGTGTGTGGGGTGGGGGTGTGTGTGTGTGGGGGGGTGGGTGTGTGTGTGTGTGTGTGAGGGGGGAGGCTAGTTGTGTGTGCAGTGGGGGCCTAGTTGTGCGTGTGGAGCCTAGTGGTATGTGTGGGCCCCTCGTCTGTAGAGCAGCCAGATGAAAATGATGGAAATTTTGGAGCAGCTTTGAGGCATAGACTCCATGATGTAGATTAGGTGCTTAAACATCACGTTGACCTAATTGAGGTGTATAAGCATCTCAGGGGGCACTACTCAGTTGAGTGTCCTTACTTGGAGCTGGCGGACGCTCGCCCCACAAGGGGTCACAGCTCAAGACTGAAGAAGCCGCAAGTCCAGAAAACTGCGAGGGCAAACTTTTTCGGAGTGAGAGTCGTGAACTCTTGGAACAATCTGTCAGAAAGTGTTGTAACGGCACCGAGTGTGAGCTCTTTCAAGACCAGACTTGACCAACACTGGAGCAGGTTCAGGTACATTCAGGAGCCAGTGCATGCCTAGTACTTGCCAACAGTGCATAACAAAGACGTGACCGATCGCCCATGCGGCTAACGAGCCGATCAGTGGTGAAGAGAATAAAAGTAAAAGTAAGATCAGTGTATTGACTGGTCCCAGCCTCAAGTTGTCTGTTTCCTTGATTTTCAGTGATGCAGATGTGATGCCATAATGCTGCATGTTTTATTTGGTGATTGTAGTTTTTAGAAAAATGGTGCAGGTCTATTTTAGTTATTCATGCAAATTTACAAAGTCAAATGTATACTGAATCACTTGGTATTTCAGGGAGTATTGTGTCACATAAAATTTCAATGTTAATGTCGTGATTGAATACAAGTGTTTATTTTCCCACTTTATTAAAGATTTAATATTAAAATTCAAGGCAGTAGAGTATACAAAGAAGACACAAACAGAATAATAACCCCAAACAATGGTTTCCTCCCTTTAACACTTCCCTTCACGGGTAACCATGTCCAGAGTTGATGCAACCCCCCTTGTGCTCCCGGCTTGAGACACCACAATGAGAGCGCTGATGGAGGGCGTTACCTGACTTTGTTTTCATTAAATTTAGTTTTGAAAATAACCATTGTGTAGCAGCATTTGATGTTGATAGGGACAATACTATATATTGTACCAGTCAGGGAAAATGAAAATACCTGGAATTTCCTTGAATCCTAATAATCTTCAACTTTCATAAATTTTCTATAACATTATTAATCCACAATTAGTGTCTTTGACCTCTTGTAGCATTCTGATAGTCTAAATTTCTCCACTTGTCATCCAGTTGTTGTTGATCTTAATAAAAGCAGGTACTGTAATTATGAGTGTTTAATATCCATAAAAGTAGCATTTGTCACTTTTGTTTACTTCTGCTATATTCATGAAGTTTACTCAAGTGGTTTCAAGTTGATGTAAATCACTGTATTCAAGTACAGTACTGTACAGTATATCACATTATTCTTCTGCTGAAATTATTCCAAAATTTATGTAATGAAATTTTTTTCGTGCACAAGTATGTAACGCTTGAGATTGCCCTTAAGGGAAAAATGTTTCCCACTTCCATCACATTTAAAGTTTTCAATACCACAGTAAACAGGAGAATATATCTCTTGAGAGTACTCTTTTCTGAGAAATTTTTCCCACATTCATCACATTTAGAATTTTTAATACCACTGTGCACATGCAAATGTCTCTTGAGATCACTTTCTCTAGAAAATTGTTTCTCACATTAATCACATTTAAAGTTTTTAACACAACTATGCACAAGAATAAGTTGCTTGAGGTGATCCTTTACTGAGAACTGTTTCCCACATTCATCACATTTAAAGTTTTTAATTCCATTGTGTACAAGCAGATGTTTCTTGAGAGAACTCTTCCAGCAAAATGACTTGTCACATTTCTCACAAAAGAACGTGGTTTTTCTACTGGACATTCTGTACTTCAAGCTGGTGTCACATATGGTCTTGAGATGTGACATCACAGTGTCTGAAACATAAAGTTTAGCCTCAGATAATATTCCCACCACAAGTACTATATTTTTTCTTGTATTTAGCACACAAAAAGTACACATTCACATCTGAATCTCTTGGTAATGGTCGCTCATTTCAACTTCTTGGAGCCCCACACTTCCATTTTAATATTCCTGGATCCATAACCTGTATTAGTACCTTCGTTTAGTGGAAAGTTACTTTTTGATTGACTGTAGTTACCATGTACGACATTTGAAAAATATGTGGGGAAGCAAGACTCCCCACGAAACTCCAAATAATTAAATCATAGCTGATATTGTTTCTAACTTGATGAGAAGCTTTATAACAATAATAAGGAGCACGACATAAACAGTCATATTAAACTGAATACAGTAAAGCCTCAAATAATGACGGTAATGTGTCCTCCAATATTGCAGTGCGAGGTGAATCATCATATTGTGAATCATTAATTACTGTTAAAATAAAGCAATAATAATGAGATGCATTCCCTAGTGTGACCTTTTCATATCTTTTGTGTGGCCTTTCATCCTCTTTTCCCCCCAAACAATAAAATTAATGGAAAATATAAACTATATTCTTTAAATAATGATTATGAATGCACATTATACAATACTATAAATCAATAATAATGTCACCCAAGAGGAGATGTGGCACCATTGTTGTTGTCAGTGTTTACACCCATAATGTCAATTATCCACCTGAAACTGAAGAAAATAAGACCCTGGCAGATTGTTCCAAGAGTTCACAACTCTCACTCGAAAAAGTTACCCCTCACAGTTATCCGGACTTGCGGCTTCTTTAACCTTGAGCTGTGTCCCCTTGTGGGGTGAGCATCCGCCAGCTCCAGGAAAGGACACTTGACTGAGTAGTGCCCTCTGAGATGCTTCTACACCTCAATCAGATTTCCCCTTGCCCGTCTGTAGTACAAGCTAGACAAGTTCAGGGTCTCTAATCTCTATGGGTAGCTGAGGTGCCACAGTGCAGGCACCAATCTGGTGGCCCTCCTTTGAACATTTTCAATCAGCTGACAGTCCCTAGCATATCTTGGGGACCAGACGGGATGACAGTACTCCAAGCGGGGAAGCATTTCACTCTTGAAGAGTGTTACGAGGGACGGACCATCTAGATATCTGAACGACCTTCTTATAAGACCTAATAACTTAGTTGCCTGGTTTGCCTTCTTCTCGCAATGGCCCGAGAACTTCAGTTCATTGTCAGCGTACACACTCAGGTCCCTTTCACATTCCGTCTCATTTAATGCAGTCTCTTCGTCCTGTTGGGACTGATTACTTATATAACCCCTCAGATTAAAACCAGTGAAATGTTAGGGAGCACATTTCCTGTGAATTCCTCCAAAAACAAAAGAACCAAGAATATCACTTAATGCACTCTAAAGCAAACACCACTGTTTGTACTTCATTTATACTGACATGATCATATCATTAAGGGGAGAAATATGTGTAAAATAGAAGCAATATTTATACAGGGTTATATGTGCTAGCCATCATGTCAGTGGGACGTACCTTTGTGTCAACTGGCAGCAAGTGTTAGACTCACAACTCCCAAACCTCTACCTCGCTGTTTCTGTCAATACAAATAATAAACAAATTATTATACAACCCATGGACAAATTTTAGAAGCAGGGTGAAATTCTTTTTAAAACTTTACACTCCTGTACTGTACTAGACATACTGGTACACTGATCATAAGTTTCTTCTGGGGGTCCCATTTTATATTACAGTACTGTACTTCCATCTCTAATACAGTACCATTTTCTCTACAGGAAATGAGGAAAAAGTCTTTCTCATAAATTCTCAATGATGAAGCTTCTCCCAGGTTCATTTCATACTACACAGGGCCTACTTGAAAAAGATTACCTCACCTGGAAATTACAGATGTTGTATTAGAATCTTTACGATTTAAAATGCTATAAAAGAAACAAACTACTGTACTGTATACTTACCGACTGAATGACTTTTTCAGCTCTATTAAAAAAAATTCTTTTAGACTCTCAACTTCCTCAGTGTTTATTCTGGAAGAGCAGACTTTCACCCCAGTCTTGCCCAGACGTACGTCCTTCAGGTGAGCAGCCAATGATATACATCCATCTTTTGTCAATTGACTTCTTGGGCATCTGATACTCCTCAGGGTTCTATTGTGTGTACAAAAAATAGTTTTATTTAAATTGTGATTTTCCAATACAGTTCAGTCAAACCTCCACAATCAACAATTTAAAAAAATAAGTTACTGAGAGAGATAGAGAGAGAGATGTTTAGTTTGCTTAAATTGTACACATAATTTAAAAAAATTATACCTTACATTTTCCCACCCTGTAGCTTGAGAGCAGCATTTCCAACCCACTCCACATCAGTGTCACCTACATCTGAAAACCACAGGTCCACCTTCATTTTCTTGTTGGGTAACTGTGGAAGAGCCTCTAAAGGTAACCCAGCTTGCACGTGCAAATCTGTGTAGAAGAATAAATATTAAGTATCCCATTCCTTCACAAACATTTCAAATTGTCCTACTTTGGAAAGGTAAAACATAATGATTATAAAGCATGTCCTACATAAAAATTACATGTATTTTGTATAATTCCATATACTGTACATGTAATAATATTGTATGAAATTATAAATAAAACCGTAAAAACTTGCCAAGCAGAACCCTAAAGCACCTAATGGGATTTGGATGGTGGGTTTCCGTGTGAATTAAAGTGTACAGTAATAGGTTTCTTGTCAGGGGTAAAATATGGATTTCTCACAATAATTTATATGATTCATGATTCAAATAATTGTATAAAAACATAAATAATGGTGTTAGTATTTATTCCTATTATAAATAATGTAGTCTGATGAACGTAGGTAGCCATCAGATGTTTCACCGGGTTGAGATGAGTTAACTATTTCTTGTTAATTACTTTAATTATGGTAAATTATATTACTGTATATAAATGAACTAATAATAAATCACCATCAAGTTTTAACCCAGTAGCACCCTAATAGCAATAATGGCCATGGTTTCTGACCCAGTGGCATCAATGGTCATTGTTTCTGACCCAGTGGCATCAATGGTCATTGTTTCTGACCCAGTGGCAATAATGGCCATGGTTTCTGACCCAGTGGCATCAATGGTCATTGTTTCTGACCCAGTGGCATCAATGGTCATTGTTTCTGACCCAGTGGCATCAATGGTCATTGTTTCTGACCCAGTGGCAATAATGGCCATGGTTTCTGACCCAGTGGCATCAATGGTCATTGTTTCTGACCCAGTGGCAATAATGGCCAATGGTTGGTTTCTGACCCAGTGGCAATAATGGCCATGGTTTCTGACCCAGTGGCATCAATGGCCATGGTTTCTGACCCAGTAGCACCCTAATAGCAATAATGGCCATGGTTTCTGACCCAGTGGCAATAATGGCCATGGTTTCTGACCCAGTGGCATCAATGGTCATTGTTTCTGACCCAGTGGCAATAATGGCCATGGTTTCTGACCCAGTGGCAATAATGGCCATGGTTTCTGACCCAGTAGCACCTTAGTAGCAATAATGGCTATGGTTTCAGAACCAGTGGCACCAATGAACAGCAATCAATTAGTAACTTGCCCCCATTACTACATCACATAGTAGGTAATAAGCAGCTATCAAACAGGGAGATACTACTGTACCGCCCAAGGACTATATACTGTACAGTAAAAACACACTGCTGTAACATTATAAACTTTAGCTCTGCCCCATTCAATGAAGTCAAACTACCTCTGGTGACCAGATGGTGCCCAAGGACTACGGGCTTATCTTGTTTTTTTGTTTTGTTTTTAGAATACTCGTAAGGCTAAGGCTTTTCTGCGACCAGGTATAACAAAATGAATGCCTTATATTCTCACAGTCCTCCAAAAAATAAGTGATACAGAAAAAATAAAAATAAAATATGACCTGTACAAGGAGACACCCGGGGGTGCTGGGCATTTTGCTGATGGCATGGATGAAGCAACTCAATTTTGTAGCTTATTAGCAATGCAAAAATTTTCCTTTTGCCAGACATAGCAAGGTGACTGTCTAAGGGTACTCTAAACAACTGCATATTGCCTTACAATGTATACTTAAGAAAATATAGCAAGTTTTCAAGGAGTTAAGCATCACACCTGTTGTCGGTGAATTAACTGATGCAACTAGTTTTTCTTATATTTTGAGCAATATTATTCTGGATTTTTTTGTCAGACAAGGGCAAGAACAATGTCTCACAGTCTTCTGGATGACCTGATATTGACTGACATTACAGAATTAAGAAATTACAAGAAATTTTCCCTCGTGTCTAAAACAAGCATAGCTTGCCCGAAACCTATGTACTGATGTACTTTAAGTTTCGTTTTTTCAAGATTATTAAATATGCTCAAAGTTCTTTTTGGCCACATATAACAAGATGAATATCTCACCTTCCTGTAGATACCTGGATATCAACGAACATTCCAGATTTAAGGAGATACAAAATAAAAGTAAATTTATAGTATCTAACCGGTCTATTTCAATATTAAAAATATTTTTTCCTATGTATTTTGATGAGTTTCAAACGAATTTGACATTAATTTCCACAGTAAATAATTAATTTTTTAGACCCCCACAATCATAATGGAAAAAGTTGGACTTCTTTTTTAGAATAAATAACATAAATTATATTACCAACCAACCAAGAAAACCTAACCTAACCCATTGTTCATGCCCCAGACACTTAAAGAGTGAAGACAGAGGCCTGGAGCAATGCTTGAGCAGGGGGTCAGACTGAGCGAAAGTAATAATCTTGAAAAATTAATATCTCGGTTATCCTTAATTTCCGGTGGAAATATCACAGAAGAAATATGTCTTAGACTTGTGTAAACATTAAGAGATACATATTTTTAATATGGAAATAGAGACCGGTGTGATACTATAAATTCACCAAATGAAATTTGAACTCTCTTCAAACAAATTCTCAGCTAGCCTAATGTGGTATTTATTTTATCAGAGCACTTGCAGGCATTTATCCATTTATCACAAGTTTTCTTATCTCTGGGATATCTGTAAAACTTGGTGTGCTCTCTGCTTGGGATATGAGCTTTGCTGGTACATGTATATACTGTATGGCACAAATAACCATAATTGTTGATACACTGGTCCCAAGAGCAGACATGGGTACACACAGAGGTTACCTGATGATGTGTGTTTACAACAGAGATGTCACCGAGCTGTGCATTGTGGGTAAACCAAGTGCTTGGTGAACTATCTTTACTAGTATTTTATCGTTGCTACTGCCTGTGAAGATATTGGAAGCATAATGTGTTGTCTAATGTTAGACCCTGCTGCCACATGGCATCACAAAAATTGTGACCAAGTCGCAGGTTGCTGATCTGACTTTCTGCCTCATTTACACATAATTTACTTCATCTTCTTCACCACCGATTGGCTCGTTAGCTGCTTGGGCGGTCAGTCACGTCTCTGTTATGCACTATTGGCAAGTACTGGGGATGAACTGTCTCCTGAATATATTGGAACCTGCTCCAGTGTTGTCCTTGAATGAGCTCACACTCAGTGCCATCACAACACTCTCTGGCAGATTGTTTAAAAAATTCAAAATTCTCACTCCGAAAAAGTTTGCCCTCGCAGTTTTCTGGACTTGTGGCTTCTTCAACCCTGAGCTGTGACCCCTTGTAGGGCGGGCATCTGCCAGCTCCAGGTATGTACATTCGACTGAGTAGTGCCCTCTGAGATGTTTATACACTTCGATCAGGTTGCCCCTTGCCCGTCTGTAGTATAAGCTAGGCAGTTGCAGGCGTTCTAATCTCTCCAAGTAGCTGAGGTTCCGTAGAGCAGGCATCAGTCTGGTGGCCCTCCTTTGGACTTTTCAATCAATTAACAATCTCGAGCATACTTCAGGGACCAGAAGGGGTGACAGTACTCTCGACGGGAAGGCACCTCACCCTTGAAGATCATTACGTGTGAAGGAACATCTCAATTGTTTCTCTTACTTTAGCAACACAACATACATACACCATTTGTCACTATTGATCTTTTTTTCTTTTTTAATGGTTCTTTATTATTACCTGTATTATTATTATTTACATTATTATTTACATTATTATTATCATCATCATCATCATCACCATTATTATTATTATTATTATTATTATTATTATTACTGTATTATTATTATATTTTCGCCCCCTAGGCCCTGATGTGGCTCATTGACCTGTGCCCGGATGGACAAACACACACAATGACTGAAGTATGATACAAATACAATGTGAGAAGTGTCTGAGTCTACAGTATACAGCACAACACTTACCTCCAGGATATCTTATGAAAAATCACCAGATACACACTCCAGCCTGATACGTATAGGTCTGATGTGACTATTAATGCTTAAGAAAATGTTATATTTTAGATTTTTCATATTCTGTAATTCTCTATGTGAGTTAATACAGTATTCTAAAGGACACCAGTAGTGGGAGTAATCTACATTATCAAACACAAATACATTTACCAGCTTCACAAACTACCTGAACTTACACAGGAATTTTAATTTGGTCATTGTGTTCCTCAGATAATCCAGAGAATCAATTGAGTTTTGTGCATAGTCTTTACCAAGACCTAGGTAAAGAATTTCTACTGCAGGGAAGAGACCAGAAATGTTGCTAACAGATCCCATAATCTGTTTCACTTGCAATCTGAAATGGAACATCTGCATTACCTTATTAAATTCACAGCTCTGCTCCGCTACTATAAATCAAACTAATGTCTCACATTAATGTGATGTTGTGTTCATTAAAATAAAATTCTTATTTACTAGAACAGGTTCTCAATGTTCTTCCATAATATATGTTAAGAAGGGTTTTAGTACAACTGTACTGCACTCTTATGATACAATATGAACAATAAACATAAAAGCTTAATACAGTACAGTACAGTACTGTATATACAAGAAAAGCAACAAAGGGTTACTTACTGAGTTTGATGTTGGTGTGTTATGATGTGATTCAAAAAATCATCAGAACAACCCAGTTGAGGATGATGCCAGTGATAATGGAAATTAAGCTGAATGTTACATTTAGACTGAGACAATTGTTGCAGAAGCTCCATTAAATTTGGCAAATTTTGAGGGTCATTATCAATGTCTAACAGTATAGAATCTACTGAAGCATCTTTCAAGAGCACTGAAGCAGCTTGGATATTCTTATCTTTTACCCTCCATAAGTCTTGGGTGATGACCTTGCCCACATGCTTACCAAGTACAGGGTCATACTCAACCTCAGCCAACACGGTAAACCACTGCTCTGGTTCAACAACTCCTGCCTTTACTAACAGGTTTACCAATTCTTCTGCATATTTTTCCATCATGTTACCTTTCTTCCCTAAAAGGCCTCCCAGATGTACTAGAACATTACAATATTTGTTGAGTTTTATTGATTCCTTATCTTCCACGTGCAGGTCCTGAATAACTTTATAAATGGTCTTGTGTTCACATAGTTTTCTGGTAATTCGATTTTCAGCAAATTGGAGAATATCTGTGCTGACTTCAGTGGGCAAATTCTCTGTTTCCAAGATTCTTTTTATGTCTTTCATTATATTTTCAATAAGTTCCTCTTCATCATTGTTGGTTATACTTTTCATAATATATCGCGCTGCATAGAAATCTTGCAATCCCTTGTGAGGGAAATAAAATGTTTCTTCAAAACTAGCAAATGTCTGAATTCTACAGTGAGCCACTGTTGCAGAAAATAATTCATTTGGTGGCATGTTAGAATCTCTACATACTTCTACTAAATGATCTGTGCTCTCTTTCCCCAGCATGATGCTTTCTCTTTTTACAGCTAAAATACTCTCTCTACATAAAGCCTCTAAAAATTTGGTATAACACTCCTTCACTGACAAATTTTGTGTATCTTTCTTGTGCTTAAGTCTTTCTACCAGTTTTTTCTGTGTGAAATCTAAGAGAGATAAATACAAACTGGTTTCAGATGTTAAGCAATTCACTGTATCTGAATGTACAGTCCAAAGATAGGTCAGGAAATCCATGTTAAGTGTAAACTCAGAATGTTCTAAGAGTCCAGTTGACCTCTGTAACCAATTGACAAGACTTCCAGTATTTACTTTTATTAATTTAGTTCTTTTCATTTCTTGATCCAACTTTGTGATGAACTGTACCAACCTGTCACTTGGAATGTCAGCAATCTTCATGTGACAAATTTCAACACCTGAGGGAACCATCTTGTACATTAGCCCAACACTTCCTGGTCGTGTTGTGCACAGAATGCGTAGGTTCTGCATATTTCCTATAAAATACTTATTAAGCAATTCATCCAACACATTACGTGAGGAGTTGTTGATCTCATCTAAACCATCAACCACAAACAAGACCTTGCAGCTTAGCACTGATCTTATTAAGTCCTCTTTCTTAAGACAAAGTGAAGTCTTTGGTAACAGAGATAACAAAAGGTCTGAGAAGCTGCTGATGGTAGAATTATGGCATTCAATTTGAAACACCAAGTCAAACAGATCTAATCCATGAACTAAATCACTGCTCTTACACCATGAAGAGATAATCAGTTTACACAGAGTAGTTTTACCTACACCAGATCCTCCTTCCACTAAGACAAAGGGTGGTTTATTTCCATTACTGTTTGTGATTTCAAGAATATTTTCATGATTGGGTTCCTCGGTGAAAGCCTGCTTTGAAACATAAATCATCTCCATTCTTGTAAAAACTGATGATAACTCCAAACTCAGATTTCCAGAAAGGAATGATACTGTGTCTACCTTTGAATCATTAACATAAAAACGTTTAAGTTCATCTTTACCAGTAACATTTACTATACTTTCCAAACAGTTTCTTTTTGTGATGATCTCCTCCATATAATGTTCACAATCTGCTGAAGAGAGAGAAGTGTCACGAATCCCGTTGATCATCCTACTGATATCTTTAACATGAATATCAATCTCATTCTGTGGTCTATTATACAATGACCCTGCCAGAACCAAAGCCTGTGTAAACACATTCCTCATTTCTTCCACTTTCTGGAACATGAGTTTTTGAGTTATGGTCTGTGGGTCAAAATGAGCATATTCATTTCTGAAATTTTTTATTGTATTGATGAGATATTCCAATCTATTTTTACTAGGAGTAACCCACACAAGATCCTCTCGAGGTAGCAAGTTTGAACATCCCAACTGAATACAATTATAAAGTAAGGGAATGTCAAATGTTTCACCACTGGGATCTATCTCAATCTTGTCTCTCTGTAACTTAGTGAAGCTCTTTTTAATTGTAATATTTTGCATGCTTTTATCTGTCAGAAGGAATTCTTTGAAAGACATTGTTTCAGGTTTTGAACATCCCCACTTGAATATGAGAAGCATGACATTCCTCCCAACACTAGAAGACACTAATATAAGGCGGTAGGAGTCAAAAGTTTCCACTCTCTTCTTTTCCTTGGGTAGGTTCACCTTCTGTATTTGATGTTGCATGGCACTTAAAATATAAGATGAAAAATGTTTCTGTCATTTAAGTTCTATAATTCCAGCTTCAGATTTTTTTGAGTTTCTTGTAAATGTATCTTCCAGGATTTCCTGGAAAAGAGGTAATATAATGTTAAACTCTGTGAGCCAAGCAAATAGATGAACAGTATTCAAGATCACACACTAGAGTTTCCTCTTAACTCTGAGGCTGACCCTTGGTAGGCCAGAAAAACAATACTGTGCTGTCAATTTTAGTTTAACAAATTTATTGACAAAGCTTGGAGTACAGTTTGCCTATTCTGAGTAATTCAGTCAGGTCTTCACACTGAGGGTGGTATCACTTCTCACTGCCATGCAGGACAAAGGTTCATGCACAAAGGAATAGATCATATTCATTAACAGTATATAGAGGTCAGATTCATGTGGGTAATGTCACTGTTCACTGCCATGCAGGACAGAGGTTCGTACACAAAGAAATACATCATATTCATTAACAGTATATACAGTAAACCTGTATGTCAGAGTCGTGTGGGTGATATCAATGAATATGATGTATTTCTTTGTGTATGTGTGCTGTCAAATGACAAGTAGTTTAAGATCCTTACCAGCTCAATCCAGGTTAGATAATTAAGCCGTAAACCCTGGATGAAAATCGTCATTACCTCAGGGCCACCAGTGTAGGGGTGGTGGTGGGGGGAGTGGGGGCTCAAACACTCACCTCGCCTTGCTGCTTAACATCACCAGACAATGAGACATCATAACATCTGAAAATATGAAAGATTCAAGCTATACAATTTTAACCTGATCATTGTTAGGTTAACCTCTCATAGTTATGTTTTGTTTCATCTGTAAAGTGTTCAAGATGTAATTCAGCGTGTCAGTACCGTGTAGATCACCATGCATGGTACTGTGGGAAGTGACAGACACTGACGGACACTTCCTCATTCAAGTTGCATCACTTTATCTTCCTATATCTCTTACTGTAGGTAAGTTTTTCGTGCACTAGGGGTTAGGTGAGGTTAAGTTAGATTTTTTAGCTTTTTGAGGTTTTTACATTGTTTGACCTTCCATTTTTTTTTCAATATCTCAACTACAGTATTGTTCATTTCCTACAGCAATGAAGGTCACATTTATATTTAACACGATGATTTACACTATAAATACCTATTTTCAATATTAAGTTGCCTGGTGTCATTTTCTAAATATTAACCGTCGACAAGTTACCGAACATCATCATTAACTTGATTAAACTGGATAGCTTCAAACAGGTTGGATGGATATATGAGTGATAGGGATTGGGTGTAAATGGGACTGCCCAGTATGGGCCAATAGGCCTGCTGCAGTGTCCTCCATTCTTATGTATATGGGAATATACCAAACATGGGTACTTTTATAGTAGTTCACACAACATTCCTACCCCAAATCTATTATCATAGTCGAAAAGGACGTCTAATTTTAAAAGAATTTTCTTCTATTACATTACCGTCGGAAACGTATAATAATGGAGGGTAATTATATAGAACTAACCCGCCGGCGAAATTGATTGAAAACAATATAAAAACGCTTGATTTTCATTGTTATATTATAGTGGACACTGTTGTAGTTTGTGGAAATATGTTAAAAGACGGATATTTTTCAAATAAACGCTACTTATCATTTGTGGTTATGAAGAACAGAACTAACCAACCAAACCAAACAAACCTACCTAACCTTACCTTACTTCCCCAGTATATAAAACGGGAAAAACTTTCTATGATATGGTGAAAGTTGAGGCATTACTGGATGTGAGATGATATGGCCGGTGCTATGCAGCCCGGCGTCTTATATACTGCATTAACCTAATGGAGATGGCGCATGCCAAATCTTTCTCCATTTAATTCCATTAATCTTCCCTTCATAAATCATCACGCGCATACTTTCCCGTACGTCATGCTGCACTATCTTGTTGGGGGTAGAAGGGGGGGGGGACTGAAGACAGGCAATACCGAAGGAAATCAAGGTCAGAACTAATCAAACCACACACACACACACACACACACACACAAAATATACTAGAAAAACATAGTTCTGACTTTCTAACAGAGTTGTGTGAACTATAAATATACCCAAACGTTATATTTTCCATAACACCAAGTTGTTACATTGTGAAGACAAAATAAGGAAATTATAAACTGGTCAATACTTACTTCAGCCCTCAAGACTGCAGCTATAGGAAAACTCTGTGTTAATGACCTAACACTACAGTATGTGGTGACAATAATACTGTACTGTATTGTTTGTGTTCTCATAACTTCTCTTTCATCATCCACAAATACGAAAATTAAATTAATGAATCCATGCCAGTAAACTAAGTGACAAAAAAATGATAAAATATATGTATTATTTCTGCACCAACATACTGATATTAAATCACACTGAGTGAGATTTACCAAGAACATACAGTAATAGTTGTAAGTAAAGGCTAACAGGACGACAGGTGGCCATGAAGGTGTTTAAGTCCTAATCAGCTGTTAGTGTCCTGACTGACGGCTGGTTTCAGTAGTATCAGTGACAGGGAAGTGTTACATTTAGTCTCAGGTATTAAGCACATTTACTTTTAACTTGACTCTGATGTACACATATGTATTATAGTAATTTAATTTCTCAGATGCAACCTACCAGACTATTGTATTGGTGAACGGAAATAAACTCACAGAAACAGTCACATGACTTGTACACATTGACAACACAATATATATTTATATATGATGACATTGCACATAGGTTAGGTTAGGTTTTTTTCCATGCCCTGGATTCTTGTATTGTACAGTGATTTCCCCAACTGCAATGAGTACAGTGAGTCGCATGAGTATGTTCTTTGAATCCTATGATTACAATGATGTATTCTATTATTACAGAATACTGTACCGATTCTGTAAAATGGACAGGGAAGCTCCCTAGGAATATTTTATTTCATCAGCATTGAATGTCATATTTTTTTTTCAATAATTGGCATTAGGTGCCAAAAGGTTAAGGTGTCTTACTTTTACTTTACTATTATCCGACCAAGTAGTGCCCCTGAGTTATAGTATAAGCTCAGAAGTTGCCGGCGCTCCAATCTCACAGATGATCTTCTGGAAGAGGCTCACACCTGTGACTCCAGCACAATAACCTTGTCTCTACTCAGACTGTGGCTGTGTGTGGCAGATATTTGTGCCCTATAATTATATACTTGTTCTTGATTTTTCCAGTATTTATCTAATTTTGCTTCAAATTTTTCCACAGTCTCCACATTCAATACCCACTCAGGTAACCCATTCCAGTTGTTGACAACCCTACTCGGGAACGAATGTCTTCTGAGATTTAGCCTCGCTCTTGTTTTGTAAATCTTCTTTGTGTTCCCCGGGTAGTGTCATCCTCCCTCATCTGGAACATTCCTGCTGTACATGCCTGGTCATATATGCCACACACTATCTTGTATGTTTCCACTTGGTCCCCACGAGAACTTCTGTATGCCAGTGTCGGTAACTGTAATTTCCTTAATAACTGAGGGTCAGTAGAGCAGGCATCAGTCTGGTGGCCCTCCTTTGAACATTTTCAATCAATTGACAGTCTCTAGCATACCTTAGGGACCAGACGGGGTGACAGTACTTATAAGACCTTCTTATAAGACCTACTAGTTTCATTGCCTGATTCACCTTCCTCTCACAATGACCAGAGAATTTCAGTTCTTTGTCGACATACTGTACACACCCAGGTCCTTTTCACATTCGGTCTCAATCAATGCAGTCTTTTCATTCTGTTGAGACATGTGATATGCCTCTTGCACTTCGTGACATTGAAGTTTTAGCAGCAATTTCCTCGACCATTCCTGAAGCTCATAGAGATCTTTCTGCAGCTCTTCACAGTCTGTTTGGTTCTTAATTTCCCTAAATAACTTGGCATTGTCTGCAAACATTTGTATGGAGGAGTGTATAGCTTCTGGCATGTCATTAATGAACATATTTATTGTAGGCTAGAAGATGTTTGCATGTCACAGATTCACTCAGCCATAAAAGTTGGTCTTAATAGCTTTCATGATATACTTATCGGCAAATATATTATTTGGTAATGTGTGAGAACACCACTACTCCCAGAAGGAGTTGTTCTATTTTGTTAATTTTTTCCACACAAGTTCATATCAATATACTGTAGTATGCTAAGTACATGTATTTTGAACCAGGCAATATGTACTAAAATCTAAAAGAACCTGACCTAACCAACCAAAGAGACCTACCTAACTTTACTTAACTTCCCAGCCAGGGGGCGAACACATCGCCATATTAAAACAGAAAGTACTTGTTTTGATACCAGCTATCAATAAAAACAACTATGTTAAAGCATCATGGTATAATTTTACATTTTGTGTGGATGTGAGAGTACACTCGGACCAAGTACAGTAGGTTGGATGTAAATAAACAGGGCAGACGACAACTTACTCTGATAATGTCAGATTTTTCAGAGTACTGTACTGTATTTATGTCAATTCAATTCTTTACTTACAAAGCACATAACAACATATCAGTGTTGTCACACTGAGGCTGGAATTGGACATATCTGACACAAATTGTCTGGCTACAGATGTTATGCAATGCCGCAGTGGGTATTATTTTTTTCTCAGCTTAGCTAATACAGTACCTGTTAAACAACTCACTGTCGTTCTATGGAGAGGAAAACAATTTTGAACTTGTATAAAATTTAAAAGATTTGAATTGGATGATTTGAATATAGTGCGAGATATGTGTTGTTAACTTGACTTACTCGGTTGAACAATTTGCATCAGAATATGTCCATTCCAGCCTCTATGTGACAGCTCCCCAAGAGAAATCCGACTCAGATAGGTCTTACTATATCTAGTACCGCTCATGACATCACTGAAGCACACAGCCTCTCCTCCCCTTGTAAAAGTTACTGTCCATAGGGAAGAAACTATAGATAGCAACTTTGTACACAGTATATTCTTTATTGTATTTTTCATTAATCACTCTATAATTCTCATGAAATAGGCTTGATCATAGGTGTTGTTAATTAAAATTATTATTTGCTGCTCATCTTGTAGTGCATTTATTATTGATGAAGATAGACACTGGTGGATGTATCAGGAAACAATACAGTGCATGTATATCATGCACCGATGCTCAGCATTAAGATTTTAAACATTATTTTTGTTAGTTCACACTTTTGTTAACTTAATCCTTGATCAGATTTACATTCTATGTTTTGAATCAAAATACCTGTATAAGTAAAGATGCCTTTGAAAGTAAAAGGAGTAAGATAGCAACACTTTCCTTAATCTTTAGTATTTTTTACTATTTACACTGTCCCCTAACCCCCAACTTGTCTCCAGCTGTTCTGAGAAGCTCAAGGGGTTACTCTGTGGTTACTCTGTTTGTTGTTTGGTCGGTCCAAGTAATATCTCGGGCCTTTTTTGAGCTAGGAAGTCGATTTTTTCTCATTGTATCTTTAGTTTTATTGTGTTAGGTATAAAGTTTCTCAATTGAAATGCATTTGATGTGATTATATCTGGTCTTGAGTCTCCTTTTTTCTTTACAGAGTTAATTTCCAGCAGCCTTGCTGGCAGACAATGAGACATTGTACAAGAACACAGGAATGGGACCTATACATTAGCTACATGATCCTTCAAGAACTGGCATTATATACGGTACAAATTTTGCCTAAATGGCAAATACAGTAGTTACTTTCCCTGTACATTTTTATTGTATTACTCAGTCTGAGAGGTTGCATGAGTAGAGAAGTTGGTGTTAATTATCTACAGTAAGCACAGCAGTATGTATATTGGTAGCATTACTGGAGAACAGAGAGAGAAACAGTACTGTACTTGGCCTATATATTCCCAATGACAGCTACTTAATGTTTGGATTCAAAAGGTCAGAAATGAAAGTTACAGCTAAAGTCCTGTTTATTAGATTCCCATTTTGAGAAGACAGACATGACATAGATCTGTGATTGATCATCTAGCTGGTTTATATAAACTTTTCTTGATCATAAATTATGCCAATACGTACTGTACTGATGGTTTGATGAAAATTAACATGAATTTGGTATGTACTATCACAAAATGAAGTGGAGATCAATGTACCAGATTTAAGTCTTTGTATCAAATGTCAAAGGCAAAGCCAAATGTTCATATTGTTACTTGGCTTTATTATGTAACATATTAATCTTGTCCAGGATATTACTGTAGTGACAATTCAAAGTGTGTGTGTGTGTCTGTCATTTAAGAAATAGTGTTAGTGTATAAAATGGCCATGTGGCAGTCACGGACATATAACCATACATATTCACAAACAAAATATACAGTACAGTACAGGATACAGGAATTTAGATATGAATCTCACATGAAACAGATTTTAGAAAGTACAGTAACTGTTTAATTTGTTAAGCCTATTGTCACTCAGTATAATTATTTTTCTATACAATATTCTTGTAAGTTTATTGCATTGGGATGTAGGGGCATCTTGATATCAGACTGAATCACCCATAGATAAAGGTGAAGCTGTCAAGATTAGATAAGATAACTTTATAGGTCACCCTCTACAGTGCATCTCATGGGAGTTGAAATATTTATTCATAAGCAAGACTTCCTGTTTGAATACCAGTTTCTTTATTATTATTAATTAGAAAAGATAATGGACTGGTCAAGTGTATTTTATGTTTTATAATAATAATAATATTTAAATTAAATAATTTGTGTTCCTATATTTCAAAATTTGATATACCTGTAGAGGAACACACTGGTTCATGGTGGGGTTAGGGACCAAAGGACCACTTTGTAAGGCAGTTGTTCATAGCTTGAAAGATAATACTGTACAGTATTACATAGGAACAATGTAATTATGAGGAGTTAGTTTCTGAACCACCTCACTAAACCCCAATTTTGCTACGATTTCTCCTACAATAAAGATATGCATGAGATCATTACAGTGATGTCATTATTACTTTATGTATATACCACCAGTTAGGTTTTGGGAGCCTTTATGCATACAACTATATATACTATTTTATAATTATAGTGATATGTATTTCCATTAACTGGAACAATTGGTCTAGAGCACTTCTGGGAATGAGAGATTTCCGGGTAATGAGACGACTCTCTCAAAGCTGGGAAAAATCCCTCTTCCCCGGAATTTTCCGAGTAACGTAAAAGTGATCAGTGATTGGTTACTTATGGGAGTTAATAGGGGAAAAAATGGCTTCAGTTTACATAAAATTGATTTACATATGGTTATGCAGGAATATCCTTTTTGTAAATTGAAGTATTGCTGTACTGTACAGTACTGTACTTTACAATAATAAATTACATGCCAAATATTGTACATTATAGTGAAGCCTCATCTTTTTTTTAGAATAATAAGGTTGAGGCCCGAATTATATGAATGTCTGAATGATAACTGCTACATTTTAATACTTGTCTGAACAATTGAAATGCAAGGCTACAGTATATTGATTTTGCTTTGGCTAGATATGGTATTACTGTACCGCAATAAAATCCCAATTTATGGAAAATTTATGAACAAACAAATTTGTGATACAGATGAGGATATTTCTCTAAAATCATTATTTTTCAACAGAACAGCAACAAAAATGACTGGCGAGTGTGAGATGGACAAGGAACAAGAGCAGGAACGGGAGCAGGTGACCGTGGTGGTGTTGGGTGATCTAGGTCACTCTCCCCGCATGAATTATCATGCTCTTTCCCTCTCGGAAGAAGGATTTGAGGTCAATCTTGTGGGATTTGCTGGCTCAAAACCACAAGTAGAAGTACTAAAAGATGAACATATCACTCTTACATATATGAGACCTTCTCCTAATGTGTTCAACAAGTTACCTAAATTGTTAGCATTTGTTGCCAAAGTTCTCTGGCAAGCATTTATTTTATTTTTTACTTTGCTCACGAGACCAAAAAGTAAGAAACTACTTCTGCAAAATCCTCCAGGAGTTCCTGCCATGCCTGTGTGTTGGCTGTATTGTTTACTCACAAGAACCAAGTTTCTTGTAGACTGGCACAACTATGGCTATTCAATTCTTGCTCTCTCTCTCAGGAAGAACCATCCTTTGGTACACATTTACCGAATTACAGAAAAGATATTTGGTAAGCTTGCTCATGGTGGGCTGTGTGTTACCAAAGCTATGAAGATTGATTTAGAAAAAAATTGGGGCATTCGGAAAGTAACAGTAATGTATGACCGTCCAGCTGCAAGATTCCATCCAATATCAGTAGAAGAAAAACATAATTTCCTTATGAAGTTCTCTTCTGCTTACTCATGTTTTTCAAGCTCCTCCCCAGATAAAACTGTTTTTACTGAGAGATATGCAGATGGTAGGGTTTCTGAATGTGAAGACCGACCAGCTCTTGTAGTGTCATCCACAAGCTGGACAGAAGATGAAGATTTTTCAATCCTCTTTTATGCCCTGCAAGATTATGAGCGGGTACGGCAGGAGTTCCCCGATCACTACCCCCCTCTTATAGTTGTGGTAACAGGCAAGGGTCCCACGAAATCTTATTATGCCACACTTATATCTGAGCGGCAGTGGTCGCATGTCGTGGTCATCACCCCGTGGATGTCTGCTGAGGACTATCCCACATTACTTGCTTCAGCTGATTTTGGAGTGTGTCTGCACTACTCCTCCTCAGGACTAGATCTACCCATGAAAGTGGTGGACATGTTTGGTAGTGGCATTCCTGTTGCTGCCATTGATTACCCTGCTCTCCCTGAATTGGTACACCACAATGAAAATGGGCTAGTATTTAAAAATAAGGAGGAACTTGCCAACCTTCTGCAAGATTGGTTTCGTGGATTTCCTAAGGAAACTGCAGTAAAAGAAACATATTATGACTTCTACAAGAATATTGAGGAGTTTCGAAAATTAAAGTGGCACCCATGTTGGATGTGTAATGCTCTTCCACTATTAAGAGATGGGAAACAGAAGAAGAGTAATGTCAAAGAATATTGATATAATAACTTTTTATTTAATGTGGAATTGTTTCAGTTAACACAGTGTGTCTGAAATCATGATATTGCAAGACTGATTGCTTCTTTGTATGGCAAGAGTACAAGATCATTATATACTAGTTAAATACGACTATTGTGAACGTTAAGAAAATATGTTGAATATTTTTATACTTACAAAAAATATCCTGTTGATTCCAGTAGTGGTACCAGGAAATAATGATAGAGGTATAGTATATTGTTGTAATATTAGATTTATGGGGTTGGGGAGTATAGCCACCAGCATTTACTGTAGATATTTCAAACCCAGACTAGTGAAATGTAAAAAGAAGGTTTTGAATTACAAAATATTTTCCTTTCCATAATTTTTACATGAAATATTGATATTTTGATACTGCTGTTCATTATCTTATCAGCCTTGATATTCTTGTAAATGGAACACTGGGTATTGAGAGTATTGGTGGGCTTTTGTGCAGGATTAGGTCAAGATGGTTTGGGTATGTGGTTAGAATGGAGGAGACTAATAGGGTCAAGAGTTGGATCATTCTTAAATGTAGAGGAGAGGAGAGCTGGGGTAGGCTAAGAATGACGTCAGAGTTATGAACCCAACAAGAAGGGCTACAAGAGACCTTGCAGAATGGAGACCTGCCACCAAGTAATCACGTCTAACCCACAAAAGCGTGTTAAATGGCCATAAAATGCTATTGATGATGTGCTTCTGTTTTATATCATAATAAGCAGAACATGATCTTTAATAATACTGTATATGTATAAATCATGTAGATTAAGTCACCTAAAAGTGTAATTTCTTTGTTCCAAATTAAATATTTTGTTTTTCTAAGCCAGTAGTTAAATGTCATACCTATTAAGAGCGGTTGGTAGTTTTGGTGAGGATTGTATCCAGATGAACTCAACCAGCAGATCCCACACTCCTTTAACAACACTAGGTGATATACAATTGATTGGATAAGGCAAATGGAGAAATTCTAGAAGTCCTGAAACAAATAACAAAGAGCATCTATTATTGACTGAAGAACTGTGAAGATGTTGATTATGAGGTATCAGTCAGCTAACAACCAGAATGAACCACCACAATAATGAAATACTGTATAGTACAGTATACCAATTACTTATTATATTTTGTAGAGAAATGTTTAATGAGGATTAAAATCCTTACCGGACCGATAAAAAAATCGGCAACCCTTAGGAGAGTAAGCAGCTGCTGGCCACTGTAAATGGCTTGTTAACAATCTCCTCAAATTTATTGAATTCTATGGAATTACAACTACATATGTGTAGGTTATTTAATGAAATGCAGCAATATTTCAGTTAGCCAGAATCCCCATTAGCCGGAACTCTCCAATTCTCTCAATTCCTAAAAACAAAATTCTGGGTCTGGGAGCAAATACAGTAATGAGACTGAAAATCGGGCATTTTATAGAAAATTCTGAGAAAACTTCTGGAAACTCAATTTTTTTCTCAGGTCTGGGAGCAAAGTCCAAGGATGAAATAATTCATAATTCTAATTTCTAATAAATTCAAAGAAAATTCCAGAAACTTACTCCATTTTTTCCAGATCTGGGAGGAAATTCCAAGGATGAAATAACGCTTAATTCTGGAAAATTATGGATAATCTCCAGTTTTTTTTCTGGGTCCGAGAGCAAATACTGAGGATGAAATAATGTTTACTCTCTCGGAAACAACTTTGTATGGATTGTTCTATGAAAGATTAAAGTAAGCTGTATAAATAGATCATACACTTCTGATTGTGAAGCACTAGACTGTGAATTGTGTTGTGATGCTTGTTGAGACTGAATTGTGTGCCCTGTGAATAATTCTTCTATTATGAAGTAATTAAGTTCTTTGGTATAATGAAACAGTTCACAAATTAAAGTAACAGTTTCTCCCTGATAACATATGTTAGTGTTGTGTAGAATGTAGCACAGTAACATGGGGTCAATAATTATACTGTACAGGTGGCGAGGGTGGATGATATTAAAGCGCTGTGGTGATGCCTTTAGTCCACAATACTGTGTGAACTTCACTGGTAGAAAATATGAAACCACCAAGTGATCTCAATTAAAACCTTACTGGACTGGACTACTGTAGTCAGTCAGAAAATGGTTTTATTAGTGTTTCAGTCTTTTTCCTTTGGGATTATTGCCCATTTTCATATCCTGTCCTGGTCTTACACAAGAAACACGCCTTAAGCTCTCATGTCCTCGAAATATAGGTAATGAGACCAAATATTGTACAGTATATACAAAATACACTGTACTGTACAGTATATGTATATTGTTAAATAATTACATATAAATATCCAATATTATTAAAAGAAAGGATGCAGCAGCAAGATGGTGGTAATGATGAGTTGGTAATTTTCTCGGAAGTTCCAGAAATTGCGCATTACATCATCTTTCGAACCCAGAAAGACACCTGCATCCCCGGAATTCTTCCGAGTACCAGAATTTTCCAGAATGATGCATTATGTCATATCTCAAAGCAGGAAAAATTCCCCCATCCCCAAAATTTTCTGTGTACTGTACCAGAAAATGTTTCTCAAAATTTCCAGAAAATATGCCTGATTTTCATCTCTGATACCAGAAAAAAATTCCCCATCCCCAGAATTTTCTCAAAATTCTCCAGAAAATGTGCCCCTTGGAAAATCGTTCCCAAAGCTATGGGAACGATTTTCCTGAGAAAATTTAAATTCCGGCTATTGGAGAGTTCCAGTTAAGAGGGATTCCGGCTAATGGAAATAATACTGTACTGTATTATATAAATAAATTCCTTCAAAATGGTTTATGTTATTCAACCTTATTTTTATATGATGTCAATAACATCTTTATTTCCTCTGCATACAAGTGTAAGACAAGAATTTAAGCAAATTTTAAACATTTACAATTTTACATAGACAAAACTGTGTGACGAGCAAAGCTTACCTCATATGGTGATGCGATCAGCCAGGCAAAATAATTGCCCACCTCTGCCATAAGGAAACCACACAAGACACTTTAAAAAGTAAAACAACTTGCTGGAAAACTTTCTTTGGAAGTAAGAGGAAAGAACATATCAAGACTCGCATGTTTACAAGTTTTACCAACAGGCAGACACTACATTACTAGCCACCAAATACTCCTTCATCTCATCATAACTAAATTCATTGTAGGTAATATCTGGCATAAGTATTGCAATAAGAGAAAATATGAAGCAAACTGAATCATCACCAAAAATGAGATTTACTACTGTGTTGGCAGCTTTGTGGTGATTCTTCACTCTGGGAATTTTGGGGGGTTTACCTTATTTAACTAATAGCCTTCCACGAGAGGTGTTCATGCTGAATAAATGAGGCTGGTAGACTGTTCCATAGGTTTATCACCCTCTGTGTGAAGAAGTATTTTCTTGTGTTCATTCTGCATGATAACTTGGCGAGCTTGTAGTTATGTCCCCTTTCTTTAAATGCTCCCAAAAGATGAGAGAGAAATAAAAGATTCTGTATTACAAAACTTTAATACATACTGATGATGCTACATAACCATAAGATATAAAAGACTTTCTAAGCTCAGCACTTACAAGTCGAATCCTTCGTCTTTTAACTCGCATTTTTGGGGAGTGAACAATTGTAAAAACATTTACAATTCATAATGTGATTGGATGACAATCTCCTATGAGCATATTTACACTTAATCCATTGTAAACTAATCTAAGATTACCAACTCATCATGACCATCATCTTGGTGCTGCATCCTATGGGCGTCCTCAGGTTCCACTTCGGCATCTTCATCATCATCTTCCTGATCCTCCTCCTCTGCATCACTAGATGATGCAGGTTGTTCTACAGTCTGCCTATTGAAAAGGTCAAGCGTGACTGCTGACAAAAAAGCTGGGTAGGAGTTCTCATGGCGAAGATAAGCATCAATGAGATCTTCCAGTGTGTTTGAGAAGTCCGTCTCCAGAAACTGTAATTCTTTTGATGGTGTTTGCTAGAGAAAAAGAGGTTAGCAAATGTCATAATACTTGTGAAGGAAGAGTTATTCCGGCACACTTATCTTATTGAAGGACAATGATCTACTGGCTAAAAAATTTTGTTTCTCACTTTTGCAAGTCTTCTTCACTATAGCACAGAACAACACACTCTCTCCAATCACTCAGTCACTCTCTCTATCTGCTGTGATAGATGTATTCTACTATAGTGTTTCCCTTCCTCAACAATGGTCCACTAAAGCCATCTGTTTTACATAACCTCAGTCCCTTCTCACAACTTCGAGCCAGAACAAGACAAATGAACAAATCAAATAGAGATGTAGTTATTAACCAGCACCATTTATACAGAAACTTCTCAATATTTGTGGTTTCTAGATTTGTGAGTGTAGCACATTCATGAGTTAGTAAATGCGCACTAACATATTTTAAAATATTATGTAATGTAATGTTGAAGGGATACAACTTTGCTCATTCATACTTATATTTATCACAATCTCCCTTAAAATACTTTAGCTTTTGTGTTTATTCAAGGCATCTTCAGGTCATGAGACCCACTAATCCCCCACCCAAGAAAGGGTTACCTGACATTCCATGAGAAGTTCAATGATATGAGACCATGAATTCCCCACCCTACCTCTACCTGACATTGAGTCAGGTCAGGTCCCCTCCCCCCCCAAAAAAAATACTTTAACATTTGTCTTTAATCAAGACATTTTCAGAAAATTCTCTCAATTTTCAGCCTCGAAAATTTTTTTCGTACACCCAGAAATTTTTGGAAAATTCCGGCTTTGGGAATGATTTTCCGAGCAAATTTAAATGGGCAAGTCAACAGTTTTGGGTAAACACAAGTAATACAGTCTGCCATGTTCGTAGAGTGATATGGCATAAATAATTTGTAACAAAAGTTTAAAGTCCTGCTATAATAGTAGAGATAAGTTTACTTCTTTAGAAACAGGGCCGCCATAAGGAATGATGTCACCACCTACCCTGCAGACGACACACGGATGGAGATACAGGTACAGTTGACCCTCGTTAATTCGGACCCCTTTAATCCGGATTTCGGATAAATCGGACGAAATCTGAACTGTCCATATCAAATTTCTGGTTCTGGGATTGTCCCAGTTGCAATTGGGATTGCAATTTCAAATTCTGTGTCACTACTAAGAAATAACAAAATCCCTGGTGCACTCTAAGATTAAGAGAAAATGTACGACTCAGGAGTGCTGAAGTGAGAGAAAATGGACTCCTATGACGGGGCACTCAAATAAACATACACATAGCTGTATAAAGCAATATTAACCCCTAAATCGGTTAATTCGGACAATCGGCTAAAACGGACACCCTTCCCCCCCATTAGTCCGTTTTAACGAGGGTCGACTGTACAGTGGGGTATGCTATAATGAACGGATCCTACTACGAATATTCCTATAACGAACGGTTTTACCTATAAAATTGAGAATGCTATAACGAACGAAACTCCTACAACGAACATTATTTAAAATTTTTTTTTTTTTTTTTACTAATTTATTGTTTTCTTATTACAAATATTAATGATATTCTTTATTTCAGGGGTTTAGATGCATAATTATGCACTTTTTTACAATTTTTACAATTTTATATTATATTTTTCAGTGTTAAGTGGTTGTATTTGGGGGCCTGGAACGGATTAATCCTATAACGAAAGAATGCTATAACGAACAAGGTTCTAGAACCAATTAGATTCGTTATAGCAATACCTGATGCTAGGTAAACATGACAACAAAGTGCTGTTATTGTTTTATTGATTCACTAATGAACCACTGGGATATATCATCATGTATATTAATTAATGGGTAAAATTTTACTTTAACTACCATAAGTATTTGGAAGCTTAGATTCGAGATAGGTTATATCGGGTAAATGTTAAGTTTGGGTCGTTCCTGTACTTTGACATGCAGACTATGTTTCTTGCTGATGGTTTGTTATGGGATATGAACGATTTTGACCTTCATTTCTAGTTTTGAGTTACTACCCACTCCTTACCGATGTATGTTAAGCTAACCTTGTAACTCGTCATACCCTAGCCTAACCTAACATATGACCTGTATTTTCTTGTGTGATCGAAAAATGTTAAACCTACAAATACCTGATACAAATGAAGATTTACATATAACCTTCTTTTCACATTTGCATCTATTAACATTGCTGGAGGCATTGTAGCCAGATTAGACTCGTCACTGTAACCACCAGGCTACTGGGTCAAGCTGAGAGATGTTATGGTTTTTTCAACTCGTATTTTCGGGTAGATATACGCAACTTTCATCATTTATTTTTACTCAGTTATATGCACACACCATCCTACATACATATTGAGAAAAAGTAAAAGAAATAATTGTCCTAAGGGCAAATACAAAGGAAATATACATTTCTTTGCACGCGAGATAGCTGGTTCAGTGGGAGGGAGCAGAAGGCGACGAGGCATGTGGGAGGGGGGGAGGGAGCGTTGCTAGGGAATTGGCAAAGGTAGTGTCTCCGTTGCTATGGTGAACCAGGGAGTACTGTATATGCAAATGGCGACTGTGTTAAACTTTCATTTAGCTTTTATTTGCTGGTTTGGCAATACAGTAAACTCTCGACAACTCGACACATTTGGAGCCCTGGTCTTGCCGAGTTATCCCAAATTCTGACTTATCGAGGCACTTCCCCCCCTCCTACAAAAATAAAAAATTATCGACCCATATAAATTATGTGTACATGTAATTACTAAATGTAAAAAAGGTAACACTTACCAGCACTGCAGGTGAAGAAAGAAGCACCATTGTAGGTGACACAGAGGCATGGAAGGCGATGCAGGTGGCCAGATAAGCCGAGAATTTCCCAGATAATTTTGCATATCTCGGTATTTCCCGAGTTATACTAATACATTCCGAGGCTTTATCCATGCCGAGTTATATGAAATCCTGAGTTATCAATGCCGAGTTATCGAGGGTTTACTTTACAGTATTTTTTGTTGTGACTAATTTACTGGTATTATTTTTATGTATTCCTCACATTTACTGGTACTATATATATTATTTTAAGAAAACTATGGCTACAGGAGGAAAATACACACAAAAGTTTTTTCCTAAATACTCCCTGCTAAAATGGGGGGTGCATCTTATATGACGTGTGTCTTATATGCCGTAAAATACGGTAATAGTCATTCAAAGCTGTATATTGTGTATCAATTTTCACTCCTGTCTTCATAAATTCCTAATAACTTATTGGAACATAACATCCAACATACCTCAAAAATTAAATAATCATCAGGAGACTCAGCGTACATGTTGATCAGCTTGTACTGGTTGTCCCCTGATGCATCCACACGGTAACCAGTCAGTTGATACACAACCTCACGCATGTCCAGTGACTTGCGCTTAAATACTTCCAACAGGCGCTTGTTGCGTGTTTCCAGGAACTTAGATTTTTCCTGGAGTTCTGTAATGATAATCTCATCTGTGATGCCTCTGAAGGGTGATCCCTGTCAGTTTAATATTTTTTCCCTTCTATTCCTCTAATCCTTGCCCCTACTGTCTCTTGATAATAGTGTTACAGGATTTATGTCTTATGTTGCTTCACCTCCTATGACCAATGGCAAAGCCCATAAACCATTAATTATCATGACAATTGGTAGGTCTAAAAACCATTAATTATCTTGACAATTGGTAGGTGTATAAACCATTAATTATCATGACAATTGGTAGGTCTATAAACCATTTATTATCATGACAATTGGTAGGTCTATAAACCATTTATTATCATGACAATTGGTAGGTGTATAAACCATTAATTATCATGACAATTGGTAGGCCTATAGACCATTAATTATCGTGACATATGGTAACCCTACAAACAATTATCATGAAAAATGGAAGGCCAATAGACCATTAATTAGCATGCCAGTGGTAAGCCTATATACCATTAATTACCATGAAAACTAGTAGGCTTATAAACCATTAAGTATTATGATAAATGGTAGGCCTATAAACTATTAATTATCACAACAACAGCAATTTTATTAATCTTCATTGAAAGTGTCAAGTGACAAATAACTTGCCTGTTAATTCTTTGCTGGAGTGAGCTTCATTGCTCACTTTTATTCCAACTTTCGGTGTAATGATGTGTGACGTTCCCTGCTCCAGTTGCAGCACATGCTCCCTCAATGCCTTGTTCTCTGTCTGGAGTTTATGGATTTCTGTCCCACGACTTTCAATTGCCTTTGAGAGGGGGTTATTCCTACAGAGAAAGTTAATGCAGAACTTTACCAGGTTAATAAAATATATATGACTAGGTGAAAGAACATTAGAAGACAGAAATATGACAAACTGTACATGAAATCATTATGTTGGGTAAATATATCTACAGAATATTAAAATAAAAAAAGATGGACACACAGAAGTGTTGGAGAGAAAGCACATCAAGGCCTGCTCACATGAGATGAAAGATTGGTAAAAAGTGAAAACTGTAAGAAGGGATGGAAAGTTATGGTGAAGGATGTTCTAAAGGTGAGAGAAAAGTACAGTAATAATGGACATCCAGGGACCAGCTGTGTGGGGGAACATGGTGTCCTGATATTTAAGGAACGATGTGCTGATGATAAATGATGCTGGTTTGTGTGAATCGACAGAATTAAACCAGATGAATGTTTGGGCTTTGTTGCGGAAGGGAGTATCATGGCAAACTACATCTTTACACCAATAAAAATTAATGAATAACATTGAAGGGATAATAAGTACAGTATGTATCTGTTCAAGAATGTGGCAACTGCATGAAGTGGAAAAGTATGTGAGTGAGTTAAAAAATAAATTAAAAAATTATAATATTCGTACTGTAGGGTATATACTCGTGAATAAACCTATCTCGTTTATAATTCGACTCCTAATTTGGGGGCAATTATTATTATTTTTTTTTATCTAGTTACCTTATATATAATTTTGAGAAATACTCAGTATAATCCTAGACATATTTTATCGCAAGACACCAGATTCGCACCAACCTTGATCACCACAACAGTTGACACTATGAACAGTGTCATCAATTCTGAAACTGAATTCCCTCCAGTTACCAACTCTTATTTAAAATTTTGCTTGATTCACCCCTAAAAATTAGCTTAACTGTACACATAAATATCAAAACTTAAATTGTAGGTACAGTATTTAATAAGCATATAGCTCTGTAACAATAATGAAAGAAAAAAAATACAAATTAGTGCACACACTACATTGCAGTCTCAGGAACACTGGCTTGGTTACTTGAACTCAATGTTTGCCATAGCAATGCATCTCAGCTGGGACACTGCCTCTGCTGACCCCACATTTTTCTCAGTGTATTAATTCTCACACACAAAGAAATGTTTATTCTCTTTATGTTTTTGACCTTATGATAATTATTCATTTAATGTAGGATTGTGTGTGCATGTAACTGGAAAAAACAAAAAAACAATGAAAATTATGTACAGTATACCTACCTGAAATTACAAGCTGAAAAATAACCATAATAGCTCACAGCACAGCCTGGTAGTGCAAAGGCTAGGGGGATGTGGCTACAGTGATGAGTCTAAGTTGGCAACAATGCCACCACCAACATTAACAGATGCAAATGAAAGAAAATTATCTGTAAATCTTCATCTGCATTAGGTACAGTGGTCCCTCGGTTAACGAAAGCCTCGGTTAACGAAATTTCGGTTAACGAACTGCCTCCCATAAGATTCTTAAATTCGGTTAACGAACAAAAATTCGTTTAACGAATTTCTTACGAACCAACCTCAACATGTTTTTGCTTGCACTGGCCGGTCAACCAGCTTTAGTATTAGTCCGCCAATACATTAATCGGTTCTAGGGCTTAAATTCCTTACTATTTTAGTCAATATCAAGAAGTTTATACTATTCAATAATTTTAAAAGTTTAATATTCAATTTTTTAGTCATTTTAACAATTATTGAACATAATTGAAGGTAAAGTGACTAGTTTAATGCGCGGCATCCAGCCTCTTAACACAGCAAACAGGCGTTAGTCTCTCTCTGTTTTCACTGGAGGTAACATCTTGCTTGAGACTCTCTTCAACTAAACGCTTTTTTTCTGTGTTTCCAAGCAAATTATTGGTCATTTTGAAATATATTTTACATATTGACAATACATAATGCAGTGCAGTGTTGATTTAAAGAAAATAATCTTGAAATACACCAAGAGAACTAAAATTTTATGGGTGAAATGGTGCCATGGGGTGACTTCTCTTCCACCCCAATGCCTTCTCTTCTTCCTTCTCCTCCACCCCCATTCTAATTCCCATCATCATCATCATCATCCAGGAGCCTTCTACATACACACCTCAAAGTAATCAAACTTTTCTACCATTTTTGTTGAATTTAGGTAATTTTTGGTGAGCTGGAACCAATTACCCAAAAACCCATTGAAACAATGGTTTCGGTTAATGAACAACCTGCTGGAATGGATTGTGTTCATTAACCGAGGGACCACTGTATCTGTAAATTCAAAGTGGCATATATCGTGAATGGGGTTCTACTCTTCAAGTAGGAACATAAAGAAAGAATCACGGAGTGTATTAGGCAAGCCCGGGATAAAGGAGGCATGTACCAGTTAACTATTGTTCACTGTAAATGACCCACAGAAATGCATGAATTTTAACCCCTGAAAATATTATGCGTATATAGTTTGACCGACTACTTTTTGCATAAAAATTTGATCAAAAACACTGGAACTATACTTGGGTATATACAGCATAACTTTAATGGACAGATAAGGATTCCAAACAAATATATTTAAATATTTAAGTTAAATTCTTTGGCAAATGTTTATGAAGAAGGGTTTGAGCAAGGTGTCAGTGTCTCACTTAATATAAATCATTAAACAAAGTGAATAGGCTACAGTACTGTACAATGATGACACAAAGACACTTTATAATTAACAATGAACTAGTGTTAACAGTTTCTTAGATATAAAAGATGAACATTTTGTTTTAATAATATCAAATCACTGGCGCATATTTTAGGTTGGGTAACAGTTGAGTCAAGTTGTTGGGTTGAGATATTGTAAGGTTGTCATGTTGGGTTGTCGGGGCAGATTCAGGGGGTCCGGACACCTTTTCATCAGAAAATTTCAAACCTTTTTATTTTAATGCAGTATTGTACTCAGGCATTTTTGTATAGTAAAATGTAACTACTATTAATCTCACAATATCTCCTAATATCAAGTGCACATGGTCACAAAATGTCCTTGATACTGGTCAGATTTGAAGAAAATTCTGGGATGGATATCACCCCCCCCCCAAAAAAAACTTCCAGCTGGGTGGGCTCGCTGTGCTCACCATGTTCCCCATCCACAATTTCTTGGACCCCTCTTTTGATATTTCTGGATCTGCCCCTGGGTTGGGTCATCATAAGGTTATCGGGTTGAGTTGGGTTGGATTGGGTCAGACTGGACTAGGTTATTCTGGGTTGGGATTAATTAGGATATGTGACTATGTTAGGGCAGCACCTTAATACAACTTACTCAAAATGCAGAACCTTGGTCTTCAAGGGATCATAATCACCCTTGAGTGCCCGATTTTCAAGTCTCAAGTCAAGTATTTCCTTGGCTTGTGTCACTTTGGTAACTTCAGCTTGAAGCTCCAAGATATTCTTCTCCAAGGACGAAATCTTCTTGGCATCTTCTTTTCTTTGCTGAGAGAAAACAATGAATTTAAATATGTGAAAATACAACAGAGGTTACTATTTGCATTAAAAGTAGTCAGACAGCGCCTCCTAGTAAATTTTACAACCTGCTGCCAATAAGTCCTTTTTTTACAATAAAATTAGATAAAAGTATAGTATATATACTGTAGATACAGTGTCCTCAATGTACAACAGGAATGCTAGGAGGATTTATGTCGTCGATGTGATACAAAGCAAGACAACTTTTCCCATAAGAAATATTGTAATAAGGTAGGAATAGGGACACACATGTACAGTATATACACATGCAAACACACAGCAGCTCCCCCCACACACACACACAGCAACCACCCACCCAACCCCTTACACACACACACCCTTGGTACTTACAAACTTTTCCTGAACTTGTGTTTCATTAGTTATACTGTTGCAGGAAGCATCTAGTTCTTTTTCCAGACGTTCAAGTTCCTCCTTGTACATCTTCATAAGATCTTCAAGTTTTATAATTCTTTCTTGACTGACAACTGAGTGGTTGATTGTTATCTCCGATTCATATGAGGTAAGGATCTCCTTCAGGCTATCACGTTCCTTTAGTAAAAGACAAAGAAATATTAATTAGTATAAGATAAAAAAGACACTGGAAAAAGATAACCAGGTGGGGGTGAAGGAGATGTGGAAAAATTACACCACTGCTGACTGCATAGCAAATGTTAAACTGAGCCATGATGAAATCACTAGCAAGTATGTGAACTCCTGTTGGAAGGCCCTATGGCCTGAAGCAGTGAATGATTTCACTGGCTTCCCCTCAGTGGAGCCCCAGATCACATGCATGGTGCAAGTGGCAAGAGAGGTTGGTGGGGAGGGATTTGTGGACATGCAACCAGAAAAAATCAGAGAAGAGCTGCTTGGAAACAAATGGAGAAGAGGAAACAAATGAAGAACTGGCTTATTTACAAAAAGATGATGATCAGGAACGAGATCTTGGTCCAGCTGATTTAGAGGAAAACATCCGGATATCAGAGAAAATTAAATATTTTTTGACATTCTTCAAGAAAGGAAAAGAAACACAACTGGAATTAGTATAATCTCTATACCGAGCACTGAAGATAAACAGGGGTGTGAACCAAGTATTAGCACCACTCAGAGAAATCTACAAAGATCTAAAGCACCAGAGATCTCAGCTCCCCATCATGCCATTCTTCTCCAGTTCCCAAAATACCAGCTTCAACTCAATCTTCTGCCACTCCAGCAAACCCTGTATCTTCTGTCACTTCAGCTACCCCTGCCACTCCAGCTAACCCTGCCACTCCAGTTGCCCCTGCCACTCCAGCTACCCCTGCCACTCCAGCTACTCCGGCCACTCCAGTTACTCCTGACACTGCAACTGTATCACGCCAATGCCCTCCATCCTTCAACCTGTCCTCTGAAGATGAGGACGACCCCCAAGCTCTCTCCCTTGCCAACCCTGCCTCCTCTGTTGAGGTAGACGAAGGTGAGGGATAGTGAACCAGACGTGCTAGCCGCAGCTCTCATATTCCAATGTAAGGCCCGCTGCACACGAGTGTTTTTTCCCGCCCATATGGACCCACACAGTTTAGAAATGAATGAAGTTCAATGGGACAGAGAATGCATGTGAAAATTCACAAGCATCATGTGTGTTTCCTTTTACATTTTTTCTTAAATTTGAAGTAAAATTACAAATTATATTTTGTATTTTATCCTATTATTTAATAATGTTTGTTATATTATTTTAAGATGAAACATACACCATAAGAGGCTGATCATATGAGACCACATAATAATGAATAAATAAAAACAAACTGGCTAACGCAACAACCGCCAGTCCCAGCCCCCGTGCACATTTACACATGAAGTCTCATCTATTAGCTCTTGTTAGGCCTATATCATATCTAATTAGACCACTGTACAATGTCCCCGTTGAAGACAATACCGTATGGTATATGCTTTAATACTGTAAATAAAATAACATTTTATAAAAAAAAGATATATATTTTTTAATGAACTGTAGAGGAATATCCTTTCCTCCTTTACACATAACCTCACACCAGAGTGAATATCAAACTAAGTCTAAATATATTCCAAATGATGAGTTCATAAGGACAGCAACTTACATAACAATATACAGAGTAATACAATACAGTGCATGTGTTACCTTAGTGACCAAAAAAAGCTTCCTCTGCAGTCTCTTGATGAGGACAGCATTGTGCTGGGTGTTATGCGCCTGCTTCTCTAACTTGGCCTTCAGCACCTTGATCTCTGCCTCCTCTGACACATATCTATTTTCCAGGGACTTCTGACTGTGGGATCATAAAAGTATGATAACTACACTTTATGTAAAGGTGATGGCTGATCCATCACAAAATCTAAGTCAAACACAGGCCATAACTTTGACATAATGATTTTGGAAAATTCTGTTTCTTGAGCCATTATATACTAACTTTCATCTTGAGCAATGAAGAATTTTTAAGTTACCAAATAAAAAGAACACTCTGTATTGACAAGAAATGCTATACAGTAAACCCTTCATCTTCTATAGCAGCCACATATTTTTTTTTATAACTTTCTTGTTTTTTTTTGTTTTTTTTTACAGTTCTCTTTAATTTGTTCATGCTGTATCAGAATGTTGCATAGTTCTTGCTTATGTTTGGTAAGAAACTAAAACTTTTAAGCACTGCTTGTTGAAGTTTTTGGGCTTTCAGTCCCTTACCCTTTATTTTGTACTGAATTACTGTACTGTACATATAATTTAGTGTCAAAATATTTTACTTTGCAAATGGTATTGGTCCTTTCTTGCAAAGCAGCCCCAAGCTACAGTATGATGTAGAGTATATAATGGCTGCTATCAAAACCAAAAACACTCTTCTTCATCTCTTCACTATAACATTCCCATCCCCAAGCTTTCATGTGCTCTGCTGCATCATAGGATAAAGCTATTGCATTACCTCTGTATTATGTCATGTTCCTAAGATACCCCAAGAAGACACTGACCAACTTTTAAATCTTTACACATCCGACTGTGATGCTTCCCAGTCACACACACAACACATTCTGCTCGTATAAACTGCATTTGTACAGTACCTTCAATTTCCACAAGGCTTATACACTTCATACAAGCTGGCCAAGAACCAATTAACTAGTTACCTCTATAATTACAACAGTACTGCACTGCCACAGTTTGTCCTTCCTTTCTGCCTACTACTGTCCTGCTGTTTTGTGTCCACACATGCACGCAAGCACGCATGCACATTCTCAATCCTCAACCTTCATCGCCCGATATTTGCTATTTCTCTCCCATTGTAAACCATTTATACATTCTTTCTTCATTTCCTGCTTCTAAAATCTCCCAGGCACTCAAGACAAAATGAGAAGAACAAGTCAGGGATCACCTGAAATTTAGCCCTCTAGCTTATTACACTTGAAGATTAACCATTCCATCACAGCCTAGGGAGTTAGGATAGGTGAGGTTAGGTTAGTATCAGGGAGGTTAATATTCAGGTGAAATAAGCTGGAGGGGCAAATCATCATGTGAACCAAACCCAACAAAATCTCACCTGGCCCTCAGTTGAGCTAGGCCATTAGTAAGACTTTGGTCCCCTTTCTTGAGCTTGGTGATGTGGAACTGCAAGTCCTGAGGTGTAACTTTGTGGTCCAACCCAAACTCCTCATATATGATGGTTTCATATTTTCTCAGAGTTTCCTGTAAATTAAATTTAACATTTGAAGGAACTAATATTAATACAGCTATCAAGTTTGCAAGTGAAATCCACATTAAAAATCACATCTTTATGAGGTCAGATCAGGACTTCATTGTCGGTATGATACTGTTTTTGTAGCCTGTGTATATCTGTTTATAAAGATGTGGCTTTTAACCATCATGTGGCACCACTGACATGATCTTTGCTGCCCGCCAGATGCAAGAAAAGTGCAGAGAATAGCGTCGTGACCTGTACATGTTTTCATTGACCTAACCAAGGCCTTTGACTAATTCAACAGGAAAGCCCTAGGGTGGACCCTCAGTCCCTCAGTCATTTTGGCTGCTAACCAAAATTCATTGCTAATGCGAGGCAACAAGATGATGGTATGAATGGCAGTGTCCTGCATAATGGCACCCAGTCTGAGTTCTTCCCCTTCCAAATGAGGGTTAAACAAGGGTGTGTACTGGCACCAACTCTCTTTTCCATTTTCTTGGCTGCCTTCCTTACTTGTGCCGGTGCCAATTTAGCCAGCGGGACAAACATCTAGTACCATATGAAGGGTCTTTTCAACATAAGATGACTCCAGGCAGGAAAAAAGGTGTCGACAGCTTCTATTACTGAACTTCAGTATGCGTATGATCTCACCCTTGTCGCTTACACTGAACGCGACCTACAGGACATCTTGAACACCTACACAGATGTGTATGCACACTTCGGCCTCGAGGTGAATGTACGTAAGACTTGGCCTGCCCCTGCTTCAGCTACACCTCCACCATCCGTCCAGCTTAATGGTACGTATTACCCTTTCAAGCCTTTGGCAGACTCAGAAACCATGTCTTCAGCTGTAGGGAGCTGAAATTATCTACAAAGTTCCGTGTATATTGAGCAGTGGTCCTCCCAACCTGCTATATGGCAGTGAGACATGGGACACATACAGGAGGCACATCAAGACACTTGAAAACTTTCACCAACGTAGTCTATGTTCCATGCTCCGAGTTCGCCGGGAAGACGAGAACAAATGCCAGCATTCTTGCCGACACCAACTGTAGAAGCATCGAGGCTACCATTACCCATGAACAACTACGTTGAACTGGCCATGTTACCCGCATGGATGACAATAGACTGCCAAAGCAGCTACTTTACAGTCTCCTAACGAATAGTAAATGTAATATTGGTTCGCAACTGAAAAGGTACAAGGATAGTCTTAAGACAAACCTGAAAAAGTGCCAAATCGACCACCTCACCTGGGAGACAATTACTCCACACCATAACGCTTGGAGGAGCACCACACAAGAAGGTGTCAATACTTTTGAGTTAGTCTGACTGCATAATGAGGCAGACAAGCGCCAACGCCGGAAAGATGCTGCCGCCGCCCCTCATGCACTAGATGTAGCCCCCCACATGTGCAACCTCTGTGAACGACTCTGCCAGTCCTATATCGGCCTGTTTAGTCACCTCAGAACTAACCAACGTAGGTGACACCCTCAATAACTCATATCATTGTATCATAGCTGGATGATCGTCATTCTCGATTCCGAGTGACAGCAAAGTAGTAAACGTAGTAGTGCAATTGTACGTATGTATGTAGGTATGTATGTACGTATGTATGTATGTTCATATATATGCATGTATGTATGTGTATGTGTGTGTGTGTGTGTGTGTGTGTGTGTGTGTGTGTGTGTGTAAAGATTCTGTAATTTGTTTATGGCCCCAACAATGAGTGTTGTGTCATTTTTGCACTCCTGAGCTTAACCATGCATAAATATTCAGGTACAGTATTGTATTTTGGAGAGATGTATATTTTCCCAAAACACCTGAATTATTTTAGCTTATACAGTATATCTAATTTAGAAGCTATTTACATTGCTACTTCATTACTTTGTTTGTTGTATTGTCTAGTAATTTATAGGAATTAATGTAAAAACATACTATACAGTACATGTTCCCACCTCAGCATCTAAATGCTGGAACTTCATATGCCTAGAAATTTCTGTCTAAATTACTAAAAACAAATTATGTCTTATATGACATAAAAGTGAATCATTTAAAACTAATTCGGGTTTTCGCACAATATGACCCTTCACCTCTAGACAACATTACGTGACCAGCTGAGTACCTTGAACATGTCATTCTCAGCCTCAAAGTGTGCATTCTCTTTACAACGTTTCTCCAAGAGCGTCACCTGCAGCTGAGCACCAGACAGTTTCTCCTCTATGAGTTTAGTGTTCCTCTCAGTTTGTCTGTAATAGTACACAAGAATAAAAATATTAAACAAAAGATCATGGACATAACTCAGTACAGTGCACTATAACCTCAAACAACAAAACTGGTGCCTACACAGTAGAGAATTAATGAATGCTTCATAACTGGAAATATCAAAAATAAATACCGTCAAGTGTTATTAATTTCTGAAGCTGTCCATCATTTACATAAGCCGGACAAAGTTAGGATGGATTAGGTCAACTTAAGCCAGACTAAGTTAGGATGGATTAGGTCAACTTAAGCCAGACTAAGTTAGGATGGATTAGGTCAACTTAAGCCAGACTAAGTTAGGATGGATTAGGTCAACTTAAGCCAGACTAAGTTAGGATGGATTAGATCAACTTAAGTCACACTAAGTTAGGATGGACTAGGTCAACTTAAACCATATAAAGCTTGGTATAAGTTACATTAAATTTGGCAAAAATCAACAATGTACAGAACGTATAAAACTAACTTGAAAAACTCATTCTCTTCTTTTAAGTTCGACATTTCCTTCTCCATGACTGACATCTTACGTACTGCAGCCTCAAAAACCTCAGCTTTATCCTCCAGTGCCTCGGAATCTCTGTGGAGCTGCTGAAGTTCCTGTTGATTATTTACATGTCACAGTTTACTAAACACATGAGTACAATCCTGGTAAATTCTTAATATAACAAAATAGTCAGCAGATTATAAATCAATGTGGAAAAGAACTGGTGATGCCAGTGCGAAGCTACGTATACTGAATTGTTATCTCTTAACAGTTATTAAACTTCAAATGATGAAACTAAATTGTTTTTATATTCTAATCCTAATCTCACATTCTAAATATAGGTCTAAAACAGAATGTTTTCAACTCTCATAAGCACTAGCTCTTCCCACTACAGTACGGTACGGTACAGTACAGTAAGGTACAGTCAAGTACGTTACAGTACAGGTGGAATTAACAGCAGCATATTAACCCTTCATTAATTACATAGTATATCATTTTATGCTGCTTTACCAAATGTATTAATCTACAGTGATTGTATCCACCTATTTTATCCCCACTGCTTCATAAAACACCCCATCACACACACACTGCTTCATACAACACCCCCAGTATCACATACTACTTTGCTGTCTCTTGGAATCGAGTATGACGATCATCCAGCTATGAGACAATGGACAATGATATGAGTTAGTAAGGAAGTCACCTTCGTTGGTGAGTTTTAAGGTGACTAAAGAGGTCGATACAGGATGGGCAGTGCCGTTCACAGATGCTGCACATGTGGATGACTACAACTAGTGTGGGAGGGGCGGCGGCAGCGTCTTTCCGGTGATGCCGCTTGTCTGCCTCGGTTTGCAGTCTAACTAAATCGAAAGTATCTCAACCTCTCAGCATCATATACAATCTCTCAACATCACATACAACCTCTTAGCATTACATACAACACCTCAACATCACATACAACACCTCAACATCACATACAACACCTCAACATCACATACAACACCTCAGCATTACATACAACACCTCAGCATCATATACAACACCTCAGCATCATATACAACACCTCAGCATCATATACAAAACCTCAGCATCACATTAACTAGCAGCATGTGCACCTTATAGTCACCCACTACCACACCTGCTGAAATAAAAAATATTTACCTTAATTTTGACCTTGGCTTGATTAAGCTCCAACTTCTGAGTCTCAAAATGCATTTGAGAGGATACTGACTCTTTTAACTTGTTCTGCACCTCAGTCAGTGTCATCTCCAGTTGGTCAGCATGAGACTTGGCTAGATGTAGCTTCAAATAAGAATAATTTGATGACAAACTAAGACAATTGCACAATGAAAAGAGGCATAAACTGAACCTTCTCTAACTTGATACTAAAACTTTCATATTTTGGGTTACTTAGATCAACCGAGAGCCCAAACAACATAGAATTATTGAAGCTTTAGTGTACACATGTCTCTAAGACTAATGACCCTTACTCCCACAACACCACCAAATGTTAAGTCAAAATGACAGCAAGTTTTGTTTTCCCCATATGAAAACACATGTACTGTATGGTGATATTCCTACTAGCCAGATTAACTGATACAGAGCTCGTCCATGAATGAGAGATTTTCGGATATGAAAACGAATTTTCTCTTCCCAGAAAAAATAGCATTTCCCCATTTTTTTTTTTTTAGGTACAAGCTATTGGGGAAAGATTTCCAAGAGTCTAAACAATGCATCTTGCACAAACAGACACATAACTGTATTTACTTATGCAAACACCACTGTACATGTACAATATATTGTAAATAAACAAAATATACTAAAGTATACAGCAGACCCTTGCCAACCACAGAATCCTCATCCACAAATTCTGGGTATCCATGGTTTTTACTCTGTAAACCATTTCACCAACCACAGCATTTAATTTCGAGAATCTGCGAATTAATATGGAATCTTTATCCCTCCACGGTCTAATGTATTCCTCTGTAAATGTGAGGAATTAATAAAAATAATACTAAAAAAAAAAAAATACTGCATTGCCATTTAGATAAGAGCACCCCCCCCCCTCCCAAGATCGTGGGCTAACTCCTGCGGACATAAGAAATGTTTATTCTCTTTATGTTTTCGACCTTATGAAAATCATTTTTTTTTTTTGCACATTCTTTATGAACAATTGCGAGTGCATGTAACCGTAAATAAATACCTGTAAATAAAATTACGTAAATCTACTCGAAACTACGAATTGAAAATGAGCAGTAATGCAGCTCACAGCTTGGCCTGGTAACAACAACTAGTAGTGATGAACACTAACTATTATCATGGTAACGAGTAGTGATGAACACTAACTATTATCAAGGTAACAACTAGTAGTGATGATCACCAACTAATAATGGTTGCCCCTCATGTAACGAGGATGGCCGGCCCAAGGGTCACCTTGGTGTGAATTTTTTTAAGGTGTAGAAGCAGTCGCCAACACAACAACCAGACCCTGAGTTAACGAGCTGCAGGACCCAGTGTCAAGGAATACTCCGAGAAGACCGGATAACTCGCCAACTGCACTGGCTAACCATTACCCCGGAATACGATCCGCAAATCGATTAACATCCAGGTCCCAATTACTGCTGGGTAGATAGAGGCAAATGGCATTAAGAAACTTGCCCATATTTTCACCCTGCCCGGGGATCAAACCTGTGTCCACTCGCTTGCGAGGCGAGCATCCTGACTATTACACCACAGGTCGCCACTAACTATTATCATGGTAACAATATCTAGAGTGATGAACACTAATTATACTGTTCAACAATTATGAACTTTTTTGTATTCTTTAGGTAAAACAAAGTGATTCTAGTATTGTACTTTTAACACAGATTATGAATACAGTACTATATAAATTGTAAATGTTCCCATCACCCACAGTTTATTTCCAAAATCAGGTATGATACCTATTACCAGTACATTAGTGGAGATCTGAAAGTAATAGCATTCTTTATCTGTATGCAGCTGGGATATACAGTACTAAATATTGTTATTCCCTTTGTGAATGGGATACCTGGGTAAGGAATTCTCATTTCGTTGTTTAGGACAGACCATGGTATACACTGTAGATCTATCCGCTGCATAACAAATTGTTAGGAACTAAAATATAGTTGATCCCAAAACATCCAACTACCTTCTCTTCATATCAAACTCTAGGTTTAACGAAGAATTTTGTAAAATTCATGGACAATGAAGGACCTGGCTTCTTGTAGGTGAAAGGCAAATTCCCACATACTGTACCACTGAGGCAATGGAAGGAATACTTGTTGGTCCTCAAATTAATGTGCTGATGAAGGATGATGACTTTGATGAAGCTTTATGAAGGATGATGACTTTAACAAAGTATTATGAAGGATGATGACTTTAATAAAGAATTATGAAGGATGGTGACTTTAACAAAGTATTATGAAGGATGATGACTTTAATAAAGAATTATGAAGGATGATGACTTTAATAAAGAATTATGAAGGATGGTGACTTTAATAATGCATTATGAAGGATGATGACTTTAATAATGCATTATGAAGGATGATGACTTTAATAAAGCATTATGAAGGATGATGACTTTAACAAAGCATTATGAAGGATGATGACTTTGATACAATACTGAATGAATCTTAAAAAAAAACCTTGATTGCCTTTAATGCATTAACTGGAAGTTTCCTAAGAAACCATTGATTGGTCAACTATGCTACAGCTTCAAAGTGCTAGAGAGCATTATAAGAGATGCCATGATGGATCATCTACTACAAAACAATTTGTAAAGGCCTTCCAACATGGTTTCATGCCAGGATGCTCCTGCTTAACACAATTACTCAAGATATAGCACTGGATGTTTGAACTCAAATTCTGGAACAGGGCAGCAATATCGACAATATATACCTAGATTTTGCCAAGGCTTTTGACAGTGTACCCCATGAAAGGCTGAGAATTAAAATGGGAGGGTACAGGGTTCGGGGAAGTGTCTTAGCGTGGATATCAAACAGTGTGTAGTGATAAATGGTATGAAATCGTCATGTGTATCCATGACAAGCGGGGTACCACAGGGCAGTGTATTGGGCCCATTGTTGTTTGTTTCATAAATGACATGCCTGATGCTGTACATTCCTCCATACAAATGTTTCCAGACAATGCCAAGCTATTCAGGGAAATTAAGAACCAAACAGACTGTGAAGAGCTGCAGAAAGATCTTTGCGAGTTTCAAAAGTGATCAAAGAAATAGCTGCCAAGATTCAATGTCACGAAGTGTAAGAGCATGCACTTGGGTCGTACCAACAGTAAGGAGGCGTATCACATGTCCCAATGGGATGAAGAAACTGCATTAATTGAGACCATATCGAAAAGAACCTACAGTAGATGTGTATGTTGACAATGAATTGAGGTTTTCAGGCCATTGTAAGAAGAAAGTGAATCAAGCAACTAAACTAGTAGGTCCTATAAGAAGATCATTCAGATATCTAGATGTACCTCGTAACAATCTTCAAGAGCGAGGTGCTTTCCCATTTGGAGTACAGTACTGTTACCCCGTCTGGTCCCTGAGATATGCCAGAGACTGTCAGTTGATTGAAAATGTCCAAAGAAAGGCCACCAAACTGGTGCCAGCACCTCAGTTATTCAGAGATATTAGAGTGCCTGCAACTGCCTAACTTATACTACAGACAGGCAAGGGGTGACACTCATTCGAGTGTCCATACCTGGAGCTGGCAGATGCCTGCCACACAAGGGGTCACAGCTCAAGGTTGAAGAAGCCACTAGTCCAGAAAACTGTGAGGGCAAACATTTTCGGAGTGAGAGTTGTGAACTCTTGGAACAATCTGCCAAAGAATGTTGTGATGGCACCAAGTGTGAGCTGTTTCAAGACCAGACTTGACCAACACTGGAGCAGGTTCAGGTACATTCAGGAGCCGGTGCATGCCCAGTACTTGCCAACAGTGCGTAACAGAGATGTGACCGACCGCCCAAGTGGCTAACAAGCCGATCAGTGGTGAAGAGGATAAAATTAAAGAAAGTAAAAGTAATGATCTGCTTTTGGATTATAAATTATATGGATGCACCATGTCCCTTAGAAGTAATTTTTTATTTTGCATTCCCATTTTGACTCTTTCCACCAAACCTTGTGATTCCACTAAGGTATCTCAGAGATGGATATATGATACCAAGGAAAGTGGAGGCCCAGTATGACTAGCAGATTACTGTTGGAAGTTGATGATGTAAGAAAGAGATTCCTACATACAAACGTAAATCATGGAGAAAAACATTTTGAGTCTCATAGTTTGTGGTGATATTTTTGTTGGTTTTGCCTCACAGTACTGTACAGGGGTGTACAGTATTTTCACGAGTCTTGGGAAATAAAACGTAAATTTTCTCTAAAACCTAAACCGTGGGTGACAGAAACTTTTCCTTGTCATTTTTTCAGTCAGTGCTAAATAGAGTTTCAGAAACACTAACATACAGTCAATGAACAAAACCCTGACAAAGGCTCATATGATTAATGTTCCTCATAATTGAAGATTTAAAAATACACCTAACTGCAGAGCAGACCTTGAACCAATACTGTACACTGTCTAAAACAATATCATGCACAAATCTTATTAAACAGTTGATAAGTGTCACTGTCAAATATATATATGAAACTGTTCCTTTCCCAAAACGTAGACCAAGGCCATAAAAACTTACCTCTGTAGTCTTCTCGTCAACATCTTTGCTCATCTCCAACAATTTCTTATTGAGAACTGAAATTTCCTGTTGAACATCAAATGAAAAATTAATATATTTCACGTAAATCAATCATAACTGATAAAATGTAATTCTTTAACAGGTTTATAAGTCAGTCTCACTTCATATAATGAGGATCTCAGTGTATCTATAAGTGTGTCTGACTTCACATAATGGGGATCTGAGTGTGTTTATAAGTGTGTCTCACCTCACCTAACAACCATCTGAGTGTGTTTATAAGTGTGTCTCACCTCACATAACAACCATCTGAGTGTGTTTATAAGTGTCTCACCTCACTAACAACCATCTAGTGTGTTTATAAGTGTGTCTCACCTCACCCCTAACAACCATCTGAGTGTGTTTATAAGTGTGTCTCACCTCACCTAACAACCATCTGAGTGTGTGTTTATAAGTGTGTCTCACCTCACCTAACAACCATCTAGTGTGTTTATAAGTGTGTCTCACCTCACCTAACAACCATCTGAGTGTGTTTATAAGTGTGTCTCACCTCACCTATACCAACCATCTGAGTGTGTTTATAAGTGTGTCTCACCTCACCTAACAACCATCTGAGGGTTTATAAGTGTGTCCACCTCACATAACAACCATCTGAGTGTGTTTATAAGTGTGCCTCTCCATCTGGGTGTGTTTATAGTCTCACCTCACCCAACCCATCTGAGTGTGTTTATAAGTGTGTCTCACTCACCTAACAACCATCTGTGTTTATAAGTGTGTCTTATATCTGAGTGTGTTTATAAGTGTGTCTCACCTCACCTAACAACCATCTGAGTGTGTTTATAAGTGTGTCTCACCTCACATAACAACCATCTGAGTGTGTCTCACCTCTTGTAAAGTGTGGCACTTTTCCAGGTATTGCTGTTGCTTCTTCATCATCTTCGTTTCAGTTTCCAAGGTAATGGCATCACACTCTTGTCTCACCTTATTTGAGGATTGCTTGACTTCCCATTCCTGTTTCTGGAGCTTCTTTAGTTTATGCTGGAGGTCTTCAATCTGTAAACAGCCATAAGAGACATATGATCAGTGCATGAAGAAGTATCTCTCGCCATACCAACGAATTTCCTAAACTACGACCTCTTTTTTGTGTTGCGAAAGTTTCCCCCCATTTATACTATACGAATTTTGGTCCCGGCAAAAATTCAAATTGTGCGCCCCTGGGAGTCAGCTAGAGAGGCCACACCCCCTAGCGCTCTCCCTACCAAGCTGAGATAGGAGTTATATTATGGTTATTTTTCAACTCGTAATTTTGGGTATACTGTACGTATAAACATAATATTTATTTTTTTCATTCATTTACATGCACATACAATCCTACATACAGAATGTGCAAAAAAAAAAAAATAATAATAATAATCACAAGGTCAAAAACATAAAGGAAATAAACATTTCTTGGTGCACCAGCGAGAGTTTGCAGGATGAGCTGGGGGGAGTAGTGTTTTGAATATTTTTGAACTCATAGTTTTGGATAGATAAACTTAAATTTCTTCAATTTTTTTATTCAGTCACATGAACACACAATCCTAACATATGTCAATGTGCAAAAAAAAAAAATAATAAAATAAATAAATATCATAAGATCAAAAAAATTTCTTTGTGTATGAGACTGGGAGGGGGGGCATTGCTAAGGGTAGGCAGAGGTAGCCAGCTTGTTTTGCTATGGCGAGTCTTGAGGTCAGCCACATGTGAAGCAGCCAGCGTCTAAGCAAATGGCACCGCTGGTGGCTGTGTTAAACTTTGATTTAGCTTTTCCTAACATCAGTTAGAGAGAGCGTCCGGCTGAAGCATGAAATTCGTTAATAATTGAACAATCAATATCAATTTCCTGTCAGCAATTAAGGACACTGTTGCTATACCCCTGAATTGGTTTTGCCTAATCCCTAATACTGTACCTGATTTTTCCCTTATATTCTTATCAATTTTCAAAATCCTACTTCTCCATAACTTCATGTGGAGTACTGTATAGGTAATTTAACCCTCTTGAACATGACATATAGATATTTCTGATCATGGCTTTTGTTTTGGGTGCATTCATTTTTTCCTAACTTATCATGATTTCCTCCAAATATTTATAAAGATAAATCAGCAAATAATAAAACAAACCAAATATTGTACGTATAAAAAAAAATCTATATGTTCAGCCATATATGTTATTATACTCCTGTACTTATGCCCTTTCCACGCTAACCTGGACCGTAAGCCATGCCCCTCGTCTATAGGTACAAATAACCAAAAATAAGAGATGAAAATAAATTACCAAAAAAGCATAAAATGGAGAAAGTAAATGAAAAAAAGGGCGATTCATACTCAAGATGTGACATTCATGACTCAACCCACAGCAAAGCTACACTACCCTGGCACCACAACATAACCTACACTGGCCTGGTGTTATACATTACAGCTGATAGATATAGATACAAATTTTCTCCTATGATGTGTCTCAAACACTTGTGAACCAGATAATTTTTTAACACCATACTGGGAAATGTCAACACCCACTCACCAATTCTTTATCTCGAAGTTCTTTATGCCGCAGAGCCTCCAGTTCTGTGTCCCTCTCTAACCTTGCCTTCTTACTTGATGTGTCCAGCCCCTGCAAGCGCCCCTCCAGCCTCTTGATCATTGTCTTAGCAGTGACTATTTCTACATCCTTTTCTCGAAACTTCTTTGTGATATCTGAAGATAACAATAAATACTAAAGGTATATATGTACTGTATGGTATTGTAAGAAGCAGTTTGGTAAGGATTGTACAATTAAGGATGGTAAGGGGTGTAGCATGCTGCTGGATTTAAAAAAAATCTAAAATTTGTTGCTAAATCTTACATCAACACTTACCAAAACCAGCAAGAGAGTCAAGGTTCCTCTTCCTTGATCCCTGACCACCATTCCTGGAGTCATCATCCAGTGTACTGCTGGTGTCATTCAATGAGTCTGAAAAATTAAAAACAGTTAAGTTTTTATTCAGAGTGTTGAACATCCTGTAGCTATACAATAAGTAAAACTACAGAGAGTAATACAAACTAAGAAGCCAAGTTACATTAGTTTGATGTGTTGTCTTATTAATGTGTGGTTATCCCCTGATGCTGTATTGTATTGAAATATATCTGCTGTAATTTGAAAATAAGCTTAAAAATGTAATTACTGAAGGGGGGAAAACACGAAAGAGTCGTCTAACCTCACAAAACCTAACCTAACCCCTAGCCGGGGGCAGACCCCCAGTAGGCATAGCTTAAACTAACCTAACCTATCCTATTCATTTCCAACTAACATAAATGGGGTTCAAAAAGACTCAAAATAATGAAGTCTAAATGTTTCAGTAGTTAAAAACTTTGGGGCGCGCCATGTCCGAAAGTACATTACCTTAGTTAGAAGTGAAAGGACCAGGGCTAGGTTCAGGGTCAACCTCTGACGCTTGTTCTTTCTAAGCTTACAAGCCAATTTACAGTGCGGGCACTCAACAGACGTAGGGAGAACACCGTGATCACGTAGGAATTGGATAGCTTGATCGTCTTTCTCGTAAAACTCGGCAATAAACTTAAAATAATCGCAGGAGCACGATTCACACCCAACCTCCACCACAGCCATTGTCACACTGGTCATTGAAATTGAAATCCCTCAAATCCGTACCTTAACTCCTCCCTTTGAAAAAATTCAATTTTGATTGGTCGAAAAAAATTTGCATGATGAGATTGAAACATCATTGGTCACAACTGGAAGACGTCACACATGCGTGATGTAAACACGCTCATAATTAGCTCGCTTTCACGACGATAACGTCTCACATAGACGAAGCCTGAAAAGTTCCTAAAATCAATTAAATTAAATTCAATTGTGTCGCTATTTTCCATTTCCACCTGGTATAAATGGGTTCAAAATGCTCAGAATAGGGAGATCTAAATATTTCAGTACTTTATAACTTTGGGGCGTGCTATGTCCAAAAGTAAAATAATATCTTCCGGAATTCTGTGGTTGCCGTTTAGGTATTTTTGCATTAGTTCACACAACTTTCCTACCCCAAATCTATTATCATATTCGAAGAAGACGTAAAATTTTAAGATAATTTTCTTCTATTACATTACCGCCGCAAACGTATATTAATGGAGATAGCGCATGCCAGATATTTCTCTATTTTCTTCCATTAATCTTCCGCCATTATCGCTTACCTCACCTCACCTCCGATAAAGCTATAGAATTTCTACATGATCATGGTGTTCTCCCTAAGTCTGTTGAGTGCCCGCACTGTAAATTACTCTGTAATTGGTCAAGAAGGGTTGTAAAGAAGATAAAAACGAAAATTTGTAAATAATGTACAGTATGTGAACTCGGACTTCTAATTAAGGTACTGTACTTTCGGACAAGGCGTGGCCCAAAGGTTAGGTTAAGTTAAGTTTGGTTTGGTTTGGTTTGGTTAGGTTAGAGGATTCGTTTTCGTGTTCTCCCCCACCCAAAACCCCGATTTCCCATGTTTTCTCCCAAGTATCGTTTGGGGGGGGACCAATTTCAGCCAAAAATGAGGGTCAAGTCCGTTTAAAACACATAATGCACTAAAAAAACGGATTGGTCGAGCCCTACGGAATCATGTCCAAAAGTAAAAATTTACCAACGCCCCGCACAAAACTCACGATAACAAAAACAGACAATTTCCGACGTTAATCAAGGTCAAAACCAACCAAAACACACAAAATTACACGAGAAAAACAGAGTTGTTTGAACTAATGTAAATTTACTGGTTTACTGCAATATTACCGGGTTGGGTTGGTTTTGGGTGATTTTCTATGTTTTATTACACATATTTCTTATCCCCAACGGTACACTGCTATAAATTGACCCAAATCTTTACCAGGTTCTCTCCTACCGTAGATTATTACCCATAGACTTTAAGAAACACTCCCCTGACTGTCTACCCGTACACTGTCTATGTATCTATCTACCCGTACACTGTCTATCCCAAGTTCACCTGAAAAGTTTAGTTGTCTAGCTCGTCCCATAAAGGGTTCCTGAGTGTTGGTGCCGCTACACAGGAACTTATTAAAGTCCTGAAGAGTCCTGGTGACCACAGTTGGTTCAGGTGGAGTGTCCATGTTTACCTCTTGTGGTCGCTTACACTGACGTTACCTGCCAAGGAACATTATAGGCCCTGTAGAGAGAGTAAATACTTTCCTTGATTCTTTATTACCTACCTGCCTTATGGTGGGAGAGAAATAATGAATTGATGGAAAAAAAAAACGAGAAAGAGTGTTGGTCAATTTATAGTAAAAAACATTTTGAAGTATTGGATTTTTTTTTTGTGCTAAGACCTTTGAGTCATACCGTCCATACCTCAGTCACATTGGTAGACGGAAATAAAATCACAGGAAAAGTCACAGTAAAAATCACTTTTATTTTAATACTATTAACAATAAAGTATTAAAATGGGTTGGGTAAGGTTAGTTTAGGTTAAGTAGGGTTAGGTTAGTTTAGTATAGTATAGGTCACATCACTCATACCTCAATAAACCACCCATGTCTCAGCACTGTTATTCAGGGACATTAAGAACAGACTGTGCAAAGCTACAGAAAGATATCTGTAAGCTCCAAAAGTAGTCAAATGAATGACTGTTAAGGAGGTGCCTGCTCTGTGGCACCTCGGGTACCATGACAATGTCTCTCAAGTGCTTATTTAATATCAAATTTCTCACAGGTACTCATAATGATGCCAGGTGACTAAGAGTTACTCATAACAGATTCAATGTACTGTACCAAGAATCTTCCAGGGGAACCTAAAACTTTTAGCTGACCTAAAAGCCTTCATATTGTTGCCGAATGCTTTCAGGATCCACTTTCCATGGAACCTAAAGGCTTTAAAGGTGTTCAGAAAACCTTCAGTAGTCTCTGAAAACCTTCAAGGAGCCTCCTAGGTGCTTTTGAGGCCCTTTTCAGGGAACATCCAAAAACTTACCAGTGCCTCCTCTAGTGTTCATGGGAAAGGGGGGGACCTAAGGACTTCCATGCAGCCCAGAAGCCTTACAGGAGACCCTGAAATCTTCCAGATACCATCTGGATAGTCCAGGAGCCTTCTAGGGAGTTCTGGAGCTGTCCAGGTGTTCCTGGATCATTCCAGGCAATCTTAATTCTAGTAGTCATTCTGTGCAAAGTAGATTCTTTCCGAGAGATCTGGAGCCTTCATGCAAGCTTTTGTAGTGGGTCTCGAGCCTTTAAATTTTATTTCAGTGTGCAATTGGAATGTTTAGAGGTACTTAAAAGCCTTTAGGGGAACCCTGGAGACTTCACGGTAACCCTTGACCTTTCTCATGGCTGTAGAGCCAGTAGCGTACCCAAAAATTTACTGGTGGGGGCAAACTTAGAACGAAACATACCATGGTACAGGATTGTTGTTGAAATACATGATAATTAACATTTTTCTGTACATTCTTGATGAGCATACTATTCAATTAGTGATGCTATTATTTCTATTTATTTTGTTATTATTATTTTTATTGTCTTGTTAAAAATGGTTTACAGTATTTGGAATAATTTATTACTTCAACGACCGCCCCCCCCCCTTTGGTATGCCAATATGTAGAGCCCAAAGGCTCCCCAGGAGAAACTCTTATGAAGTGGCCCAAAGGTGGTCTTCAAGCCTTGCAGGGGTACTAGAATTTTCCAGGAATTACTTGATGGTCTTAATTATCTGCAGAGTAACCTAGAGTCCTACAGCCTTCCAGGGGTTACCCAAAGTATCTTTGATAAACTTAACCTCAATTTTCTCATTTTCTTTTATATTTCACAAAAAGTTTTCTGAGGAAACTTGAACACAACATGGTATTTTATTGTGGGGTTAAGTATATTAACTCGTATTTATAACTTTCTCTTTCCAGTGACTGCACTATCAGCTCAAAACCACAGTATACTACCACACCTGCTGGACTATACAGTACAGTACTATTGGTCGGGAGATCTTGAATTGTTAACTTACAAAAGCAGATTTAACAGGTACGAGTTTGTAATGAACCCTTGAATGCAATAACTGATGTACATCTCTATAAAATAATTGTACTGTATACCTACACTTAAATACAAAACATCCTGTATATCAAGAGGACCTCAGTATATTTGTTGATAAAAATTAATTACAATTTGATTCCATAATTCTTTAATACCTATATACATGGACTTCAAAGGCATTTGGGTAATAACAACAAAATTAAGAGATTAAATATTTTATAAACTCAGTCTCTATAAAACCAGATAAAGATTAAATTGTTTAATTTTGTTTTATGTCTTGTAATACCAAATGTAAAAAACACCCACCTTAAATGATTTTGTGCAAATATGGTAAATAAATGTAATTTACTTATCTGAATCAAACTTCACATAAATTTTGAAAAACAAAACAAAACTTACCTCTTCCTCAACTTCATTCATCATTTACAAATCTACATAAAACCAGTTTACAATCTCCTTGTTTTTTGCTCCCATAAGTGACACAAGCAATAACAGGTATCGTAAGTTTGCATTTGATTTGGAGGTCTTATTACTGTAACCATTGTGTTATATTAAAGACAGTTACAAAGTATTATTTCAAAATATTAAAGTTAAACAAACTACAGTATATTACAGCATAAGTAGAAAAATATACACCATCAACCATAACTCAATACTGTACGCCTGGACGGAATGTCTGTTAAGTATAGATACAGAAAATTCTGTGGAAACTGAAATTTATATCACAGAGTTGCTCAGATATCTGGCTATTTTTGTAACCTTGAGCTACACCAAGGAGCTTATGTACAGACTGCAGCTTGTGGGCAAAACCTAATGTAATATTGACTGATCCAATAAAAAGTTTTGGTTAATACTTGACTCTAGTAATAAAGATCATGTACATAGATCCTTGAGACAAACACAGTAAATGTACAACAGGAAAACAAGAAGTGCATCTGTCACAAGTTACCTTCATCTCTGCCACTACCATCTGTCACAAGTTACCTCCATCTCTGCCACTACCATCTGTCACAAGTTACCTTCATCTCTGCCACTACCATCTGTCACAAGTTACCTTCATCTCTGCCACTACCATCTGTCACAAGTTACCTTCATCTCTGCCACTACCATCTGTCACAAGTTACCTCCAACAAGTCATATTTCATAGTTTCAATAGTCTGTATATAACAACAATAATAATGGGAACAATGTTACTTTTGTACTTATTGCTTCTACAGTTAATTCACGTTTTAATACAATACATAACACTACCATAGAAAGCAGATGTGCAATATACAATCTGGAAGACCATGGAAAACACAATTAAAATAGGTATCCTATACTTAGAATGAACTAAATGCTACATTTAAGAATGGATCAAATGCACACCAATGTTCCTTCAATTTGAATCATTGATGTTTAATTTAAATTAGTACGTATAAAAATTCAAGAAAATAACAAAAGAAATAGGGACAACATTGCTTTGAAAAATCTTAATTGAAATTGTACCGTTGTACAGTACAGTTCAGTATATGCCAAACTCTGTATCTAAAGCTCAGTGCTTTTTAAGTCCTTAACATAAGCTGGAGCTTTCCAGTACGTAGTTCTTCCTCTGCAAAGTAAGAGTATCTTCTGAATGAGAGAAGCGCCTTACTTAGATCTTCAACTGAGAATTTTCCAAAACTATTTATATAACTTTCCTAAATTCATTTAATGATTACTACCATTCCTTAATTCTTCAACAAGGTAACACATTAACTAACTTTCAGAGACCCAAAACTTGACAATGTCCTATTCTTTTTACATTTAATAAACCAATAATGAGCAGAATGTTACTGGAGCTAATCTTCTTTGGCAACTGGGTTACAATTAAGCTAGTGTTAAATCTTTAAGTCATCAACTCCCATTTGAGAGAAGGGAACACTGTTGTTGAATTTACATGAGAGGGTTTACTGCATTGTGGATGTCTGAGAGTGTGTACATGTCATAATCTATACTAAGTTTACTAAATGCAAAATGCATTAGTGAGATAAAGGCAATCTCTGTAATACTTCTGTGATTGGCTAAGGCTATAAGACTAAAATATAATTAAAATATATAATAATTATTGCAAATCAGTCACATGAAAGTTATCTTGTGTAAATTCTAAAAATAAATTATTTACTTGTTATTGATAATAAGTGTCAAAGTAGTACTGTACAGTACTACCATAGCTAAAACATTATGTCACTTGGTATCTTGTGATACAAGACACAATGTGTGGACGACATTAATGGATCGGATTCTTTACTTACCAAATATGTCAACACTATGGACTGGATTTTACTAATCCAAGTAAATAACTAAAAGATGGCATTTAAGTCTTCAGTCACAGTGACCAATAAAAGTTTGGGATGAAAAGTACATCTTCAGTGAGCTGTGAAAATTCTGGATCGCAGAAGAGGAGTTAAAAAAGCAACCACGAAAGTGATGACAATGGTGGTGTTGAGGCAGTGGTTGGGGGCTGGGGTCAGACCATCCCCTCGCAGGACATCAGTATCCCCTAAGGAGTATAAAGAACATATTTGAACTGCTATGTTGTGGACAACTTTAAATAAATCTCTAGCTTACTGCAAGTTATATACTGTATAAATTTTTTTAAATTGGTAAATTTATTGTATAATTCTAATGGAAGATTAACAAAATGCCAAAGTGAACTTTTTTAAATTTTCCCTGCACAAAAGTTGTAATAAATCTGGAATGCATATGGCAAGTTAGTACAGTACAGTAGTTGCTTTATGTCTGTTAGTGAGTCAGAGTGGGTGGAGGCAATATAGAAAAAAAACCAAAAAGGATTGGTTTTATTGATCACATACAGCATTTCCTTCAAATTCACGGGGGTTAGGTGCTCAAAATGGCTGTGAATAGCTAAATCCATGAATAACATTTGCTTACCAGGGGGGGTTACATTTTTATTTGTGTACAAAGAAATGAATATTCCCTTTATGTGTTTGCCTTAGGACAATTATTTCTTTTACCTGTATTGTATATATGTGTGTGCATGTACACACACACACACACACACAAAACACATGCAAATAAATAATAATGGGAAAATCCTCTCACAAATAATCAGAAACAAATGTATATTAATAATGTTGAGTCTACCCTCAAGTCTACTCAGTGCTTTATTAATAACAAAGCACGGAGTGGACTTGAGGGTAGACAGTCACAATGTGTATAAATTTGTTTCTGATTATTTGTAAGAGGATTTTCCCATTATTATTTATTTGCATGTGTTTTGTGTGTGTGTCTACACACACACACAACTTTAAAACTACCCACAGATATTCTTGGGTACATCTAGGGTGTCATCTGCGAATAACAGAGGACCGCGAAATAAAATTCCGTGAATTATCCGGATGTACTGTACAAGCAAAAACATGTACGTACTGTAGCTATGTAAATTTCCAAAATAATAATACTGTATACAGTATGGCTTGCTGAAAGTGTCTTTAATGCAATTATAACTTAATAAATTATGAAAAAAGAGGGGGGGGGAGAGTTAATTATACTATATCCATTACGTGAACTACTGTAGAATCAACGTGTGACACTAATGGCAGTTATTTTTCTTAAATCATCTCATTTTCTCACCCATCTGGAATTTCCATGGAGGTGAAGATTTCTTGCCATCCCCACCCCGAGAGAATGCCAGTACACGCAGTTTGAAGGACTTTCCAGGGGTGAGATCATGAATATATGCCTCGAGTGGAGAGCCAATGTACACAAATGTATCATTTGCCTTTGTAAAATCTTGATCTGCTTCCCAGACTTTGATCTGAAAATACAAATTGATAAATGAAATACAATACACAAGCATAGCATTACAAAGCATAATCTTATCCAAATGGCAGACTTGCATTTCTGTCACTTAAGAGAAAAAATTCACCAAAAATCGAATAATTCCGATTGTAGCGTAAGATTTTGGCGCCTCATTCCTGTAGGTCTCCTCTCTCATGGTAATCTATCTCCAATTAGCTACATGGCAACTGTCCACAGTGTGATGCCATGAAGATGTCAGTTTTTTCCCAGCAGGCAAACTGGAAGGTACATTGTCCTATCCCTAAAACCCTCAAGCACTAGGCTACAGTAGGCATACAATCCACTCCCCCCCTCCCACACGGGTATATTTAGGAAATTAAAAAAACAAAACAAATAAAAACAATTCTAATTCTACAAAGTGGTCATGCATGATATAAACAGTAAAGAAATACATGTCCTTACCACAGGTTGGCCTCACAAGGGCTAGGAAGAGACAAGAATGCATGCAAAGAGTGTGTGTGAGGCAGTGGGGTGAGGTTGGCAGTAAGAGGTAAACAACATTGATTTGTAGGCAATATGAGGTACAGGACACTTGTTTATTATATTACAGTATTACTATTTACAATTATTATTACTGCCTCCAGCAACTGATCACAAATCTGCTGATGGTCAAGACAGGGATGGGCTGAAGCATTATTTAAAATGAGGATGGCTCTGGCAGTCTCAGGCACATTTGTTGTTGGAATGACTGCATCCTTCAGGAAATGTTCATCAAACTGTTTTTTAAATATAGCCAAGATAAACCAGGCAGATTTGTTTCTATAATAATAAACTGGCAGTTCTTGCTTTATGTCTTCTAGGGCTTGGGGTCAGTCGCAGTGCCTACAGCATCAGGTGTGAACTTGTGTCACCAATCTGCATTTACACACACAATGAGTGACAGGTGCTGCTCTATTGTCTTGTGGCCTGGGGTGTCATTATTTTTTTTTTTAGTTCAGTGTGTTAGTAGGAAGTGACCATCAGTACAACCCTGTATCATCTATAATGTAAATTTGAAATGGCTGTCGCCCTTCTTCCTCTGGAAGTTTTTTCAGGAAATCAGTAAACGGTCCTACTGCCTCCGTATTAGCACATAATTTTTCACCTTGTGGTTCACAATTCCATGGCAATTCTTGAACCTGTGCAGCCAACCCTTCACTGGATTTGACTGTTTCATGTCTGAACCGAGTGGCAAATCTCTCGGCTGCGCCTTGAATCTCCACACTCGTAACTGTTTGTATCACTCATACACTACATCATCAACACAGTATTTTGATAGGAATGCTTGGTTTTCTTAAAAATTCCTTCACTGTCCATGGCATTATACTGTAAGTGCTTTAGCACAAAATTTCTCCTTGTCACATGTGCAGTCATAAACAGTGGAGTGTTCCAGGTCATATTTACTTGTTGTGTCTTTCACACACAATCTAATTTGATGGTCACGCAGTATAGCCAGGGGAGTCTTTAAGCTAACAGCTGTCTTTTTTTAATTGACTGAACCACGAGGCTCCACCCCCCCCTCCCATATATTTGCTTTTTTTGGAACTGGGGTCTACCCCAATCAGTCCAATTTATCAGGGTTCTACTGTATGTGCATGGTTCCATTACAGGTTCTCCTCTACTTCCATCTAAACATTCAACTTACCAACCTTCAGAGATATGAACAAACGAATCTGTGCTGTACTGAAAATTGCCAAAAAATTAATATAAGCTATTTATACATTACACTACAATTAAAGGCTGGTAATGAATACTGTACTGTAATGTGCTGCATTTATTATCAGAGTGCAGCTTTAATGTACACAAAAGTTGGCTCCCCGGCCATGGTGAGTGTGTCAATGTTAAGAGTCTCTAAACTTCTCACGTGAACTGTCATCTGGTGCAGTTGTGCTACTTTATCCCATTTTGGGTCAATGCTGCTTCATTTTAGGAGGGTGCAAACTTTTGACCCCAACCGTACTTTATATATATATATATATATATATATATATATATATATATATATATATATATATATATATATATATATATATATATATATATATATATATATATATATATATATAATTATATATTTTTTTTTACAATATGTAAAGTAACTACATGAGTAAAGTTACACTTACAAACAAGCCTCAGGAATGTAACTAATTGGTAGAGGAGCATCTGTACACATCATACTATGAATTGCTTTCAAATTCTGGTTAAAATGTCTAACCTTTTTTACACACAAGTGTGCCAGAAGTAGACCCCCTGTCATGACAATGGGGAATGACTTAAGTACAGGTATTTGTGTTTTATTTGAACATTAATAAAGATAATAATTAATTTATCACTTATATTTACACGCTTCAATCCTTGCCACACCAAATTATTTACTGTAATTGAGAACCTCAATAGTGTTGTCCTGCTAGAAGTATTACAGGATTCAAAGTAGGAGAGGAAAAGAAATACAGGTGAAAACATACCTTGTAGCCAATGAGTGGTTCCTCCGCGGGTGTTGGGGTAACACCTCGCCAGGTAACACGAATGGTACTTGGATTGATAGGGTAAACCTTGACTGCATTTGGAGGCATGAGGGGAGGATGTCTCCATGTTCGTTCTAGGAAATAAGAAAGGATTTGTTTAAGCTGAAAGATGTTTACTATTTTATATTTTTTACTGCATTATAAAAATCTGGAGAAGATACTGCTGCACCATTTTTCATATAGAGAAAAGAACATTTTGGTGAAGTGAAAGATTTTTACAGTTCTACAGTATATACTAGTTGTGACTCGCTATCAGAGACATAAAAAGATGACACAATTTGCTTTTGACAAGAAAGAGTAATTGTATATATTCTTATTTTTACCTTTAACTTTACATGTAGTACGATGTGAAAGACTTACAACGGAGGATATCTGCATTGAGATTTTATCAGTTTGAAATTTATGATAAAACATTTTTAACTAAGAAATGAGAAGATTAATTTAAATAAACTTTAACATAAAAACTTATATAGAATCCAAACAATATATATATATATATATATATATATATATATATATATATATATATATATATATATATATATATATATATATATATATATATATATATATATATATATATATATATATATATATATATACATATATATATACATATATCGGTATATTAGGAAATACAATGTTAGATAATATAAAGAGAAATTATAATAAAGTGAGAAATGAATCCAAAAATATATCACTCAATTATTGTTTCCTCAATAAATTAAGAAAAGCATAACTTACCGAGGAACCTCTCACTCTCTGGTCCTGACCCCGCCTGGTTGTATGCCATCACTCGCACCCAGTAGAATGTGTTAGGGATTAAGCCAACAATAAGACCATGAGGCTTTGTGCCCCTCTGCAGCTTGATGATGTGATCAGTCTCATTATCTTCCCTTCTCCAGTACTTGATCTATATTAAAAATTAGTAACCAAATAACTACAAGTCTATAAGAAGAACTTTTGGAAAAGATATACAGATAGGAACTAGAGTGAAGCATAAAGGTCTAGGTCTATGACATGTTATATACGGTAATTTGTAAAGTTTGGACCCATTTTATCTTACAGAAACCACTCTGATGGTACTAACCCGGTAACCGACAAGTTTTCCACGAATGTTATCCCGAGTGGGATGAATGGGCTGCCAGGTTACATTGAGAGATGTAGCATTATGAGCAAAAGCAGAGACTTCTGTTGGCTGCACCTGAGGCATGTCTTCAGCAGAGAAGATCTCCACTGGGTCACTAACTGGTCCAGGGCCATGGCTGTTCCATACCTAAAATAGTAACCAAAAATGATTTTGGAAACCAATTGGTTTAATAAATTATAAATCATAATTCCATAACTACACACACACACACACCAAGATGACCATTCATAAACTGTATCAATAGACAGATACTATTTCCAAGTCACTCACTTCTATCTCCAGACACAAAGTATAAGAGTAACACTTTTTCACTTACTTGTATTTTCACATTATATTGAGTGTAAAAGTACTTGATGGGATTCACATCAACAACATGCATGCCAACATTGCCTCGGTTCCTTAAAACAATGCTCCGATAGTCTGTCTCAGGATCAATGACAGTGCGCTTCCAGAACAGCTTGTAGTACACACCGGGGGCATTCTGGTACTCTCCAGGGAGCGGCTGGGAGGATTGGATTCATGGAAAATAAAACACTCCAACAGGAAGTCGGACAGTCAACAGTAAGTGTGAGTCAACAGTAGGTGTGGCAGTCAACAGCAGGTGTGACAGTCAAGGTATAACAATCAATAGCAGATGTGACAGTAGGTAGTAGGCAGCTATCAAACAGGGAGGTACTACCGCCTGGTAAAATATTGGAAGCATAATGTATTGTCTAATGGTAGACCCTACTGTTATATGGCATCACAAAATTTGTGACCAAGTCCCAGGTTGCTAATCTGACTTTCTGCCTCATTTACATAAAATTGTAGGGATTCAATTGTTTCTCTTACTTTGACAACACAACATACTGTACATATATCGTTTTTCACAGAGAAATCACATCCCTGATGATAGATAACTGCAAACACCTTAAAGTGTAAATGATAAAAAGTTCTCATATTCCAAGTTATAAATGATAAAGTGACTCACATCCCAGGTGATGGTAAGGTCTCCAGTCTTGCCTCCTCCACCTCCTAAGTTGGTGGGTGTCGTGAAGGGAATGTCCTGTTTGGTGTTGGCCTGTCAACAAATAATGAACACATTCAAGTAACTTATTCTAGTAGTAATAATAATATCCTGTGTGCCTGATACAGCATTTTACCATAATTCCTTCAGCCTAGCTTAGCAGCCAAAGTAATGAAATACAGTAATCCATGATATATAATTTATATGGTTCAGTAATACCGTACATTTGAGTATCAGGTATCCTAAATGCTTGGGACCAAGAGGCTCTTGAATAGTAGATAATTTGGGATATTCACCCATTCACTTATTTAATAAAATTCCTGTAACCAGTCAGGGGTGTGGGATGCACATATGAATAACCATTACATATGACAAAAGATTTACAATAAGATGGAAAAATACATATTTAACAGTAATGGAAAATAAAAAAGTGGAAAAGAGGGAATAATGTATTAATTAAGATGACAAAGTACTGAAAGTTCAATGAGATGATAAACTGGCATCATTTGGTTGAAAAAGCATTGGGACTTCTAGATGCACCATGTCCTTAACCTCATATTTTGTCATTAATTTTGTCATTTCACTAGTTTCTTCTTAGCTAAATTTACTTTTGGTACTGATACTGTATATGTATGGCCACAGGATAAAAGGTTAACTTTTGGCACCTCTCTAAATACTGTACTAACCAAGCACTGTTAATACATTTGCCCAGGAGGCAGAAGTCAACATAAACAATGTCAGTCACTCACTCTATATGCATTGCCAGCCTACCAAACAACCAGACAGCATAACACTGTCTTAACTATTCTAGTGCATGTAGCAGAGGCTTTAATGTTATAACTGCACTTCAACAGCTAAGGTACTTATGCATGTATTGTAATTACTGTACTATACATAACAACCATCTTTATATTTGTTCCATAACTGGTATAATGTACAAATGCAATTGACAGACTTACGCTCAATAAAATCACAACAACGTTATTAAATTTCATGTGCCGCAGTAACAAGCCTTGCAATTTTGGCCACTCCTCACTCTATTCCTTAACATATCCATTTAGCTCTGCCCATAACCCAACACAATAATACAGTATTGTCTTAGGTTACCATGATGAACTTCATGAACATCTCAATATTTTCATGGTAACTGTAAAACTTACCTGTGGTGATGGTGCAGAGAACTGCCCTTTACCAAGGCTGTTTAAACCTTGGACTCTGAATTCATGAGACGCCCAGGGAGAGAGGACGTCAACCAGCTGGCACTCTCTACGTCCATTATTGGGATCAATCGTCTATAAAAAGAAAAAACGAAAAAAACAACTCGTACACTCAATCTGAATTATTAATTACCCTTTGCTTTGAATGTAGTCAATATTTTCTTACCATTGTAGCTAAAATACTGTCTTCTATCTTATTAGTTCTATATCATTAACCAAACTACTGTATGTACAATATAGTACAGTATTATTACACATGTATCCTCGATAATCGCGGGTGTTAGGTTCCAGACAACTACCGTGATAAGCAAAACTGTACACATCAAAACACATTTCAGGATGCAATTATTCTGCCGAATTCTAAAATAGAAAGGCTAGGCCTCACCATTTCCTCAAATATGTTATGGAAGCCACATATCCACAACATTGCTAAAGCCGCCTCCCGAAAGCTGGGAATGCTGTACAGATGCCGTAGCTACTTCACTCCTGAGCAGTTGCTTCAAATTCATAAGGGATTCATTCGTTCTAACATGGAGTACTGCTCTCATATCTGGGGTGGCAATTCTTCTGTCCAACTGTTAGATAGAGTGGAATCAAAGACATTTTGTCTTATTGACTCTTCTCCTTTAGTTGATAATCTTTCTTCCCTTTCTCTTTGCCGCAATGTTGCTTCACTCACTCTCTTTTACAGGTACTTTAACGGGCAACGTTCATCTTGCCTGCGGTGCCCACTGTTTCTCTGTGGATGTCGGTCACACTAAAATAACCCATTATAGTACATCTTTCTTTCCCCACACAGCCAAACTGTGGAATGCTCTGCCTTCTTTTGTGTTTCCATGCTCATACAATCTGTGTCACTTCAAAAAGCTGGTTTTCTGGCATCTTCGTGGTGTAGATTAATATAATATTTTTCTTTTCTATTTTTAATTTCTCTACTCTTATTTTTTCGCCTTCTAGGCCTTGTTGTGGGTCGAAGACCTGTGTCCGGGTGAGCTATTCACCGTAATCGTCTCATGACCCCAAAGATGTATCCCCTAACTGACCAAAATATACCCTCAAAAAATGTGTAGGTACACTTAAAGATATAACACTAGGAGCATATCTTTACTAATTAATGAATAACAAATAAACAATGTACAGTACCGTACAATATTGTATCATGAATGACAGTCATAGTAGAATGAGAGGCAGAGTGTTGGTGAGACACAATGCGTGGGAGGGAGAGAGGAAGGTGGTACAACACAATGGGTGTGCTGCCAAGTGCGTGCTTATCCTTGTCGGGAACATCGGAACATTCAACCAGAGAACACACACGTCTTCGTCGCTTGGCTGGATCAGGAACGTTAACATTCATCTTGTTCACACGTGTCACGGTTGAGTGTAAGTAAAAGTTACAAAATTGCACCAAAAACAAGCACGGAGCAGGAAACTGCCTTCAAACACCAAACAAAACAAAGTGGGGAAACAAATGTTGTCACTGGAAGCTGGCGCCACAAGCCGTGCTGCCACCTCTTGGCAGTCACTGCTACCGCTGGCTCTCACAGACCCGCCGCTGTCCCATGATAACCCAGATCAATCAGTGATAAGCGTACACATGGTTGCATTTGAGGATACCGTGATAAGCCAGATCGGCGATTATCGGGTCCTGTGATTATCGAGGACACCTGTATCTCCATCTGTCTAAGTTGCACTATTCTTTTAATAAATAATTTATGAACCAGCAACCTGTACCTGCATCTTCATACTGAAGTTGTTTGTCATCCACCAATATACTGCATATAGCTGTATCAACCCATCAAGCTCTCTCTATTACTCTACACTTTGTTATTTACATCTTCTCCCCCAAGATGAGCAAAATTGATGCATTAAATACCTTCATCAATTTACACTTAAATAATTACGTTCATAATGACCTATTTTTACTAAAACATGCTAGTACATTCTGTATATTGATTTATACATAGATATCTGTAGCTATCAATCCACTGCATACACAAATCATTATTTCAAGTAGTTTACATGTAACTAAATATGTGATAACATTCTGTTTTATTCTTAACTATTATTACATCTCTTATTTTCAGCAACCAAGTGTAGCCTTAATAATCAGTCTCTTACCTTTGCTGTTATGTGTTCAGCCACAGTTTTCCATTTCCTTGTCCACTGAGTGCGTGTCTGTATGGTATAATTCACTATAGGTTGTCCATTGCTCGCTCCGTCAGTCCACTGCACTCGAGCATTCATGCTTGTAAGATCCACAGCCGCTACTCCACCTGTTACAAATAATCACCTTGAAATAACATGGGGCGATACAATAAAAGCTATCTTTTTTTAAACTATAAAAATATTATTACAATTACAGTAAACCCTCGATAACTCGGCATTTGATAACTCAGAATTTCATATAACTCGGCATGGATAAAGCCTCGGAATGTATTAGTATAACTCGGGAAATGCCGAGATATACAAAATTATCTGGGAAAATCTCGGCATACCTGGCCACCTGCATCACCTACCACACCTCTGTGTCACCTACTATGATGATTCATTCTTCACCTGCAGTGCTGCATTTTTTTTTCTTTCAAAAACATACTTTGCTAATTATATGGTGCAATGTTAATTATATTCTCCCATGTCAGTTCAGTGACATTTTATAAGAGAAAAACTTAGTCACTCTTAAGGACAGATAAATAAATAAGCAGTAGACCTTGGCATTAACTGTCAAACACCATCTTCCCATCAGCTGATCGCTAGTAAACAGACCATTTCAGTCCCATAATTTTAGCTGTGTTGCTTTATGAGTGTTTGTTTTAACATAATACTACAAAAAACAATGTTTTGTTTATTCTAGATGGGCTGAGGTGCATCTGGGTAGACTCTCAGTCTTTTTAGTATTTTGTGTTTCTCTCAAGTACCAAACTAAATTATTCCATTGAAACAACACTTCGATTTAGTGCGAATTCGGTTTAAAGAGACCTCTTTCGGAACGTATCAGTGACATACCCCTGGCATCACTAGCATTCAACAAAGAATTAATATAGAAGCCCACCTTCTGAATACTATATATGAAGGTGCTTTAATTTTCCCGGTGATCAGTTACTGAGGCAATATTTACAAATTACTAATTTTACATGAAAATATACAAAATCATTTTCACACCATCACTATCACTCACAGACCTTTTCCTTGACATGGTGGAGCACGTGGTGAGGAGAACACTACCCGGGTAGCATGTATACGACACACCAAAGACGGTACTGTACGAGAAAATATTTCTCGATGCCGGAAAATGAGATGTATTTCAGGAAAAATACTGGAACACATTCTCAATTCCAGTTATCTGGGATTTCCAGTACCTAGATTTCCATTACTGAGATATTACTGCATTCAACATCTTATGGAAGCCTCCAGAATGACTTGAACACTGAAAATTAATAGGTAGTGAAGGACATAAAGTACAGTGCTTGGCAAACAGTCAAGTCTTCCATGTCCTGTGGTACTCTGATAGCAATAATTGATGGTTTAGAAAATAATATAGTATAGTTTAAGTATAAACTATAGAGAACATCAACCAACTTCCGGTGAGATCATTCAGCAAATACCGTACAGTGAAATAAGGATCAATTTATCCATTACATAACCACTAACCAGGAGGTCCCGGGGGGCCGTGGATAACAAGAGTAGTGGAGATGGCAATCTTCGCGACTGGAGTCTTGGCTACACACTCATAAACGCCTGCATCTGCCAGAGTCAAGTTCACAATCCGGAGGTGGCCAGCGCGATTACCCTGGAATAATTTAAGTGCTGGATTATAAAAGAACACTGTTACAGTAGGCAAAGCTCAATAACAGCATTATGTTATGAGCAGATATCAATAAATTGTAGTAAACACCTTCAATGAACACTAAATGTTCTAAACATTGAAGTATTCAACTGAGGAATGTAAGGAATTTATGAAATGACTGATGATGATGTTCAGTTAAAGATTTTTTTACTTCTTTGCAAAGTTTGGTACAGTATTGGGAAAGCTTTTCTGATTCGATTTTAGTGAAAAAATCCCTATATTGTACTAAACTGGCTGTTAACTAACTATATCAGTATAGAGAGGCAATACAGTATATGTACAGTGAACCCTCAAAGATCTGGATCTGGCAAATCTGTATTTTGGAAGATTTGGACAAAAAATTTGGTGATTCTGGGCTAAGAAGCCTCCCAAAGAAGCATTCCCAAAACAGAGCAAAGAACATTTTAAGCCCGTGGGTGCTGGTTGACCAGTCGGTCGTACTGGACACAGGTGCCCGAGGAGGTGGTAAACATAAACAGTTGTCAATTGTTGTTTGTAGGAATATTTCATTCACTCTAGTAATGATATAATGTTTCTTATTATGTTATTGTAGGTAAATACATGGTTTATGTAACTTGTTTATCACTGTGCCCATCACCATTTTCAAATTAGACTTCAAGATATGTATTTCTCCTATATGTATTTCAATCATATGCCTGGCAATGGGTGCGGGTAAGGGGAGTGAGTCGAGTGACTGCTAGTTGAGTGTCGTATGCACTTAACTCTCCTCCTTCCCTCCCATATTTCATTGGCTTTACTGTTATTAACAGTGTTTACTGATATAATAATGCTTAATAGTGATTAATCATGGCATTGTATATAGTTAGCTCATCATTGTAACCACCAGGCTACTGGGCCAAGCTGTGAGGTGTTATGGTTGTTATTTCAACTCATATTTTTGGGTATATATACATAACTTTCTTCATTTATTTGTACTCATTTACATGCACACACCACCCTGAATAGATATTATGAAAAAGTAAAAGTCATTGTCCTCAGGGAAAACCTGTACTCAAATGTACTAAGTTAATTACTAAAAATTTTTATGTCTAGTGCAAACTATGGGATGTTTGTACTCAAATTAATTGCTATCTTGCAAGAATTAGAGCAATGTAAGTTATATGCTGTAGTCAATTCAGTGACACTTTATAAGCTCCCTGCCTGGTTGTCAACACCTCACCTCCTCACAGTCAGGGTGAAGGTAGTTTTAGGCTTAAAGTTTGTATCTTATAAAATGTCACATACTAGACTTAGCAGAATATAATTTGCATTACTGGAATCCTTGCAAGAAAGAAATTAATTCGAGTATATACATCGCATAGTTTGCACAAGTACTGTATATTCATTGACTAAACATAAACCACCACTTGGAGAAAAATATTAAAGATTAAATTGAACTATTTCCTTATTCATTAAACACTCAATTAAAAAACTTATAAAATCTATAAATTGAATTACAATGCTTTCCAGCTTACCTTTTGATAGGGTGGTTCTCTCTTGCTCATGTATATCTCTTCCTCCCTCTCTTTCAAGTACGTGGAGGCCTCATACGGACTATCCTGAAAAATAAACATTCATAAAGTTAGTCTTACACAACAGTGACCCACAGTGACAAATTTTTTCAATACTGTTCAAAAAAGAGTCAAAAATAATTGGATACATATAAACAGTGTACACAACAAACACAAGTACTTACATAGAGGTTATACAGCCTCCTCTTATAGTCAAATTCATATCCCTGTAAAAGGCAAACAAAACACAAATAAGCTAATAACAAAATGAATGCAAAGAAAAGACAGTTGAAGAAAAACTTTAGCACGAGGTAACAAAATACAACCACATACACAATCCACCTCCATATGCCTTACACATCCACAGTGATGCTTATCCTTGACTTCTTGGCCACTTTCATTTGCAGGCTTTTTCCCATACATTATGAGTTCCAGGTTTTCAGAAAAAAAAGGGAGGGGAGATAAACACAGTGGAATAGGCACATACAGGCATTGAGAAATTTAAACTGGTGTAGGTGGGCGCTGATTGGTGTAACACCCACACAAAACTTTTAAATTTTTCATTTTATTTTATTTTTTTATAAACTATATACAGTACAGGCAGTCCCCCGGCTTAAGAAAGGGAGAGATATGTTTCTGAACCCTCATCGTAAGTCGATTTGTTCATAAGTCAGAACAGTGTTAATTCCATAGTTTAGGTTAGGTTAAAGCACAACCCTGCACACACAAAACAACAGTAACAACCCAAACATAACAAATAATACAAATACTGTAAATAAAATGATGTTAAATAATAGAGAATAACAAAAATCATGTAAAAAATGGAATTCTAATTAAATTTTTTGAGATGAATTATATATTGGGATCCCTTTCGTAAGTGCGGGTGATCGTAAGTCAGACGGTCGTAACTTGGGGACTGCCTGTATAAGTAACACTTCCTGGACGAAGAACACTATAACAAAACAAAACATCATTCTAAGCAAGAATAATTGGTGCAGAGCAATCCTGGGATTGAGAGATTTCCCGGTGTGGAGACAAATTTTCTCATCCCCGGAAAATATCACACATGCCCAGAATTTTCTGGGTACAGGAGAAAGTTTTCCGAGTCTAAACTACACATCTCGCAGGATCAAACACAATCCCATTACATTTAGACTACAGGCACAAGCAAAAATATTTAGATACAGGAACCCCTCCATATTACACCAACACCCAGTATGAGGCAGCCAAGAGCAAGACTTAGAGACTGGATGAACCCTAACCTTTGGCTACTTGGCAAGCATCAGCACCATGTTGGCAGAGTTAGGCCAAGGACACAGGCAACCCCGGCGTGGTATTTACTGTGGGCACAGCCCTGACTGGTGGCCAAACCTCCCCCTCCATGCTCACCCCAGACACACCCCCACCATCATCTCAGCTCCACTCTCCCTCCTACAACACTAACACTGCAACAACAAATGCACACATCAACTAGACTCCCTCACTGGGAAAGCTGCCACATCACAGAGGATGTGATGCCCAGCAACACCCTGCCAGAGTCTCAAAATAAAACATGTGTCTGACACAGCACTGATTTTGTTGAAGTTCCACTTGGTGTTTTAAAGAGGGAAATTCAGACATGCGGCACTGACTCACAACCTCAGATCTACACAGTTGAAGCCCTCACCTGTCTTTTAAAGGGGGGATAGAGGTCAAGAGTTTCTGTGACAGACCACAGGGCAGAGAGCCCAAAGCAGTGGACAATGAGGAAAGCTGTTAGGGGTAAATTGGGTCCAAGACCCAAGAGAAGGCATACTCGAGAATCCCAACAGGCAGTCCTGAACCCCCAACCCCCCCACCCCCCCTCCTCTTGCCCACCCACGTCAAAACATCACTGAACTACAACACCAACTCCCACATCCACCTCTCACTAAAAACTCAATTTGCCACTTTTCCTCTCAATCTCTCCCAATCACATCCAACTATAGCCTCTTCCTTCTAAGCTGCTCGAATACTCTGACCTTTACAATCAGCGATTCAACACCCCTTCCACCTCCACCTACACCACGTCACTCTCTGACAATACCCACATCCTTCCATGCTACGAGTACTTTGATATTTCCAAGATCAAAGACTCAAAACTCTTTCTCTCCAATTTGCTCCATCCATCATTGACGTAAAAGGTCAAAGACTTTACCTATACCGTCCTAAAAAAAAAACTACCACTAACCTACCTTTCATTCCTCATATCTTTATTGTGATGGTTTGGCATACCCCTGGTGGTTTTTTGAGCATGGGCTGTGTTTGCAGCGGTGGCAATCTTCCAAAAGAAACCCAACCCCTCCTCTGTTGTCATGACCGGGCAGAGTGCTGCTGCTGTTGATAATCTTATCACCATTAAGCAAGCTGTGCTAAGCCACAGTACTTTTTCTACTCCTACAACTCACTTCCATCCACCCTTTACCCTTCCACTGAACCTTCTTCACCCGTTACTTGTTTTTTACTACTACTACTACTGTTGTAAATTCAGTTGCCTCTGAAGATCTTGAATAAAGACAAAAGCTAAGGTGCTCCAGAGTGCTTCCATTCTGCCATACATATAATACTTAACACTTGCTCAATGTACAGTACAGTACAGTACATGTAACTGTAATAACTTTTTATGTATTAATACTACTTTAATGGTATTCTTGGCAGATTATATGCTAGTACAGTAATGCAGAACACTGCACAACACAGAGAGTGTGCAAAAACTGCAGTGAGTGAGTGAACAAGCTTGCACAATGGCAGCAGACTAAGATTGTCACGATGCAACAGTTTGAGGAGATGGGCTGCGAGATGCATCAGCCAATCACGGGCATCCCATACAGTCACATGACAGTAGTAACCAATGGTACCAAGAAGATGCTTTTAAAAGCTTTAATTTACCATAAATAAATATACATTTTATGAAAATTAAACATACACAGATAGTACTGTACTTACCTGCTCATATGCGATGTAACGCAAATATTCTGTGTCGTCTAACTCAATTCGTAAGCCGTTGTGTCGCCAGGAGTAAGTTGTATCTAGCAAGGGGTCAGTATAAGCCTCACACTCCAGATTTATGGTCTCCCCTTTAGAGCTGGTTATTAGTTCAGGGGGACTTAGATAGAATTCTGGTTTGTCTGTTGAAAGAAAGCCACCATCTCTGGTCACAATGCATTTTATAAAATGTCTGCAATCAAAATTTTCCAAGATTTTTTTGTCAAACTTGCATGTCTAACCCTGCTATACTATACAGCACTACAAAGTGGCCACAAGTCTCACCTTGCAATACTGTACTACATGGTGGCCACAAGTCTCACCCTGCTATACTGTACTACAAGGTGGCCACAAGTCTCACCCTGCTATACTGTACAAGGTGGCCACAAGTCTCAACCTGCTATACTGTACAAGGTGGCCACAAGTCTCACCCTGCTATACTGTACAGTACTATAAGGTGGCCACAAGTCTCAACCTGCTATACTGTACAAGGTGGCCACAAGTTGCACCCCACAATACTGTACAGTACTCACCCTGCTATACTGTACTACAAGGTGGCCACAAGTTCAATTTTATTTACCGTGATAATGCCTTAAGGGGAGCGTCCGGCTGAAGCATGAAATTCGTTAATAATTGATCAATCAATATCAATTTCCTGTCAGCAATTAAGGACACCAGATACATTGTTGCTATAACCCTGAATTGGTTCTGCCTAACCCATGATACCTGATTTTTCCCTTGTATTCTTATTAATTTTCAAAATCCTACTTTACCATAATTTCTCGCTAGATTACATTGAAATTCATATGGAGTATAGGTAATTTAACCCCCTTGAACATGACATATAGACATTTCTGATTATCGCTTTTGTTTTGGGTGCATTAATTTTTTTCCTAACTTACCATTTTTTCTTCCAAATATTTATAGATATAATCAGCAAATAATAAAAGAAACATATGTAAAGAAAATCTATATGTTCAGCCATGCACAATATGTTATTCTACTACGTACTTAGTTTTTGTTTTATTAGAATCGGCCCATAAATGGACATGCTTTAGGGATTTGAAGGTTAGAAATACTCGTGATGAGATACAGGCCAATAGGGTGGTGCGAGAGCAACAGACGGTTGAACCTCTCCCTCGCTTGCTTTGTGTGTAACTGCGGTGTACAAGACTGGTCTTGCTCTTAGCTAGCTGAGAAATGTGCCAGATACTGATTTTTACCAAGTGATTGGTATTACTTTACATTAAAATATTATTATAAATACTTTTCTACAGGTTTTGCTATGTAAACAGAAGGGCCCTTTAAATGAAGTGGGGGGTAGCACAATAATGCATAGCTACACAAATATTACACAATCAAAATAAGTCACCAGATAGTTGTAGGCAACAGCTTTCCTCAGGAATTTTTCTGAATATCTTTTTGATTTTACGATTTTCATCACATTTTCAGCCAAACGCTCCTCTTAACAACTATTTTAGACTATGGCGTTCCCATTTGTCAATGCCCATGAAAACTTTTCTACTGTATTTAAGTTAAAAAGTTTAGTAAAGTAAAAAAAAAAAAAGGACAAGATAGAAATTCTGTAAAACTATTTGGATGAAAAATTTATGTTATGTTAAGCAAGAAGAGAAGAACCTATGACTGGTATAAACTTAATGCCTTCTTCATATTAACACCTTAAATCACAACAAAGTGAATACACAAAGAAGAAGAAAGAAACAGAGAATTTTTTAGGGGGCTCATATATAAATGTTTATTTCACTGGGAAAAAAAAATATCCAATGAGGGACCGAGAACTGGTCAGAAAGTTCTCTATGAGCGAGTTAGACTGCTATTCATAGGGCTGACTGACACATAAAATAATACATACTTAACACGATGAGACGGCCAGAACTCATATCAGTTCCATAAGTATTCTCAGCAGTACAAGTGTAGTTGCCTCCATCTTCCCGAGACACTGGGTTTATGACCAGGTTGCCGTTACGAAGAATGCGACGACGGCCGCCTGAGGAATACACATAAAAGTTATGATAGTTGTAAAAATAATTATTATGATTTATATGGGTCTATTTATATATACTGTAGTAGGAAGAATAGGTACAGTGAACAGTTAAAAATACAAGAGAATATTAGATAGCAGGTTATGTCATTAGCTTAAAGAAAAAATATTAAAACATGTAAAGGAAGTATAATAAGTCTATCTACAGAAAAAGTGAGTTCAAACTTGTTGTCTAATCACTTGTACAGAAAAAGACAAATGAGATACGTTGGTCATGTAATCAGGGGTGAGGGGATGATGACGGGAATATTAATGGGCAAAGTTGGGGGTACGAGGGTCAGGGGAAGGCAGAGAATGGGAGTGATGAATAGAATTAAAAACTGGGTCCCCAGAGAGATACAAAACCTTGGACAATTGGTCAAAACAGCCTCAGAATGTTTAGTTTGGAGGACTGTGATCGCCAACCCTCAGATATGAAGTCAGTACTCTCAATTAATGATAATGAAATTGCTATGGTATATTACAGGACACCAAATAATCCCCATTGTGTCAAATTTTGGAGGACTTACAGTACTGTAATATAAATAATGATAATAATGAATATAAATTAAACTAAAACTCAGTCCTCCATGTATTGTCCCTTTAGGTCACTTAATTTAACTTGAAGTCAGAAAATATTTCATAGTACATACCACTTCCAATAACTAATCCATTTTGCCGCCACACAAACTTAGGCCTCGGGGCTGCTTCAGGATTGCACACAATAGTGACATTTTTACCCTCAGCAGCATACATCTCAGCTTCAACAGGCTTCTTGCGGAATGTGGGAGCAAGCTCTGGAAAAAGGTACCAGCAATTTGTTGAATTTGAAACTGTTAAGAATATGAAACTGTTACCAAGAAAAGAGAAAAATCTCTCTAATCCTCCTCAAGCTACACAGGTTCTACCAAATCATGTGTATCTACAAACAGAAGCATTCCACAAACACGAGTGTATCAGAGAACTTACTTAAAACTTTCAGTTGAGCAGAAGAGTATGAAGATCCAAGCTGATTGGTTGCTTTACACTGGTAAGTGGCTTCGTCTGACTCTTGGACTCCCTTTATCTTTAAAACACTGTCCTGGAATGAGCATACAAATATATAACAGACTGTCCTTGAAAAATAATGTGCTGTACTATCTTTATGAAACTGCTAAACTAGTTGAAAAACAGGTTGTGCCATTTTAGTAAGCTATTAAAGATTCTTATTCTTATTGTCATTATCATTTCAAATATTATTTTTTAGCATACTTTACTAAGGTAAAAATTTCAACCCTTTCAGTTCTACACATGTACAGCCTCCTTCACTTGTGCATTTACAGGAGCTCGTCATATAAACATTCCACAAATCATTACATTGAGATATTTGTTTTAATATTGTTTTACTATGATTCCATAGTATATATTCACTACTGTATTACGAGTTTCCTCCAGTCGAATGTAAACAAACACGGGGCTGCCAAACAGCACAAAACCTGACGAGCTCCTGTAAATGCACCAATGAAGGGGACTGTACCTTGTACACTTGGGACCTGAGTCCTACAAATGTATCAACATCCCATGCTAAATTCTACCATATCAGGTGACATTAGTGTTTATTTGCATGGATTAATAACAATTTATCTTTTGTCAGGAAACAAATGTTTGTAAGTCTCTTCTTGTCAGGTTTTGAAACAAACTCTGGAAATTACGAAGTTGTGTCACCCAAGTGAAAGTAAACGTTGTTGTTAAGATCAAGAGATCAAGCCTGTCTCAACAAGTGACAACTAGAGGGTAAACCTTTGAGATGACATCCTGTGACTGGCTAAGAAAATACATAAGAGCCATAGTAAACAGCCTTAAATTTTCTGGGGAATTCAGACAATGGTACTGTGAGTTGTGTGCACTCCCAAAAGGACCATTAACCAGAAATGTTGGGCATTATTCGGGTATGGATTACATATATTTTAGGTTCTTTCATTAAAATAAACGTTGTGAGGCATTCCCAAAATACTGTAGTTAGGGATAGGTTAATATCCCTGTCTCTGCCAAAATTACTAAAAGGATACTTTTCAATATATAAGGCTAGAGGTAAGCTGCTTTTCCCACAAACACAACACATCTACAAATACTGTATTACAAAATATGAGTACAGTATGTATTAATTTATTTATTCTTAAAGAGTATTTCTGTGGTTCTTGTAATTTTACTAGTCTCTCTCTCTCTCTCTCAATCTGTTTACAGCAAGTGCTTTCCTCCCTCCACATTCAGTTACTAAGTTTTAAATAAAAATAACACTATTGTTACATGGAGACACACTGGAACACTTATTTGGAGACACACTGGAACACTTATTGCACAAGTTCAACAACAGCACTACACATCAAATACTTACAATGATCTCATAACGAAGCTGTTCCTCTTCAGACAGAGTCTCAAATACCAGTGGTTCTGAGTTCCTCAGCCACTCATAATCTACATCAGGTATACCGAAAGATTCACATTCCCAGATTAGGTCGGATCCTTTAGCAATGAACTGGTCATTCAAACGAATGGTGAAACTTGGCTTAGCTGAAAGATGAAAAAAAATAATAATAAAAGTTCTAAGTCAACTACAGTATAGTAAAAACTAAACAATCATATTATCAATTTTGGCCCTTCAATAAACTAAGGCTCTGTTAGAAGATAATAGAAACTGCCTACATCAACACATCAGAATACCTACCTTGGATGCTTAAGGATATGGTGTTTTCTACTGAAAGCCTTGAGTTCTGAGCACGACATATGTAGTCTCCTACATCAGATGGCTCGACCTTGGGTAACACCAAAACCCTGTTGTAGTTCATCAGCTGGGCACCTCGGGGGAGCTGCCCATTTCTTCGGGTCCAGTTGTAATTCGGAACGGGGCTGATGGAAGAATAAACCAGTTAGGACTTCCTCTTGTTATTGGATTATAGCATAAAATATCTGGAAGCATATAAGCACTAAGATATTACTTGTGTCTGCTGTAGTAATCTTAGATAAACTGAAAGAGGGGTGAAGAATCATGGTAGCTAGGTGAGAATATGGCATGAATGAGTCAACCACTAATACCATACAAAATAAAAAATAATAATAATGAAGAATCAATAAGAGCTGCAAGTAACAAAATAAAAAGTTATTGCTGAACAATATGCACACTTCACCCTCCGACTCCCTACTTCCCAAGGCTTATGTATGTTTACTACCATCCTCGTCATCCTGAATGAGAGGAAGACATACACACTGAAAAAAAAAGTTAAATAGTGCAGAAAAATTAATGTGTAGACTGAAGATCAAAATCAGAAATGGGTGCCATGAGTAGATCCATCTTATAGCATATAAGATCATCTTAACCCAAAATCACACTATTTGTGACCCTCCCTTGCCAGCTAGGAAGGAGCTTGGAAGTTCTACATATAATGCCCAATTCCCACTCTGTACAAGTGGGTTAGTGATAGGAAGGGAACCCAGCCCTTCAAATTTGCCTGATAACAACTAGGACACCAAGTCATCATAATCCACAAGTGTGGAAAAAAGACCATAAAAGATGAAGATGATGATGACAGATGCATGAAGGAAACTATCCTGAATATTGATAATTTCAGTCCAAGTACAAATATAGACACTGTAAAATCCTGATGCCTTAGCCTGTATGTGAATTAAATTATACTGAAAAACTTACTATCCAAAAGCAATGCACTCAAGTCTGACATCTTCCCCTCTCACTGGTGCTTCAGGGAAGGCCTTGGGGAAATTGTTGGCAAACTTCAGTTGCTGGTAATTGGCTGTAGGAAGACATCAACATCTTTAAAACAAACAACTGCTCATTATACAAATTTTACTACAGTACCTATTATGAGCTAGATCAAGGGAAGCAAAAGGGAAATAAACATAATGGTGGTACAGTACTTTCTTTCAGTCTTTCAGGTTTTAACCCAGTACACACTTTATATATTGTAAACCATTTTACCAACTGTATTCAATTTTGAGTATCTGTTGGTCTTCAATGCCAAGGTAGGAGATTTCTTGCCCAGTATGTTGGGAATATTTGCTGGTTTGTCTGGTTCACTTTGTGTATTTGTTCCTTAAATGACAATTTATCATCATCTACCATGGCCAGGTCTCTTCCTTCCCTAACCTTGTTTAATAATTTTTGCCTATTTTCATCCTGTACAATGTGTCTATAGCTTTCTAATGCCTTGGCAATAGTCATTATTTAAACACTTTCAGGATTGGTTGACAAAACCTTAAGTTTCCCCTGCCCTCACTAGATAGTAGCACACGCACGTATGTGTGCGGTGTGTGTGTGTGTGTGTGTAGTCTGTGTGCACTAACCAGCATCTATGTAGTGTGCTCACCTTGTGTTAGAACAACTACAGTCCAACAAACATGTTACCGATTCCAATCTTAATCCTTTATTCCTTAGTAACTTTTGATTCCAATCATAGTAATTTATTCCTTACCAGAAATATACAGGTACAGGGTACAAACAATCAAGAACTTACGATGTGGGTAAACTTCCAGATTGAAGAAAGGGCCATTCTTGCCAATACGCGATACAGTACTTTGAACATTGCAGCTGTAGCGACCATTATCAATAAAGTCCAAGTAGGAGAAGTATAAGTTTCCATCAAATGAGACCATCGTTCTTCTGTCCTCTTCAACAAAATTAGGGAAATAGTCTCTGGCCCAGTAATAGCGTACACCTGAAGCAAGAAATCATTCGGTAATACAGTAGATATAGCGTAAGTTATGAAGTGTTTTTATAACTAGTTTTATTGTAATCAGTAATTACAGTATAGTATATAAGAATTGAAACCAAATGGCACCATACCAGGAAAATGTTGAGGTGGATCACAGAAGATGGCTTTGCCCCAAAATTGATTCCCTTGTTCATTTGACCTTTTCAGGTTAAACTCAGCAACATAGGCAAAGAACAACTGGACGCTCTCCGATATGACAGTACCAAACTCATTGGTGGCTCGACAATGGTATTTGCCTCGGTCCTCAACCTGGGTAAACAGACTAAATCAGTGCACGCACGCATGCACGCACACACACACACACACACAGTGAAACCTCATTAATTTGGCTTATTTGGGGGAAAGCATTATTGCAAATTTCAGAGCACAAAAGCCTACCACATAGAAATAAATGGTAAATTAAAAGATGTAATAAAAAAAGAACTGTAAAACACAAAATAGCTGAATAAGTGTTTACCTTTAATTCGAAAGGGCTCCAGGCTCCTGAAGGTAGTGTTGAGGCAGAAAAGGTACGTAATATGGGGGCAGCTGTTTTAACACTATTATATACTGTACAGTACTGATAAATCACTTGTGTACTGTATACACTACTTTTGAGTCACTATCTCAAAGACCTGGACTTAACACTTATAGTTCTTCATCAGACTGTATCATCTGTTAAAGAGGTTCAGGAGAAGGTGTAGTTATAGCACTGAGATTTGACACACCACTAACACTTTTCCGGCATCTTCGCGGTGTAGATTAACACAGTACAGTGACCCCTCGTTTAACGAACGCCTCGGTTAACGAACTGCCTTCCATAAGGATCTTCAATTCGGTTAACGAACAAAAATTCGGTTAACGAATTTCTTACGAACCGACCTCAACATGTTTTCGCTTGCACTGACCGTGCAACCAGCTTTAGCATCAGTCCGCCAATACATTAATCGGTTCTAGGGCTTAAATTCCTTACTATTTTAGTAAATATCAAGAAGTTTATACTATTCAATAATTGTAAAAGTTTAATATTCAATTTTTTAGTCATTTTAACAATTATTGAACATAATTGAAGGTAAAGTGACTAGTTTAATGCGCGGCATCCAGCCTCTTAACACAGCAAACAGGCGTTAGTCTCTCTGTTTTCACTGGAGGTAGCATCTTGCTTGAGACTCTCTTCAACTAAACGCTTTTTTTCTGTGTTTCCAAGCAAATTATTGGTCATTTTGAAATTTATTTTACATATTGACAATATATAATGCAGTGCAGTGTTGATTTAAAGAAAATAATCTTGAAATACACCAAGAGAACTAAAATTTTATGGGTGAAATGGTGCCTTCTCTTCTTCCTTCTCCTCCACCCCCATTCTGATTCCCGTCATCATCATCATCATCATCATCCAGGAGCCTTCTACATACACACCTCAAAGTAAGTGAACTTTTCTACCATTTTTTTTTAATTTAGGCAATTTTCGGTGAGCTGGAACCAATTACCCAAAAAGCCATTGAAACAATGGTTTCGGTTAACGAACTTTTCGGTTAACGAAAGACCTTCTGGAACGGATTGAGTTCGTTAACCGAGGGGTCACTGTATAACCTTTTTCTTCTCTATTTTCAATTTCTTTCTGTTCTTATTTTTTCGCCCCCCAAGCCCCGTTGTGGGTCGTTTGACCTGTGCCCGGGTGGGCTAATTCCCGTGTAAAAAAAAAAAAAAAAATGGACCAGAACGGAAAGAAGTGGAAGGGCCAGGAATACGACACATTACTCACCACGTGATCAGGACTAAGTGAAATCTGGATCATCTCGGATCCAGATTAACAGAGTTTCAATATACTAATATACAATATATATATATATATATATATATATATATATATATATATATATATATATATATATATATATATATATATATATATATATATATATATATATATATATATATATATATATATTATATATACTGTGTATATATATATATATATATATATATATATATATATATATATATATATATATATATATATATATATATATATATATATATATACTGTATATATATACTGTGTATATATATATATATATATATATATATATATATATATATATATATATATATATATATATATATATATATATATATATATAATTATCTGGTAATACTTTTGTGCAAAGAACTGCAAGAATTTAAAAACTGTAGTATCTAGTAATCCATAAAGAGAATTCTCTCCTCATACCCCTTCTCCAGTTATTACCAATATGGGCAGCAGACATACCAACATGAGGCGATGAAGTGGATAACATTGCAAAGAATTTTGTCCAGTGCTTCAAAAATGTAAAGACGGAAAAGTAAAAATTCTATTTTGGGGTCAGTACACTTACACCATAATATACTGACCAATACTGTACCTGCTTTGGATCATTAATGATGAGCGTTCCTCCAGAAACAGTAAAGCGTTGGTCTTTCAAGGGGTCCATACGCTCTGCCTTGATGGCTTCGTTTTCGTAGGTTTCTTTATACCATTCGTATGTTGGGTGTGGGTAACCTTCAGCTATGGGAAAATAAAAATCATTCAATAGGATTATCAAAGTCTATTGATGTGTGCACGAATAAAGAAACATGTAGACTAGAAAATATTGAAAAAGGCAAAACTGAAATCTTTGACAGATAACAAGAAGTTTGGGAACTTGTATAGCATGAGGTACAAGCTGTGGTAGTGCCCGAGACATCTCAGGGATAGAGGTACTAAGGATTATGAATCTACAAAAAGAAAAAATATATCTGAGAATGTCAATAAGATATGAACTGATGATATGCATGAAAAGGCAAATAAATTTTTTTGGGACATCGAGTTATTTCTTGAAAAATAAATAAATAAAAGATAATTCTCATTTCATGGTTGAGGTGAGTGAACAGTTATTTTCTAGCACATACAATCATGCTAGAGGCAGATGCACCACTGTATAACATGGTAATCAGTGGTAGATAATTTGTTTGTGATCAATATAATTTTGTTAGGACAACTGCTCAGAGCCTCTAATGTTTACTTTGTGTAATGGCTACATGTAGGCAGAACAGTCACTAGGCTTGAAGTTAGCCCTGTAATGTATCTCACATAGCCCTAGCCCACAATTAAGAATATTGTAGAGTTAAATGTTCATTTCTAGCTGCTGTTATTTGTATGATTAACAAAAACCAGTTAATAGAAAAATGGTGGAGAAGTTTCCAAAGGGATCATATGATGCACCACAACTGGGAAGTACAATATTCCTTTAAAGCTTGTGTCCCTCGGAAACTCATGGATTGCCATGGAAAAAAAAACCTGAGGCTGTGTTCCAGGGATCAAGAGGAGTCAACAGAGCACCATATTTCCCAGGTCATAAGATGCACCCTATAATTAACAAGGTATATTTTAGAAAAAGATTTTTTACAGATTTAATAGCCTACTGTACTGGCAGAGCAAAGTCACTGGCTGTATGCCCTCATGTTTCTCACTACCACAGCTCACTATCACTTTATGGACCTATTTTCAAATTTTTTTTGGTATTAATAAAATTTACCTAATTTAATACAAAAGGATATAATTACAGTAGAACCTCGATAAATCGGACTAATTTGGGCATATTAAATATGTGTACAGTATTATTTCATTTACTATCCCAGAAATCCAAGTATAAAATAAGACAAAGTGAAGATGATCTAGTTGGCTACATGCTGGGAGTAGAGATGTTGACTCCACTTAGTATTAAATGGAACCAAGTTATGGGCAAGGGGTATGAGAAATGCAATGTTAGGTGTAGTTCATCTCCTGGCTCATTGACTTACTAGAGGCAGCTTCTGCACCAATGGATATTGTTGGAAGCTCCAGATGTAACTGGAAGAGTACCAGTTGCAGTTATTTAAATCAAATTCACTGTTCAGAAAAACGGTGCTTCCTGCCACTGTTAAGATACACATAGCAACTCTGATTAAGTCATGAGTATTCATTATGCTAGAAAATCACAAGCCACTCACCAATGACAATTGCTTATAAAATCACCACATTACTTACCCAAACACATCATAGAGACATAGTTAATCACTTCCCTACGCACAAGATCAAACATGGTGTTCACAGGCTGCTTCACTATTACAGGAGCTCGAGGTATCTTCTTAGGATCCTTGACGATGATGCCATATTCATGGTCTCGTTCAACTGACTCATCAATTAACAAATTGAGGTTCCTTTGGGGAATTTCACACATGTACAGTAGGGGATCATCTCCATCAACCATCAACAAACCCCATTCTTTGTGTCGAAATGAATAACTGTAAGGGAATTTTTTTTTTAAAGCAATAGATGTTACTCTTGGTAAACATAGTAAAGTACTGTATCATATTTCAATCAGCCCTAAATTCATTATCTATTTTACAACAAGCTGGTCCATATTTGAAACAATATCTGTTAATCATTTCAGTTATACAGGTACAGTATCCCCAATTTACACGAGGATTGCATTCCTGAAAACACTAACGTAAATCAGGACCCTTTTAACGTAGGTTTCAATGAGATACATTTCTGGTGTCAGAACACATGTAACAGAAAAAAATATCCAACTCTAATTAAATAAATCCAAAATATTAAACAGCACTAACCATATTAATAATAATAATAACAACACTTAACAGTGTCTAACTTTGTCTCCAGACACAATCTTCCTTGAAGCCTTGCCTTACCCAACAAATGTTCTCCACAACACTGTTCCCAACAAATGTTCTCCACAACACTGTTCCCAACAAATGTTCTCCACAACACTGAACCCAACAAATGTTCTCCACAACACTGTTCCCAATAAATGTTCTTGATTTTTTTTAATCTTCAAATCTATAGTTTTCCATTATTACATTCAATCTTCACCTTTCTCTTTATACAAGAAAAATATAAGCTTCCCTCTGTCATATGTAGCCTGTACATTATGTTCAGTACGTATCAACTTTTGGGTGATGGGTTAAATATTAACCAGTAAAGATACCTTTAGTACAACTACTTTCTCACAGCATGTTAGACAGTGGTTGTTCAAGCAAAAATAATTTTAATCTTCTGTCACACCTACCTATATGCAAGGTAATTCTTGGTGGGGCTGTTGCCTTGGTTAGGCAGTATAGCTTCCATCATGTCTTGATATGAAGTTCCATCTCCTTCATTTTCCCAGAAGCTGGGGGTCTTCTGGTACCCTGAAGTGTACCATGTCCTCTGTAGGGGGTCATTTTCATGCAGATGTCTCGTGAGGAAACCATGTTCTTCTTTGTCACTCACACTCACTAAGTCTGAACCTTCACCATATGCCTGAAAATATACATTTCATTTTTACATAAATTAATATATGGTTTGGCCAAGTGGAGAGAATGCATGCGGCCAAGTGGGTCAAGAGATGCAGGAATCTAAAAGTGAAGAAAGCCAAGAATGACATGGGGTGAGATTGTAACAATTGACATCAAAGTTAAGATTGTGCAGCATGAAGAGCTGCCATCAGGTAATCATAGCAAACCCACATCAGTGCATAAAATAGCTTTAAAACAATGATGATCCCCTCATGGCTATCCATAAATAAATGGCATCCCTTTGTATCTATCCATGACGAATGGTAATTCCTGGCGTCTATCCATAACTAATGACAACCCCTGGTGTCTATCCATAACTAATGACAACCCCTGGTGTCTATCCATAACTAATGACAACCCCTGGCGTCTATCCATAACTAATGACAACCCCTGGCGTCTATCCATAACTAATGACAACCCCTGGTGTCTATCCATAACTAATGACAACCCCTGGTGTCTATCCATAACTAATGACAACCCCTGGGGTCTATCCATAACTAATGACAACCCCTGGTGTCTATCCATAACTAATGACAACCCCTGGCGTCTATCCATAACTAATGACAACCCCTGGTGTCTATCCATAACTATCCATAACTAATGACAACCCCTGGCGTCTATCCATAACTAATGACAACCCCTGGTGTCTATCCATAACTAATGACAACCCCTGGTGTCTATCCATAACTAATGACAACCCCTGGCGTCTATCCATAACTAATGACAACCCCTGGTGTCTATCCATAACTAATGACAACCCCTGGTGTCTATCCATAACTAATGACAACCCCTGGCGTCTATCCATAACTAATGACAACCCCTGGTGTCTATCCATAACTAATGACAACCCCTGGTGTCTATCCATAACTAATGACAACCCCTGGTGTCTATCTACCTATAAAAGGTATCCCATGTATAGTATATATCTATTTAGGCATTCTATGTTATCACCCATCTATTTAGGCACCTTCTGGAACTAGTATCTACAGTACAATAGGATCACCTCACGATGTCTACCCAAATATAAAAGGAAACACAATAATAGCACTAAATACCAGAAAGGATTAATTTTGCTTTAACTTTTAATGAACTGGTATCTAACTCACCTGACACTGAGCTCTGGCCTGCTGACGGGTCTTCACCGGTGACCGGACAAACTTATAACAGGACAACTTGTTAAAGAACCAATTGGTGGGGCATTTTTTCTCCTCTTCATCCAGAAGAGAATCTTGATGAGTTGGGTTCTGTAGTTGTGCTAGTACCACTGTAGTACCAAGGGCCAGCAGGCAAACAATCACTCTCATCAACATTGTACTGTATGAGAAACAAAGGCCATTAATTTACTTATATAATACTTTATAGGCAGTGGATAATTTGCCGTAACCGGCTAAGTTCCTACTACGTTATTTTACCATGAGTGCGCTCTGACTGACTAATCGTCCATTACCAGCAAACAGTGTGAGAATGATAAGTGACTGTGACTCTGGTGGCATTTGGCATTTATTTTGCCGTGAGTCGATCGTTGTGTAGCTATAAACATACCTAACCAGAAGGAGTTGCTCAATTTTGTTCATTTTTTCCACAGATGTTCTTATCATTATAAAAGAGGCAACATTTACTAGAACCTAATAGAACCTGACCTAACCAACCAATGAAAACAACTTAACTTCCCAGCCAGGGGGCAGATCCCCATCATATTAAACAGAAAGTACTTAAACAATCAGAGCGCACTCACGGTAAAATTGCATTAGTAGGAATTTAGCCGGTCATGACAAAATATCCACTACATGCAATATATTACTAATCTTCTACTGTACAGTAGCTAAGCTAGGATGAAAAAAAATCTACAGTATTTTGGGTAAAATTTTAGTTTCGGTCATCCCTATATTTAGTTATCCAACCTAACCTAACCTAACCTAGGCACAGAACCCAGGAACTACATCTAACCTAACCAACCCAGACCCCCCTTTCTGGTGGGGGTTAAATTCCTAAGATTCCCCGAATGACTGTACCGTATTTTCACAATTAAATGCCTAAAACAGCCTTATCATTTAGTCTCAAACAACTTATAGCCTGTCAGGGTGGGACCAAGGGGTGGAACCACCTGGTTTGGAGGTTAGGTTAGGTTAGGTAATTTGCTAGGAAAACGTCATAGAATAAGTGTCTTAGAAATGTCTAAGCCATTGATTGCAAAGATAAAATTCCTAAGATTTCCATGTTGCAGATCTCAGACATTACCAAAAATTTAACCGTTTTTTCTAATATAAATTGAACCATTACGAAATAAAGACATTACAGTATAATAATTCAAAATACGGTAAAATTAAAGGGTAAAATTATTGTTTCAGCCATCCACCTATTTTCCAAAGGTCACAATTGTTCAAAACACACAAAAAACCATTGGAAAAACATAATTTCCACCTAACCTAACCAGTTAATATTGACGACTGACCTGCTAACGAGTTATTTGTTTTGTTGTTTATTTTCTTTCTTTATTTTCATCAGTGAATTCTAATATGATAAAAATTTATTGTGCAAATACTTTGTTTGGTAGATATTTAAGCACTTAAGGTTAGGTTGGGTTGGGTTTAAAAAAAACTGTGAAATTGCAGCGTTTTTATAACGCAGTGGATATTTTGCCGCAACTGGCAAGTTCCTACTAACACTGTTTTACTGTGAGTGAGATTACTTAAGTATATTTTCTGTTTAATGTGACAAGGGGTCCGCCCACCGGCTAGGAGGTTAGGTAGCTTTCTTTGATTGTTAGGTCAGGTTCTATTAGCTTCTAGTAAATATTGCCTCTTCTAATAAGTTTTGTTACATATGGCTATGTATTTACATACCGTTAATATCCTAAGATGAGTGCCATATGTCCTTTTTTATCGGTCACCATTGTTAGAGCGGTTTGGTGGTCTATGAAAATGTAAAAAGACGTATGTCCTTTGACAGTAGTTTATTTTTTGTATTTAATGTGAATTATATTGGCTCAATATAGTTTCTAATATTTTGTAATCATATAATATTATGTACTTACACAAAGAAGTTTTGAGTTAATGTTCTGATTGTAAAAGATATATTGTCTGTTAACGTTGGAGACGCTCTCTCCTCCACAGGGTGTAGATGTGAGGTCAGGAAAGTGATTGTAATCTCATTTCAACCATTGTATATCCTACATTTTGTTATTAATTTGTTCACCAGCATTTAGGGTGACTACTAAGTGATACTTCTGTGAATGGAGGAAGAGCCTTATTGTGAGATTAATATTGATAATTTACTAAATATTGTTTTCTGAAGACTATGTTGTACAATGTCGTATTTTTTAATGACAGTCCGGGAAAACTAATGCGTCAGCTATTCCGTGCATCTTAAAATGCCTTAAGTCTCCTCTCGCTATAACCAATAAGAAACTCCACCACCACCACCCCCGAACATGCACTGTTGATGCTTAAGAAGCCAACACGGAGGGTAACGAAGCACTGGCCTAGGGGGTCAGAGCTTCTCCGCCAGGTGAACACAACACATGGCAACACTTGTGACTTACTAAATATAATATTATTGGAAAATTAATATCTCAGTTATCCTTAATTTCCGGCGGAAATATCATGAAGAAAAATGTCTTAGAAATGTTTAAATATTACGAAATGCACATTAATAACTGTGAGAGAAAGACCGGTGCTATACTATAAATTCACCATTCTCTTCTATGATGTTCCCTTGCAAATTACTTAAATATACTAAGGGATCCAGGAGGGCAGAGTCCTTCCGGTTAGGTTAGGTATTTTTAGGTCGTTTGCGAGGGAAGCATCACAGAAGAAAATGGTCTTAAAATTGTCTAAAACACCGGGAATACACATTGATTAACAACAAATCCATGGTTGTCCGCTGGTAAAACTTTTCCCCACATTCCCCGGATGACCGAAACTCAAGTAACACCCAAAACACATTGTAAAACGCTGAAGACACTTTCTGTCATCACCCAGTGTAGTCTTGGCTTCAATATTTACTCTTGTTCACACCTCCAGCGTCTTTGGGCTATAACACAACCCTGTTGACTTCTCAGATATCTTTCTTATCAACCTACATCTAAAAACAAATAGCATGAGACTTACAGTCATTAATGAAGCAGGGGCCTTCCTCTGCCACACCTTGTGCCTGTTGTTTGACCACACACCTTGTCCGATTCTCTTGTATTTATAAATTTATTTCAATTAAGTTGTCATTTTCATTGATATCTTATAATATTTTATTTATTGTGAATTAAATAAATATTATAATATATAATTTTTATGCTTCTATAGTGGTATCTTTTACTTTCCAAGGATTTATATCTGGACGAGGCGCTGCCCGGACACAGGAAGGCAGGGTCCAGTGAGTGTGGAGGAGCCAACATCCTCCTTCAATAATAATGTTTATTGTCGCTAGTTTCTGTATGAATTACATCAGAGGTAGACATGTTTGGCTGAAGCTGTGTATTTAGTTCGGTTCAGTAATATTAAAACTTTATGTTGTAGCCTTTTTTATTCCACACACACACATATATATATATATATATATATATATATATATATATATATATATATATATATATATATATATATATATATATATATATATATATATAAAGCTGTAGTGTAGGGCCGCCTCTGTACTGGAAGGGCCCCTGGGGGCGCCACCGCCCTTGCAGGAACCCTGGAGGCCCAACGGCCCATGGCAGGTCCCCTGAGCACGCCGCCACCCCTGGGAGGGCTCCTAGGGGCGCCAAAGGCCCTGGGAGGGCCCATAGGGACCCTGAAACCCATAGGAGGTCCCCAGGAGGCGCCGCCGCCCTTGGAAGAGCCCCTGGGGGCGCCGTTGCCCATAAGAGCCCCTGGGGGCGCCGTTGCCCATAAGAGCCCCTGGGGGCGCCGTTGCCCATAAGAGCCCCTGGGGGCGCCGTTGCCCATAAGAGCCCCTGGGGGCGCCGTTGCCCATAAGAGCCCCTGGGGGCGCCGTTGCCCATAAGAGCCCCTGGGGGCGCCACCGCTCCTGGAAGGGCCCTTGGGGCGCCACCACCTCTGGGATGGCCCCTGCCCCTAAGGAGAGCCCCCGGGGGCGCCACCGCCTCTGGGGGCACCACCGCACCTGGGAAGTCCCCTGGGGTTGCCTCTGCCCCTTGGAGGTTTCCTGGGGGCGCTGCTGCCCCTGGCAGGGCCCTTGGGGTCACTGCCTCCCATAAGGATGGGTCCCTAGGGGCGCCTTTGCCCCTGGGAGGGCCCATGAGGGCGCCACCGTGCCTGGGGAGGGGGGGGTGCTGTCCCTAAGGAGAAACCTGGGGCGCCGTCGCCCTAGGTGGACCCCTGGGAGGCGCCACCGCCCATGGGAGAGCCCCTGGGGGTGCCACTGCTCTTGGGATTGCCCCTGGGGGGCCACCACCAGGTCCCTTGGGGTAGCTGCCTCCCCTAAGGAGGGACCCTAGGGGCGTCCTTGCACCTAGGAGAGCCCACGGGGGCGCCACCGTACATGGGGAGGGGGCACTGTCCCTAAGGAGAAACCCGGGGCGCCGTAGCTCCTAGGTGGACCACTGGGGGCGCCACCACCCCTGGGAGGTCCCCTGGGGGCGCCACCGCCCCTGGTGCTCCCGCCGCTCTTGGGAAGGCCACTGGAGGCGCCACTGTCACCCCTATGGCCCTTAGTGGTGCTGCCACCCTTAAGGAGGGCCCATGTGGGCTCCATCGACCGTGCGAGGGGTCCTGGGAGCGACACTGCGCTTTGGGAAGCCATGTCCCCTGGGCAGACCCCTGGGAGCACCACTGCCCCTGGCAGGGCCACTAGGGTCGCCGCCACCCATAAGGAGGGCCCCTGGGAGCACCGTTGCTCCTGGGCGGGTCCATGAGGGGGGCGCCGTTCCTCCTGGGCAGGGCCCTAGGGGCACCACCGCCCCTGGGGGCGTCGTTGCCCATTGGGTACACCCCTGTAAGTGCCATCACCCTTGAGAGGGCCCCTACTAGTCTATGTGAGCTTCGGGTTCCCAATGGTCAGGTATGTCAACTGTTAGTACAGCCCTATACTATATGGTACAATACAGTATTCTCCATTTACCAATTTTGGCTACTTTCTGGGAATTTTTTACTTCCACAACAAAAGGCATAGTTTGCAAAATATACAACATCCAGATTACTTTTTCTGGTTTTATTGTGATTAATAATTACATGTCATGATACAAACAATGAATCTTTATGAACATGGTCCTAAGCAAATATTTCTGGAATATAGTCTATAAATAATAGCTCACAGCTCTATAAAGAATCTGGAGGCAGACTCAATATAACTTTACCTCATGCCTTTGAACACATTGTCACATACCTGTTTTGCATATACAGTACTGTAATGTTAGAGATTCATGCATGACTGATAATGTGTAATAACTTACAAGAGACAACTTCCCATGGATGATCAAAGAGTACAGTGTTATATTTCCTTACTATGACCTTTCAATAATTATTTCTCAAAACTGTAAACAGTGATACAAATACTGTGGGTTTTTTGTTACATTTAGTTTACATCTATAACCTCAAAAACACACTTCCCTCTACTGTAATATACCTTAAATATGAGACCAAGTTTGAAATTTTCATTATTTAGATACTGTATACAGTAGTCCCTCACCAACAGCAGGGGTTAGGTTTCTGAAAAACCCTGTGGTTGGCAAGACTAAAGGCTTATGGAAAATAGGGGGTTGGATAAAACTCGTCAAACCCTAACTAATTTGCTTGTTCCTTCACTAAACAATACAGTACTGTATCTGTATTGTATATTTAATTAAATTTGAGTCAAATACATATAAAATTGCTTAATATAAATTAAATAGTAAAATAAATTTTACAGTACATCGGTGAGATGGCATGTTGCTGTAAAATACGAAAAAAGTAGAGCATCGGTGGGTGTGTGTGAAGTGAATGTTTGTGTGAACTTGGTTGGTCGCTACATCCCCCTAGCTCTTCCTCTACCAAGCTAAGCTGTGTTATTGTTACTTTTCAACTCGTATTTTTGGATACTGTAGATATACATAATTTTTTAACTTTTTTTTTTTACTGTTACATGCACACACAATCATTCATGGTGAAAAAAATCAAAGAAATGATTAACATAAGGTAAAAAAAACTTAAAAGAGATTAAATATTTTTTATGTCCGCAGGAGTTGATCCCACGATATTGGGAGGGGAAAGAGCACTCGTTTCCCTTGTCTTTAGTGAAATGGTTGCCAAATGGCAATGTAGTACAGTAATTTTCTTTTCTTTTATTTATCAATATTATTTTTATTCATTCCTCACATTCACGGAGGAACACATTAGACTGCGGAGGGATAAAGACTCCACACTAATCCCACAATACTTTAAATTAAATGGCAAGGTTGGTGAAACGGTATAGAGTAAATATCAAAATCTGCAGTTGGCAAGGGTCTACCGTACTACTGTAATCCTCTTTCAGCTATATTAACCCCTTCAGTGGTGACAACATAATCTATCATCCCCTTATGCTGGCTGTCAATGCCTGGATCTTTATGGTCATCTCTTAGTATATGCCAACAGAGCTGTAATTAATTTTTACCTGCCACAACTAAAACTCAGCATGTTAATGACTTATCAGTGCAATTTTAATACACCTCATAACTTAACCTGGAACCAATAATAAAGGTTGCCCCTTGTGTAATGAGGATGGCCAGACCAAGAGCCACCTAGGAGTGAATTTGTTTAAGGTGTAGAAGCTGTCGCCAACACAACAACCACACCCTGAGTTGACGAGCTGCATGACCCAGTGTAAAGGAATAGTCCGAGAAGACCGGACAACTCGCCAACTGCACTGGCTAACCATTACCCTGGAACAAGATCCAGAAATCGATTAACATCCAGGTTCCCAATTACTGCTGGGTAGACAGGTAAATGGCATAAAGAAACTTGCCCATAGTTTCACCCTGCCCAGGGATCGAACCCGGGTCTGCTCGCTCGCAAGGCGAAGATGCTGACCATTACACCACAGGTCGCCAGACCCAACAGACACCAACCCTCACACACACAGTCAGACACCATTGTTATAGTAGTAAAGACAACCCCCTTTTTCTGACCATGAAGTATGAGAATGACTGTAAAAAGGGATACTGCTTTATGTGATATATCTAAGAAAAAAATACTTTACGATATATATATATATATATATATATATATATATATATATATATATATATATATATATATATATATATATATATATATATATATATATATATATATATATATATATATATACACACACACACACTATAAGCATTCATTGTACTGTGTGTGTGTGCACATGCAATGGACTCTGCTCATATTTTTTTCGGTCTATGTTTTACAGTCACCAGATTTTATTTTTGCATATTTGATACAGTACACTATTTAGCTTGCATGGGTACAGACCCTCACATCTCAGAAAACTGGAGACTCCCCAAAAATGGGCTTTCTCATCCCTCTGCTACTTATCAAATCAGACAACAATTATATATCAACTTTCCACTTCTCACGTCTCACATGAACTTGCGGAGATACAACCAAACCGATTTCACTCGCTTTCAAGGAACTCTCAGCTTCTAAAGACTGAATTTAATAATTTTTTTATTTAAAGTATCAGTAAGCAAAAAATAATATTTCTTTATTATGTTATTTAATTAGTAAAACAAATGTTCAACTGTGTTTTTGTGAAAGCAGAGTTTGACTTAAGTCTAATGACAAACCAAGATAACAGATGGGTGACACCAGGAAAGAAAATTTAACCTCACCTACTGTAGGACCCAGAAAACTGGAAAATCCTCAAAACCAATTCAATCCTGGTTCCAAGACATCAGAATTTGAAACTTTATACCTGTAGATCGGGGACGGCAACCCGACGCATACAAAGATAATTTTTTGAGGTACCCGAGATCACTTAAAATATATGGATATTTTTCATGATTCAGGTCTCAGCTATAGGTAAAATTTGCTTGTTGTAATAATGTTTGACCAAGAAAATTATACAGAATAGAGAAGAGGCTTTCTCTCTTTTGTCATCTTTTGGAACCAGCTACTATTGTGAACAAGTTTTTTCCTGTATCAATAACACACAATGTCCAATTTACAGTCAAATGACCATACAAAATTCTAAAACCTGTCTTCCTCTCCAGACCTCCAACTATGAACCAGACCTGACACAACTGGCATCAAGAATGGAAGGGCAATGAAGTCATTAACTGCAAACTTTTGCTTCTTTCTGAACAACAACAAAGTGACTAATACTGATTTATGTTAGTACTTCTAGAAAAAAAGTAAGAAGTTATTGATACTATGATTTAAATTCAACTTGTTCTTTGAAATGTTTCAGAGTAATTATATGGAAATCATTTTGGACACAACTAAAAGAGAAAGTTAAATGATATGAAAAAAATTTATTACAATAGATTTCCATATACAGTATATTTTCTTATTTGTTTTGGTGTGGTAACTATTACTACAGGGTGATTTTTTTTATTCGAGAACCCTCAATACAGTACACTAAAAGGTACAAGTATATCAGCTAGGAACCTTATATTTTGCATAACTGTAGCCTGTTACTGTAACATAATCCTGAGAGTTATCAGGTATCAACTGATTTAACACATGACCCATCAGTGCCATGGCACTCACTGTGGAAAAACACATATTTCTTGTTAAACATTACATCAAGAAGGCATCCTTTAGGCAATGTCAAATTGCCTTTAAAGGTTACCTTAGTGGTCGTGCAAAACCTTCGACATCAGTGATATGGAAACTGGTGAAACAGTTCAGAGAAACATGCCTTCTTCCACAGAGCATCATGGTGTGACCGAGTGAAAACTGTTAAACAGCGCTTAAGGCTCAAGTCAAACCTGATAATTCTCATCATCATGTAACATCTTCCTTTAACATTACACAAAATATTAGTTCGTAACTCATATACTTTTTAGTGTATGGAAATTATTTAGTGTTCTCTAATAAAAAAAAATCACCCTGTAGTATACAGATTGATATGTTATTTAAAACAAAATCAGTTTTCCTTTTTTAAAAATAGTAAATGATTTATGCTTGTAGCAATATACTCTACAAAAGTTGGTATTAATTTTAAAGCTAAATTACTTTTAATTTTTATCACAAATTGATAAATTCTATATTAATTTTATGACATTTTCTTACAACTTTTCTGTAATTACATCAATAGAATGCAAATTTTATGTTTTTGTATAGTTTACATTTTACAATTACTGTACTACTACTTTATATGTGAGTACAATGGATATAATGTACCGATGAACAGTATCTATACAAGGAAAAAATGGTGGCACACACTGAAGGTCTTGAGAATATGGAATGTAATGGTGGCAATCAGATAATAACACATTGCTGATCCCTGCTGTAGATAATAGCCAATACATGTACAGGTAATTGCCAGACTACCTTTACTTTTAAACAGCCAAGTCTCATAAACACTAAAAGATACTGACAAACCGTTTTTATTGGAACACAGAAATATTTTCTGACACCATCAGTAACATATCACTAGTCAGGGGTCAACTGTTTGCTTTTCAGTGAGCATTTTGTGTCTCATCAAACATTCACCCTCTACATCGGTCCATGTGCAAGTGTTTATGCATGTATGTTTGAGTATACAGGTTCTTGTGTACTTATGTTGATTTTAGATATACAGGGTGAGCATAAAGTCTTTACCTGATTATGAAAAATCATATCTCGAAGACCATTCTAGATAGAAACATGAATGTTGTAGCATTGTCTAGACAAATTCATAGATTTTTTCATGCATATTTTAAGCTGCAAAAAACTGTATGTTTGTACCTAGCATATGTTTTGTGTAATAAATGTTTGTAATCAGGGAAAGACTTTATGCTCACCCTGTACAGCATCAGCATTTGAAGTTGTTAACACAGTGTCTATGATAATTAGGGTGCTGATATGTGTCGTGGTTTTCCCCAACATAAAAATGGATCCCAGAATACAGTACTTGGAAACATACTTTAATTCCATATTATAATCAGGCATTACCAACACAGCTTCAGACATACTTGTATCACTAACACCAAAGATGCAAATCATACTCTTTTAAACCTGTTAACAGAAGAACCTCTTGCAAACAGAAGGTTCCTCCAGAATTAATGGAGCTAATATAATCAATACTTTCCATACACAACTCATCATGATACTACCATGATAAGACTTCATACATGTATGTATGTTTACCCTTCTGGCTTATATTAAAAACAGAACATTGTAGTAATGTGTAAAACAAAGGATTCAGCTACATAAAAAGGTCTGAGCACCGAAAGCTGATAAAATGTTCTTAATAAATGTACAGTATATCAGTGCATGCAACTTACAATACACAAAATGTCCATGAAATTCTGATGAAAAATGAATAGCAAAATCTTCTTTAAAATTTTTAAGAGAATAAATCCTGAAAATATATTATGTAGTTATGAAAATTATATGATATGACAAAGTAGCTTAGACTCTAAGAAGATTTAACTCATTTTAAATATTCATTGCATGATGATATTTTGACGGTTTCCCATTGGCACAGGAAATTAACCTCAATGATTACTCAGTATTTCTAAAAATAAAAAAAATAAAATAAAATAAAAAATAAAAAAATTTTAACTGCCAACAGGCACCAAATTAGATGTACAAAACTTTTCAAATAAAATTTGTTTTTAATCATAAGACAATTAAAACTAGATTTTTAATTTTTATCTTGGAAGCAACAATATACTGTAATGGGTTTTTAGATACATCTATTGATGTCTTTTCTCATGAGTCGTGACTACTGCACTAGTCATGAATACTTCTTAACACAAAAGAAGCAGATGTAGTCAGTCACATCTGCTGGTTCACTGATACTGTCGAGGATACCACATCTGTACACCATCACGAGTAATTAACTGATGGGTAACTTGGGGATCATGTGAAACTATCTGAATTGGAACTTCTGAGTGTAATGTAACCAACTGCACACCTCCAACAGCTGCTGCTTCCACAGCCTGCTGCTCAGCTTCTTCTGGAGAAACAATGGTCAATGCTGTGGCATCATCAATGTGAATTTCATGTGTAGTATGATGCATATGTTCATGCTGCAAAGCATGATGGTGGTGTAATTCCTCATGATGTTGCTCTAAATGTTCATGATGAAGCTCAGCATCTTCAGCTGTTAGCTTTTCAATTTTAAGTGGATCTATAGTGGCTTCTGGTATCAACTCCTCTTCATTTTCTTCTTCATCAGCCATAACTTCAGCAGTATTTTCTTCAGCCTCAAGCTCAGGATCAAAATCTTCCTCATCCTCATCATCTTCCTCCTTGATATACTTCCTAGGCCTTCCCCGTTTACCCCAACGACCTCGTTTACGGGGTCTACCACGGGGTCGACCTTTTCTTTTCTGAACATACTTACGACCACTGCCAGGTTTTGGACCTGGCTTTTTGGCATCAGGACGGCGAGGGGCACGAGGCTTCTTGGACACTTCCTTACCACAATATTTCTCTTTGTGCACAGTTAAACTCTCTTTGTATTTGAATGCCTTCTCACAGGAATCACACTTAAATGGGCGTGCTTTGGAATGCACTTTCATATGCTTGTCCAATGCTGAGCTAAAGAAGAAAGCCTTATTACATTTCTCACACTGATAAGGCCTCTGACCAGTGTGCTTTTTCTTGTGCGTTGATAAAGATGATGAATGTGTGAAAGCTGCACTACAGCGATCACATTTCCAGGGTTTCTCTCCTGTGTGAACTCTAAAGTGATTCTTCAGTTGTTGTGCTGTGATAAAGGCATGGTTGCATCGCTGACAAACATAAGGTTTCTCACCAGTATGTGTACGCATGTGTGCTGGTAAATGAGATGAACGGGCAAAGGTTTTACCACATATGCCACACATATATGGGCGTTCACCTGTATGAAGCCGTTTGTGCATGCGCAGGTTGGAACGCTGTGCAAAAGCTAGGCCACATTCACCACATACAAAAGGTTTTTCCCCTGTATGAGTGCGAAGATGGTCTCGAAGTGTTGCATTACAAGAAACAGTTTTTCCACACTCTGGACATGGTACACGTTCTCCTCCACTCTGGCGTACGCGTGGCTTGGATTGTTTAACAATCATGAGTGGGTCTGGAGTAACTGCAGGTTGAGGCTTGGCAATTGGTGCTTGGGTTGCAACAGCTTGAACTTGAACCTGTAGATTACCATACTGAGCCTGAACTTGCTGGTTGAACTGCCGTGCAATATCTGGACTGCCAAGTTCCACTTGAACTGCAGGACCACTTGTAGTTATCAGCTGACCAACTGCATCTGGACTGTAATTGTACCAGGCCACCCCAGTTACACCTGTTACACCCGTCACCGAGCCAACACCACTCACAGTGTTGAGGGTCTGTACTCCAGTCACACCTGTTACTCCAGTTACACCTGTTACTCCAGTTACACCTGTGACTCCTGGTACAGTCCCTACACCTGCTAACTGAGTTGCACCAGTTACACCAGAAGTCACAATGTGTTCCATCTTGTTTTATCAAAACTTCTACCAATGATCAAGTCTCCAGCTGATCTCCAGTTGATATTAGACCATCATCTTCTGAAACAAAAGAAAAATACTATGTATTATCATATCTAATAAGACAATGAAATATTGAACAATATTTTAGGTTTCTAAATACAGTAAAATCTTTTATTAGCCATCACATTCAACAACTGGAATTTTTTTTATATCTGCCAATACAGTTGTCCAATCTCTTAACTGTACTTGTGCACAAAACTGCACAGTTTTATTTTTAAAAGTATTGGTGACAATAAATTTAAATAATGCAATACAGTTTGTGATCACTAAAAAAAAAAAAAACACCAGACATTTTTCGTGTAGTGTAATGTAGGTACAACCAATCCAAGAAGTATTTTTTGAGACTCCAGGCATCTGAAAGTGTATGAAACATCGGACTTAAACCAACCCAACCAATACATGAACGCCTCTGAGATTATCGCTCGTTTTCTATTCCACCTAACCCTGGGGTCATACCTTTTTTTTTACACTGGATCTACATCAATCTCAAAACTTACAAATTTAGTAATGAAAAGAGTAAAAAATCTACCAACTTGCATAAAATTCTCAGACCTAGTTATTGTCTTCTCCAATATATTTAAGCTGATAATGATATACCCTGTACAGACAAAAATTGGTTGATAGAGTAAGTAAATTAGTTGAGAGTTGGATCTTTTGTTCCTTAAAATGTTTTAACTGGGAGCTACATACTTACTGACAAATCAAGCTCACTATAACTGTACAGCCCACAGCTGAGATAACTTGTTATTTAAGGCTATATGGACCATAACTTCGTTAGTGCCAAAAAGAGAAAAACACCAGTAACCTTAGTTAAGTTTTGGAAAATAGAACTCACTATATTTCTTTAACTAAATGTGACAATGCAATCATTCTTATAACAAATTGAAGCTTACATGCTCAGGATCACGTTACAATAATCAGATAATAACAATCTTGTCATTATTATTAATAATCATGAAAATTATAATAACCTTAACACTTTAGAGGTACTGTTAGATTTTGATGAAATTTAAATATTTTAATATAGGATACTCTCATATTTCATAACTAATCATAATCAGTACTGAAAATGTCCAAGAGATTATAGTGATCACTATAATAATCCCCTAAACTGTGTTTTCTGGCAAGAAATTGATGTACGTGTTGGAAACACACACACACACACAGGATCGCACTGTTCCTAAAATGTTATCCATTGCGTGCTATCAATGGAGCATCTCAGCAGGCAAGGGAGAGGAACGATAGTACACCCTACGTCAGCACCCCCAACTTACGGCTTACAATCCCTTTACAAAAATGGCCATAAGATGGTGGTGATGATGAAAATTTGTGTCAGGTAGGTTTAAAGGCCTGTCTATACAGTCAATTCTTCTGTACAGGTTATAATGTGTTCTTATTCTTTAAAGAAAAAAAATGGGGGTAAGGCTTTAAGAGGTTGAGTGCTTGGTGAGGTTGTTCTTGGGTAGCTTAATGAAAGCAATAGAATCCTTGGGCTAGTTTCCCCATAACCTGAGTCATGATCCCACACACACAGTGTGTTCAGTGAAACTTAACATAAACAGTAGATTCTTGCCATACAAATCTTGTTAGCTCCCTGGGAAGAGGGGAGTACAGTATTTTGGACAGTTGACCTAGGCCAGGGGTTCTTAAACCTTTTCTCATCAGGTCCCCCCTTTGTTATCAGACCATCAACCCATACACCCTATTAATGTACTGAGACAGTGAATATAGAATGGTACTGTACTTACATTAACACTAATTCAATATAGAACGACAGTGTCAAAACATATTTGGTGCTTGGCGAGAAGCTACTTTCTATATTTTAAATATAACATTAAATTTATATCACCTCTTAAATTAAATCTGATGAAATTAGTATACTATTCTATACTGATTTTCGCCAGCCCTCAGTGTACCCCTGAGGGTTTGCAAACCCCTAGTTGGAAAACCCCTGGCCTAGGAACTAAACTACTCTCATTTACACAATTATTTATCTATTCCTAATTCTATCTATAATTCTTCCAATATAATGAATATTTTGGAAATATTACATTCTTGGTTAATAATAGTTAGTGTCTTCACATACTGAGGACACAACTGTACTACAGGTACTGTATAGTGTTTACCCTGATGACACATCTCATGTTATTTGTACAGTGCTTGGTGCATCTTAGGTTTTCCTTCTAAATTTTTTTCTTTAAATTAGTCCCCTGCATCAAGAATGGTGGTGACACATAACTGACTGAGAGAGAAGTGATGGCCACTTTTAATATTTTATCTGGCTAATGCCCCAAAAAAAAATTTTCTGCAACCCAAATTATGGGTTTGGCACTAACGCATTGATCCCTGCTTCAGTCAACACAATTTATGCTGATATATATGATGCTAAAATAGATGACCAATGAAAACTGCTATAAAAGGTAAAATTTAATGTACAAGTACTATAAAGTAAATAGTACAGTACAGCAAAAATACAAGACTAACAAAATTCATCAGAAAGCCTTATGTGATATTTTGCACTAGCTTAGAAAGTTCTTCAAATGTTATGCTGTTGAAGATAGACTGCATTGTTAGTCACACTCTGGCTGCAAATTGTTTCGGAGTTTTGTCTTCATGATTGTAAGGGTTGAAAATCACATGAATAGGTTGTAGCAATGGGCAAGAGAAATTTCAGGGTTTCACCTCCCAGAATTGGTTTTTCTTTGTGCACTTTTATCCAGAAGCCACTCAGCGATTCCTTTTGTTTTTTATATCATAGTACAGTATGATGACACACAATAACTCAATGATCTGCTCCTACAGCTTAGTAATGCTTAAAATTTCTTTAGGCAGGTCTTCCATGACAACATCAAATGGGTTCCATGCCCACCTTTATACCCTCCTAAATCAAATTCAGGGTTGGAAAAAAACTGCCCACTCAACTTTAATCACCTGCTGACTTAGGTTATTTAAGGTGTTACAGATACATGTATTAACTGTATCATTTGACAAAGGAATTTCTCCCATCTTCTTGGCAATGTTAACTCCACAGACTGTACACATCATGCTGAGAGCTATAAGTTTTGCCAATTCCTCACCACAATGGTGCGTGGTTTCTTTTGTTTTGCAATCCACCAAGCTACATAAGAGAAGCCAAAGTACCTTGTTGAACAGAATACAGTACAGTATACTGTACTGTACCACCTTGTTGGTTGGAGCATCCAACCACTGACACTTTTATTGTTTTTCTTTCCTTTGAAGAATATTGATCTTCATCTACAAAAGTACTGCCTTCCTTTAAGATGTCACTTGACTTTTTGGGCTCATTACTCGGAACTTCCCCAAAGATGACACATTTTGGCATGGCTTCTCCACACTCAATGATATATATGAATCCTAGTTCAAGGAACCTTTGTACTGTACTGTCTTTTTGCCATACAGATATCCCTAACTATACAAATAGGTTAAGTTCCTGAAAAAAATACTTGTTAAGCAAATTTTTGAATAGCAAATAAAACACCATATGAGAGAAATAAGGTCTGGTTCCCCCAATTACAAGAAAATCCCAATACAGTGGTCCCTCAGTTAACGGACACAATTCGTTCCAGAAGGTCGTTCGTTAACCGAAAATTTCGTTAACCGAATCCATTGTTTCAATGGGATATTGGGTAATTGGTTCCAGCTCACCGAAAAGTACATACAAAGTAAAAAAAAAAATGCAGTAAAGTACACTTACTTTGAGGTGTGTATGTAGAAGGTTCCTGGTTGATGATGATGATAATGGGAATTAGAAGTGGGGTGGAGGAGAAGGGAGAAGAGAAGGAAGTGGGGATGGAGGAGAAATCACCTTTCAGGGACCCATGCTTGATGCAGTCATTTCACCAATAAAATTTTAAGTTCACTAGGTGTAATTCAAGATTATTTTATTTAAATCAGCACTGCACTGCACTATATATTATCAATATGTTAACTAAAGTTCAGAATGACCAATAATTTCAATGAAAAATGCAAAAATATTCAAGACACCAACAAAATAGATGCTCTCTCCACTGTTTTCAAAGCCTCAACTGACGCCTTGTGACCGACTCACGCATCTGATGGGCGCACAACAAACTAGTTCCCTGTACTGCATATATTATCAATATGTTAAATAAATGTTAAAATGACTAATAATTTTAATATAAAACATGCAAACATATTAAAGAGCACAACTTTCTTGATATTTACTCCACTGGAAACGAATGTAAACATAAAACAGATTACTGAATTGGCTGACTAACCCATCAGCTGATGCTCACAACAAAACGTGATTTTCGTAAGGATTTTGTTAATCAAATTTTTGTTCGTTAACCGAATTGAAGATTCTTATGGAAGGTAATTCGTTAACCGAAATTTTGTTAACCGAGGGACCATTGTACAGTAATATATCCGTTAACCAGAATCCCTCAAACCCGGAACTCTCCGATTAACCGGAATTTTCTGGAAAATTCCAGCTTTGGGATTTTCCGATGGGCACATTTTCAGGAAAATTACTCAAAAATTTTCCCGATACCCGGAAAATTCCGGGGATGAGGGTCATTTTTCCGGGTTCTAGAGATGATGTAATGGGCAATTTCTGGAACTTCCGAGAACATTTATACGTTACCCGGAAAATTCTGGGGATGAGGAATTTTTTTTCAAGCTTTGAGTCGTCTCGTTACCCAGAAATATCCCATTCCCGGAAGAGCTCTGCACCAATTGTTCCGGCTAATGGGGATATCACTGTATCATATCCCAAAAACATGAAATCAGTTCATAAACAACTAAAAACCTACCCAACTGATGATTAATAGTACACAACTTCCTGTCCAGTACTGTACGTACAGTAATTTACTATCTAACGTATTAATGAAATACTATCAAGATGAAAATATGCAGCTAAAACCATTGGGGAAAAGCCAAGTGAAAATTTATCAGTCTCCATTTGTACAGGC